TACAACGTGCGGGCTTCGTTTTAATGAGGTTCTTGTAACCCTAATTGCTGATAATGGCAACGCACATGCGCTCATCCCTGCATTGCAGTCCAAAGCCCAATAGCCCTGCGCCACTGGGCTTGTTGTTGAAAGTTGTTGGGGATATACGTTATCTCTGCGAAAAGCCACCTCTCGAACAAAAGGCGGGGTTATTGGAGTTTTTGTTTTGTAGCTTCTCACCGTAAGCCCTCCAGTCTGGACGATCATCTCACAAACTCCGCATGATATGCCGACGCATCGCATGAGCCGCCTTTTCAGGGCGGCATTGTGGCCAATAGCATCTCTGTCGCCTCCTACGAGGGTGTATCAATGCCTTTTAGTTCCCGCAAGTGAGTCGAGGGAAACGTGGGAGCATGGTTTAGTAGGAATTTGTTTTCATCGCAAAGGGGTATCTGCTTGAGCTTCCTCCTGTGCCTGCTTCCTTAACTCAGCAATGCGATCATCGATGAGTGCAATGTCAGCATCGATTCTCAGCATCTTCTCTGACATCATGTTCGTATACTCTTCGTCTGTGAGTTTCTTGAGAGGGCTCCATCGAGAGATCCAGCTGGTGTTCTCGTCTTGGACCTTGGGCTGGCGACTGGACATCCGGTTCACTGCCATTTGTCCTCCAGCACCCAGGACTGTCCAAACAAGCATGGCAGGGAGGATGTTTGAGGGACCCCCTGATATTACGGTCAGTTGAGACAAGTTGTGTGAAATGCCGAGTCAACTTACGGATCAAACCTCCCATGGCACCTGCTGCCGTGCCGGCAATGGCACTGGCCTTGGTCTTGTCCGAATTTCTGAGCTGTTCTTCACCGCCCCATGCTTTGACCACGATACTTCTCGTGACTTGGGACTATCAGTCGAGTTCATGAAGTGAATCACACGTGACACGTGAAGATGGACATACACCAAAAGCTGGTCCCTAGTGTGAACCATTGGAAGCCAGAAACTGCACCCCAGATAATGGGATTTGCTTCTTTAAAGATAGAGCCTCCCACGCCGGCCAAAACACCAGCAGTCCCTGTTATTCGTTAGCTAACGATAGGCTTGTGAGAAGAACCCTGGCACACCTGTCAAACCGCCAACCTTCAGAGGTGGTAGTACTAGATCGACAATCTCGGGAGCAAACAGGCCTCGAGAAGACTGCCGTTGGCGCAAGGGCGCTGTTTGAGGGTCTCGACTGCTTTTGTCTGCCATGATGAGTGTGACGAGGATGAGAAGAAAGCCGGTTAACGGTGAAATCGGAAAAAAGGGATAATACAACTAAAAGTGCAATGCGATCTTGAAAAAAAGAAACAATATTACATGGCTCGCCGTATCGCCGACGTTGCCGTTCAATATCACGATATCTGACCTCGTGGTGGATATATCGACTTTTCCCCGGCCGGATATTTCTAACGAAGCCCAGGGAGGCTGGTAAAAAGACCAATGGCAAATGGCAGGAACCGTGGATGAAAAACCCGTGACATGACATCGGCAGGTGCCCGGTCCAATCGATTATTGGTGGGCACTTCGGCGCACTTCGACAGGCGCTCACTCGCTCCTGCCATTGCTGAGCAGTCCTGCAAGCGAGACAGAGGAAGGGGCCCGGTGGGTGGGGCTAGCGACCAATCGGGTTAGCGCCTCCCACTCTCCCACTACTGGCCTGGCAAAATTAAGCCAACCCTCACGGGCGCCTCCATCATCATTTTTTCTACGCCGAGCAAATTTCGACTCGTCAACCCCCAGACACGGCAACACTCGTCGGGGCCCAACCACTTTTCGCGACCGTCCCGTTACTATCTTCGAATCTTCAACTTCCGGTCTCCTGGCTCCCGGCTAGACAGCGACCGATCTCGACAGCTTCACTGAGCGAGAGCTGAACCGCCCGCTAAACCCCGGTCGGTTTCGCACTCTGCAATCCAACGCGCATCGGTCCTGGAATCGTTGCGCGTGGCCGCTTAACCGCAATCATGGGTGAGCATTATGCCTCAACACCTCGCAGCCGCTTGCGATGATGGACATGCTGACCATGATCTTCGTGTAGCTCCTAAGAAGAAGGAACAGCAGAAGATGTCCCTTGGGGACTTTCTGGCTGACAGTGAGTTCTGCCCCTCGTCTTCTCCCTCTCGTCACCCCGCTACTGCGCACATGTGCCTATTACCCCTCGCCTCTCTTGTCTAACCTTCTCGTAGGTTTTGGTGGTGGTAGCTCTTGGGCCGATGAGGTTGAGGAAACCTATGGTAAGCATCCTGTCGTCGAGTCCATCTACGTTGTTGGTCGCTAACTCCCTCATAGTCACCGGTACGTGCCTTGTTTCGTGCCATCGCCGCGACCCACGGTGGACTGACCATACCCAGTAGGCACTCAGGCCCTGCCCCCGAGCGACCGCCCTCGTTACGGCAACAACTCTTCCTCCAGCTGGCAAGATCGGGGTATGTATCAGCCTGGTCGCAGCCTGATTTCCCGCGCTTACATGTCTAGGCTTCTCTGTCCGCGAGGCCGCGCCTCAGCAGATCCCCGACAAGCCTCCCTATACCGCTCACCTGGGAAACCTGGCTTATGATGTTACCAACGATGCCGTGACGGATTTCTTCACCGGCTGCGACGTCGTCAGCGTCCGTCTCATCGAGGACCGTGAGCTTCAGCGACCCAAGGGTTTTGGTTATGTTGAGTTTGCCACCGTTGAAGGCCTGAAGCAGGCTCTAGCTCTCGATGGAGAGTCGTTCCAGGGACGTACTGTCCGAATCAAGGTTGCTGATCCTCGTAAGTTGATATGCGCTATATAATTATCGAGTGATTCTAACTTTCATTAGCCCGTGGAGGTGATCCTGGTAGAGGTGATTCTATCCGGGAGCTTGGAGACTGGACTCGCAAGGGTCCTCTGCCCGATGCTCCCAGTCGAGGTGGCCCCCGGGAGTTTGGCGAACGCCGTCCTCCCCGTGACCCCGCCTCCTTTGAGAGCCGTCCCGCTCGTGAGCTGACCTGGGAGCGACACGGACCTCTGGCTCCCCTTCCTGCCCAGGAGGGCTCCGGCTCCCGAGACGGCAGCCGTCCTCGCCCCTCCCCCGAAGGACTTGGCGAGCGAAGTGAGTCTTACCGTGGAAACCGCCGTGACTCGCCCGCCTGGGGTGAAGCCCGTGAGGGTGGCTCGCGTCCTCCTCGCGCTGAGCGTCCTGAGCGTCCTGAACGCCCCGAGAGAGTCGCCACCGCCGCCGACAAGGACATGCAGTGGCGGGACCGTATGCGCCCTGACGCTAAGCCTACTTCCCCTGATGGCAGCGCTCCTCCCTCGCCTGCTCTGTCAAACGCCGGCCCTGCTCACGGTGGACGCCCTCGCCTGAACCTGCAGAAGCGAACTGTCTCCGAGGCCCCCGATGCCTCGCCCTCTCTGGGCTCCGATGCCAAGGCCAGCCCCTTCGGCGCTGCTCGCCCCATCGACACTGCCGCAAGGGAGAAGGAGATCGAGGTGAAGCGTCAACAAGCTGTCCAGGAGAAGCGTGAAGCCGATGAGAAGGCCAAGGAGGAACGACGCATCGCCAAGGAGGAGGCTGCTGCCAAGGCTGAGGCCGAGGCCGCTGAGGCTGCTGAGGCTGAGGCTGCTGCGGCGGCCAAGGCTGCAGAGGAGCCCAAGGAGGAGCCCGCTGCCGAGGCTGAGGCTACTGAGTCAGCCAACGGCGAGCAGAAGGTCCCTATCCGAACCCGTGAGCCCCGTGAGCCCCGTGAAGGTGCTGCCCCTCACCCCAAGTCGAGAGCTACTGAGGCTTCAAGCTGGCGCTCTGCTTCTGGTGATCAGCGAGGATTCCGCGGAGGACCTGGTCCCAGGGGCGGACGTGGCGGTGGACGTGGTGCTCGGGAGCCACGACCTCCCCGTGCCAACGGAGCTGCTGGCCAGCAGGCTTCTGGCGATGCCGAAGGCGCAACTCCGGCTACCGATGATGACGGATGGACCACGGTGCCCAAGAAGGGTCGCCAGGGACGTGCGGTGGGACCCTAGAAAGTGTACATATCGCCCCGTTTCTCTACGGTTTGACGACTAGAAATGCCCGTCGCAAGATATCCCTGGCACGACTCGACTCGACGAAGCGGCTTACGTCTTGGACTCTGGAATTTCCTCTCTCGAACGACTCCCATCTCATACCCACCTGCAAGCGATGTCGGAAGCTTCGGCGTCGCGTGCTTTTCTCTCGTTGTCCTTGATACCCAGCGTGTCCAGGACATGGACTCCTCTCCCGCCTTGGTTTCTCTCGGCCACGGTGCCCTTGTTCCTCGTCTGACCGCCACCACGTCGGACTCAACTCATTCAGCCTTCCTGACCTTGATCACTCGTTTACAACAAGGTAGGGAGGGGGTTTTTGAGCATTTGACCTTTTGGCGTTTCGAGACAAAAGCAAAAAGAATGGCGGCGAAACGGATGAATGGATGGATGGACGGAAACGTGGCATGCATTTGAATGATCACAGCTCTCTTATCTCTTTGTTTTTTTTCTTCTCTTTCTCTTTCTTGTCGTTCTGTTTCTTGATTTCCCCAAAAACGTCTTTGCTGGTTGTTGATGAAGGGATGAGATGAGATGAGGAAAAGGGATGATGATGATGAAAAAAAGAAGAGGGGAGGGACTGAAATCTTGCTCTGATGATGGGCAACTTTGCAGTCCTCTTCACAGACTTACACTAGCAAACACGATGAGACTACACCCATGCTCGGATATCTGTGTGCTGATGCTGAGTGGAGTGGTTTACGGGATCAATGAAATGTACTCTTTTGTCTTTCTTCACTACCTATCTCTCTCTACTCTAATGCCTTTCTCGGTCACCTCGTCTTTTTTGGTCAGGGGTTGTTTGGTTGGTGTTTCTTCGTTGTGCTTTAAAGGGGATGATGGTGAAATGGGGGCTTGGCTGGTGTTGTCGCCTCGAAAAGTGATGATGACCCGATAGACGAACAAGTAATGAGCACACGATATCCCTCCTTCTCAGACCCGATGCTCTCAAGGATGCTCACTTGGTGTCCCTCTCCTCCCTCCACAGCCTAAACCCCTCCAAGACATTCCTCCTCACACCCTCACTCGTAAAGTCCAGCTCCCTCCCATCACTAAACCTTCTCTCCCTGGCTTCTTGCTCCGTGACCCATGCATGCTCGACATGCTCGTCGTCGCAAATCTTGACGGCGTCGTAGCTCTCTACATCAATCCAAACCGCCAACTTCCCCCATACCACCTCTTTAACACGAAATATCAAAAAGTCCCCAATCATCTCCAACTTTGCCTCAAGCGCATCAACGACTGGTTCTCCAGCTTGATCATCAGGCACCAATCTAACGGGTGCTTTCACAAGTTTGGCCCGAAGCCCCGTCTCTTCCCATAGCTCCCTCACGGCGGCAGATACAATGTTGACGTCCTCGTCGTCCACGCACCCTCCTGGAATCTCCCACTGCAGGGGCCACGTGTCGTGGGGTGCGCGGCGGAGGAGGAGGACCTGGCCCTGGGCGTTTGTGACGAGGGCGCCCGTCATGAGGTGGTGGATGGACGGGTTGGCAGCGAGGAATGCGGCGGGGGTGGATGAGGTGAAGGCGTGGAGGGAGGGGGACGCCTTGTATGTTGTTGGCGGTGCTGTATTCATTTTTTGGAAAGTGATGCTGAATAATTGTATATTGAACAGTCTGTTGTTGAGTTTCAAGTTGTGATGTTGTTGCCTGTTGTTGATGAGGTTTTGAGGTTTGAGATGTGGTTGGATGAAATACCCACTAGGTATGATTCATACCTAAAGCCTTGATTGTACCCGGTACAGCATGCAGGTTGGTTGCATGCGGGCAGGCACGCAATCAGCACCCGAATATCTTCAACCTCGAAAGGAGAGACCGTCCGATAGAAAAAGCAAACAAGTAGGCACCAAGTCTGTATGTCTCTGTTGCTTCAAAAATAAGGAATGCGGCAATACAACCAACATCCATCTCATCCCTTGCCCAACTCACACGTCTTAGCCACAAACTCCAGTAAGATCAATCATTGTAAATTGTCAAACCAAAAGAGATATACTGCCTCGTACACCTCTTCCTTTCCAAGAAACCGCTCAGCCTATTCCCTTCTCCAAGTAGGTATCCATTCCCAGGCTGTATCTATGTGTAAAACGCCTGTCCTCTTGTCGTAGATTCTTCCTCATCCCCAATAACGCCAAAAAGTCCCCCCAAGTGAATCAATCATACACAATCAGCCGCTTATTACAAGTCTCAAGTATAAAAACCATAGTGCTTCAACCGAAGGGAAAGGGACTACGACATCTTGGCGCCCATCTCCTTGGAGCCCATCTCTTCCATTCCATACTCATCCCACTCCTCGTCACCTCCAAGCTTCCTCCCGACCCAGATACCGACGGCTGTGACCAGGCTGCCCATAAGGAACCATCCTTCAAACCAGCCGTCCACGAATGCAGGGCTCAGTGCACCCTTAAGTACGCTTCCAACCGCCGAACCCAGCGCAGAAGGTAGCTGGCTGCGCAGCAAAAGAGCAGATGAGATGACATATGTCGCAGCAATCTGGCCCACAACAAGTGCGAGATTCGCCTGTGCTTGACGGAGCAGGCCAGGCATCCACTTGGCGAATAGGTGAAAGGTCTGAACCACACTGTTGGCGCTGGCGAGGAGAATCACGCCGCTCAGGGCGAAGCTGATGAGACGCGCCCAAGCAAGCTGGTCCAACTTAGGGTCCCAGTGGCGGGCGAGAATACTGAGGAAGCGGTTGATGGGGTCGGTGTTGGCGAAGCTCGACGTAGGAGAATATAGTCGACGGATCGTAGTCAGTGTAGTTGCGCCAATGCGGTACAGACAGTACAGGCTGAATAGCTGTGAAGGGAGCAAGAGGGCTCGTCCCACAGGCGTAGAGGCGCGGACAGTCGCCGCATGATGGCTCTTGATCAGGGAAAGACCCGAGGCAAGGTTGGCCTCCATGGTCTCCAAACCAGCGATCTCCAGGCGCAGGGTGCGCATCTCTGCCTCTTCGCTGGTCGGGCCTCGCAGGGAGCCTATCACCTTTCCAACAAGACCGCTACCCTTGCCCACTGGCGCAGCTGGGGCGTTAGCTGCCTTGCGCTGCAGATACTGTAATCTGTGTTGTTTCGTGAGGAGCATCTCATTGGCGGCATCCAGTCCGGCTTGCTTCCTCGCAACGTCAACCTCGGTGACAGGTCGCTTTCGACGAGTTGTAGCGTCCACAAAGGTGTGCCACGGCGAAGAAACGGCAGCGAAACCGGACAAAAGAGCCATGAGCGAAATGCCGACAACTCCAATGCGTTCCAGGCACCCACGAGTCAATATCTCGCCCAAGGGCATGTCTCCATAACTCGAGGTCTTGCGCATAGCGCCCTCAGGAACAGCCTGGCCAACAGACCAGAAGGCAAACAGCCATCCCATAAACAGCGCCAGCTGCAACAGCCAAGCAAGACGAGGGAATCTGCCCTTGGCAGTCCTCTGGAAACTCCATCCAGCACTCGAGACGATAGACCGAGCCTCCAACCAGGGCACCAAGACAACCAGCATGAACAACAGGCTTGGCACCGTGATCCTCAACGCCAGATTTCTCGAATCAGCATTGATCAATTCGATGATCTCATCCATTATCAGCGCGCCTAGTGTAGCGGCCAACCCAACCGTGACACCAAACGTCAAGGCCGCACTTCGCCGCCTCCAACTCTTTGCCCCATGTTCGGCGTGTACCTGTCGCAGCGCAGCCGGTGCGTGCGAGGGCAGTACGTGATCTTCTCCGTCGCGGGACTCGGAGCTGGCGCTAAGCCGAGGGAAAATGTGTCGGACGACGAGGATCGTGACGGAGACGAATACGAAGAAGAAAGGGAGGGCGGCGATAGAGGAGGCGAGGGTTATCGGTCGGGGAGGCGCTTCGCAGGCGTCCTCGCCGCAGCGAGTAAAAGGCCACATAGTTAAACGGTTGTTGTATTTGTGTCGTCGTCTTTATCGTGCGTGGCCTATCGACCGAGGCCGCGGGACTTGAAGAGGTCGGGCGAACCCCTCTTGACGCTCGCTGTCGCAAAAAAGATAAGAGTCTGATGGAACGTCGACGTCACTTGCGCCTCGCCTTCAACGTCGATGCAGTGCCGTTTCGAGGGGTTACTTGAAGCGCAATGGAGATAGGTGTATGTTGGTCCCCGTCCTTGGGGTGTCGAAAATGTCGTTGATAGAGGGGAAATGGAATTGGCGCACGCAGACTAAACGGAATGAATGATAGTGAATTGCTGACGTGTGGGTGTCGTCTCCCTCTCTTCCTCATTCGAACATGGCCCAGACCTCGAGTGGCAGACGCTGCCTCAGGCTGCCCCTGCCCTGTCCTGTCATGCCCAGGCCGGAATGACATGCTCGCACATGGTTCGGCTCGGGTCAGGGACAAGCAGGGGCCTCTCTCCCTTCACAAGTTGCTGATTTTGTTTCATTTGCCCCGCTGAATCATGCCTCCTGCGCTGATGCCGCGCTCTTCTGCATCGCTGACGTGCGCCTCAAGACAAGGGGCTTCACCCCCTGGCTTCGTGAGGTTTCAGTGGCTACAGCTGCTGCCATTGGTCGCCATCGCCGCCAACCACATCTCCTCGAATTCCTCCCTTCAATTCATGGCACCACACGTCTCAACTCTTTATTAAAGTCAATTCCACTTGCAACCAGTTGGACACACTGCTCACGCCATTCAATGTTTCCAAGAGTATTGCATAAACTCAAAATCGCTACGCAGTTTCATATCACTGCTTCTACTTGCTATTGACGACGAAACCTATTGATAAATCCGATCCAGCCACCTTGACACGCAAAGTAGCTCAGGAGTCTCAACGTTAAACACGTCTCTTACACACTCAGGGTCCACTAGACATGTCGCGCAGCAGCAGTCCAGTGCGCCTTCCCAGCATCTCCACAGCTTCCATGAAAATGACCCCTCATCCTCTGGAGTTTCATCATCCGCCAGAGCCTTTTTGGGCTGGTCGACCGTTGATATCGTGTTAACCTCCTTGACCGGTTGGATCTCCTGAACCGGTTGGATCTCTGGAATTGGCTGAATCTCCTCAGTTGGTGGGATTCCTTCAGTCATGTTGACAACAGGTAGGGAGCCCTGTTCCGCGTCCATGTTCCGCTCGTTTGACGGTTCTTGCTCTTGATCCTCGGTGTTGGATGCTTCATGTCCTTGCTCCTTATCGCTTGACGATCCTTTTCCCTGACTCTGGCCTTCTGGCGGCGCTTTATCCTCGTTGTCTGACGATGAACTAGACGTGTCCGCCCCATCGCCATCCCTCACGGGTTCTTGCTCTGCAGGAGAATCATCATCCTCACTAACACGAGCTGGGTTCATATCCTCGATGTTCGAGGAACCGTGGGTCTCGCCTCCGTCGCCAGCATCCGAGTTGTGACCCCCTCCTTCGTCGGCATGAGCCATGCGCTTCAGACCTTGGTCCGCCTCCTTTGATTCCGCAGATGACTCCAGCTTCCCTTAAGCCGTGACTGTGCGTGATTCGGAACCAGCCATATCAGAAGACCCGCCATCAAGAGTACGCATCCAACACAGATGAGGATAGACATGATGTAGTCCACATTCGCCTTCTCTTTGGGTTTGATTTATCCGGTGAGGACACCGCCCGAGATGCACAGCCTCCAGGTCTGACACTTCAGAGTCCATCACGCCGTGCTCGTTGCTACCGCAGGGAGTAGAAGGGGCAAGCTGTTTTTTCCTAAGCCGAGCGAGAGGAGAACTGGATCTTCGAGGAGGGGCTTCATTGGCTGATCCAGACACATACTTCCTCTTGAGCAAGTCATATCCTAGTTCCCCGAGGTCTCTTGCACACGTGCCCTTCCAATTCTCTTTGTTGCCTGTCGATCGGCTCTCTTCCATCTTCTATGATGTGCTCTTCTGGCGCGTAGGGGTATCATCATCATCGTCATCATCGTCCTCCACCTTCATCTTTAGAGCGGCAGCCTCGCCCACCTCCATCTTATGGAGCTGCTCGAGCTTCTGCCTGTCCAAGATCTGCTGTCCTGACATGACCTCGAAGTCTCCATCGTCGTCGTCGTCGTCGTCGCTCTCGGCGCCTGCGGTGGCAGGATCCTTGACAACTCGTTGATCTTCTGGGGCTTCATCGAGAGTATTGATGCTCGCCGGGCCGGCAGGTCGAGTATTCAAGAGTTGAGTAGGGTTGATGGGCTTGATCGTTGGGTCAAACGATGCAGGAAGGCCCAGAGCTCGCGCAACCTGATGGGCCTCCTCGTCGGGTGTGTTGGAGACCTCCAGCTCATATGTGCTGCTAGCTTCGCTATCCGCCTCATGCTTACCAGCTGTTGCGGCCAGCATGCCCACATATGTCTGGCGAGTTGAATCGTTGGCACGTTTCGACTTCTTCTTAAGGCGCTTATCCGTTGGTCGAACGACGACAACGGGCACGGGCGAGTATTGGAGGCAATACTTGGAGAAAGAGTTGTGTGTGTTGATCAGACCTTGAAAGCCGCCCAGCGTGCGGCCTCTAGTTCCGACAATGAGCATAGCAGGTTGATACATCTGGATCTAAAACGTGGCTATTAGCTTTCAGTAGGATCATTCTAAACAGGACTACCATACCAATGTTTGGAAAGTTGTATGCAGTTTGCCGACGGCGTATTCAAGAATGATGTTGATAGCCCTGTTAGAGCCATTCCGCTTCACAACACCTTTCAGAATCGACTCGGCCTCCTCCTGGTAGGACTTTTCGATGCTGCGAGTGTCCTTCTCAATTACTCTCACACACACGACGTCGTCCCCGTCGTCAACCAGCTCGTCAAGCAGCCACTGCAACGCATAGTCGGAGTAGGGGTGCTCGTCGACGCCAACCATAAAGGTGCGTGACCTTCGTCGCGCTTGGTATCCTCGATGTCGAACATTGAGTGTCAGCGAGATGGCATTATTCTTGGTCGGCTCGCCGGTTGGGACGTTGTCGAAGGAGATGTGGTTCCGGAACCTGTCGGGCGGGGTCGCGGTTAGCGTCGCCATTGTGATGAATGTGAAGATATCACAGAACGTGGGAAGGACGGTGGTAAATAGATGTAAGAAATACGGGCAAGCAACAACAGAATTGGGGGAGGAATGCAGAGAGAGTTTGGGTATGACGCCGATGAAAGCCCAAAAAGCCTGCGGGAATTTGCGGGCTCGCTGCGTTCAGGGTGGCTGTGACGAAGGATGGATGGCCTGACAGCCCAGACCAAGTGACTAGCTTCCAAGAAGAGAAGAGTCTTTTGGTCATCCCCACGACAAGGCTTGTCGCAAGCGGCGGGGTAATGAATAGGTAGTGATGCTGTGGGGACAAGGTTGTTGCCAGCGAACTGGACCATGCCAGCAATTGCGAGGTCCCACAGAGGTCGGCATCTCTACCATGTTGGAAGTTCAACCTCGGACAACCAGTAATCGCATCCTTGAAGCCAATCGTCATCACTGTAGCGATCTCGGCTACAGTCGCATTAGGGATGGTTGCCGAATGCTGATGTGGGGTGTCCAATGCTGAGCCAGCTGTCTCAACTGTCTCGTTGCATAGCATCATCTCGCCAGCATTGCCGGCATGCCCTTCGGTTCCCAGGAATGTCGCTTCACCCGAGATCTTGAACAACTTCGGTTCGCAACGTGGCGAAGTGAGACCACGACCGAGATCAGACATGAAATGCTTTTTCGAACAGGGTCTCGAAAGTGATCGACCAGATGGCATTAAAGATCATGTCTGAAAGCAACGAGCTTTTGTGGACACGCCACATGGAACCGTATTCGGACCATGGTTCGCATGTGAAAACATGGGTTTTGGATAACGGGAGGCTCGATCGAGGAGGTTTTCAAGTTTGACTCGGCGACAGGGAATCGTTTCGACCAGGTAACAAACCCACAGGCAGGACTTTCATATGGCCAAGGAAATTGACGAGACAAGGGAGGTAACAAGGAAATTATACGATGCAACTTACCTAGCTGGAGCAGGAGAACTGACACGGATACGCTCGTTGCCCATCTTTTGAGGCTTTCCTTGTGGCAGTGTAGGATTTTTTGGCGAACGGAATGTGACAGAGCTGATGGATGAGTGCCTGCTAATCAATGATCCGGTTGGTTTTCCTGCATTATCGTTGCTCTCGAGGCTTGCGCTGCGAACTGACGGCGGGTCGGCAGCGAAGGAGACGCTCGATTTGTGACCTGACGACCCGTCGTCGCCGTCGCTGGCCCTCACACTAGTATTGGATCCATCGACAGTGTTGGAGTCGCAAGAGAAATAGTCAGCCTTGGGGCCTCTTGTCTCCGAATCGCTCCGAGGTACAGTCGTCTTGGGAGATATGTCGGAATCGGAGCGTTTGACGGGCACAGGTGGGACGGTAGAGGCTGTCGCCATGTCGTCCACCGTGTCGAATCTGAGGATGAAGCGAGCGCTGTGGAAGGGGAAGAGCCGTGTTTGGCTTTAGCTTGGTGTTTCCACCAATGTTTGGTTCAAGCAAGAGTGCTGTAAGGATGCAGCTGTGTGATGCCAAACTAGGTGGATGGATAACGGACGATGATCAGGACAAACAGGTTGCAAGCGAAACAATCGACAGAATCCTCCCTTGATGGATGGAAACGGAAGGAAAGCTCGCGACTTGAGATCGGCTTCGACAAAGACCCAAGTAACCTCCTTCCCGAGCTGCCAAGATGGATGCGACTGCTGCCAAGACCGAGAGGCTGATAGGCAAGCTTGGCTTGGCCTGGGGAAGACCAAATCACGAGACGCGCAAGGAGGCGCAGATGATGGAGACAGGTTTCCTAGCGCGATAGGCGAAGGGGGCGAAGTCGAGTTTAGCTATGACGTTGAATGAAGCTGTTTGAAAGTGGATAGATAGTGAGAAGCTTCCGGACGCGGGTTGCGATGCGGGCACAAGCAAAAGAGAGCAAGCAGCGGGCGCAGATTCGATTTGACGGGAAAAGCAGGAGCGAAAAGATGCGAGAGACAGAAAGAGGACTGTGCGTCGCTTTATCAATCGATAGAAAACGACAGCGGTGAGTAGACGAAAAAGTGCTGGTCAGACGCGAGTAATTCAAAGTCGGCGAGCGGGCGGTGGTGAGGTCGATCCTGGAGCTTTCCGAGGGAAGCTGCAAGTGCAAGCAGGTGATGGTGGCGGCAGGAGAGAGAAGAGAGAGTGACGAAACCACAACACAACCAGGATTGGGGTTGCTTGCTATGGATATAACGGAAAGTGGTTTAAAGATCCTTGTGCGAGTGTGAGATGAGCAAGAGACGGTGTGCGGCGTGTAGGTGTGCTTGTGTAATTGTTTCGGTAGGTCGGTGGTCAAGGTGACGAGAGGTGAAGCCACGGCCAAGGCCTAGGTCAGCCCAGATTTTGTTAGACGTAAGGTTATAGTCAGGCAAGGAATGGAGAAACCACGTTTTCGGACGTCGCCTTTTTACCACAACAGGTCAAGGGGACGGGAGAGAAGAAAAAGGGGAGGGAAGGTTTAGATTTCGTTTGCGGAGTTCTTTTTTAGTCTAATCCGTCCATGGTCCTTTTTTTTTTTTTTTGTGTGTTCCTTAGGCAGGCAAATTGAATCATGGCATGGGGATCTGCTGTCGCAATAAGAGAGGCGGCGCGTGAGGGAGGGTGAAGGAGGAGAGGCGGAGATACCTATCCCCCCCTTCTACCCACCCCCAAAGGTGCTGGCGCCGAACGGATCGGGCCTTGATCCACGTAGCAGCAGGGCGTTTACAAGGGAAAAGGAGGGTGAGGCTAGAGACTGCGAGCAGGTACTGAATTTCCATTTTCAAGCGTTGCAAGAGTTGTGCGGTTCGTGCACTTTTTGAAACCTAGGTTGAGGCGGTAGCAGCGGCGGAATTTCACCGAGTTGAACGCAACCTACGTAGTAAAGGACATGCAGAAGCAGGGTCGAGGTGCGATCAAGGTTGGCGATGCAGATGTGGTGGCTGTGAAAAGTGCAAACGCTTGACGTAGTCCCGGCCCGTCAGAGCAAACCGTTTATCATCCATACGACGTGCTTATCCCATCCCTTGTTGCTCAATCCTCAGGGATAGTAGCTCACTGGGTAATGAGTATCCGTAGGTACATACTGTAGGTTGTGTGGCAACGGGGGACAACGGCGATGCGATGCAGGCCAAGACACGGGAAGATTTGGCACGCGAGAGGCATGGGCTCGCTGCGGGGAGTCATTGGCTGGATTCTACGAACTGCAAGTAGGGTATCTCTCAAAATCTCTTGGAGATAACGACAGAAGCGAGAGTAAGAGTCACAAAGGGGGAACAGAGGGAACAAGAGGCCGCCCGTCCAGCCCTCCCTCGAGTTGAGTAACGAGGAAATGAAGGGCACACCAGGCACACGCACGCATAGCGCACACAGCACACTGACGGTAGTTGGCAAAAGAAACATTAGCCCACTCACACACTATTTGTGCTGCAGTCAAATACGACGAACCCTATCAACACCAACATCCCTGGGGATCCATTAGATCACATGGAAACTCTTTGGCTCTAACAGCCGGCAACCAACGAGTAGGGCTGCTTGCCGGAATATCCACTTAATAAGCGGCCCTTGGTGAGGACCGCTATCCCCCTCACTAATGCCACCTTGTTTTTGGGCAGCCATGGTTGGAAATCATATTCTATCCCAACCAACTTTTGGGTGCAAAATCCGCTCCGCTCTCTCCAATCTTGGCTCCGGCACTCATGGCCCGAGTGTTACTCTAATGTCCAAGAAAGAGAAAGCCAAGCCGGCGCTAGATGGGCTCGGCACTCGTTGGATGACGAACACCTCACACCCAGCACCTGGGAGCTGGGAAAAAACAAGCCTGCGACTCCCGCCGCCCCGGGTGGATCATATCACCAGCTGGTGGCTGCACTTGGGCATCGCGGCGCGGACGCCCGTGGCGGGGGGTTGCAGTTAGCTTGGCTTAGCAAGATGAGCTAGCGGGGTTGCGGCTAGATCCAGCATGGTGTGTCGACTGAGAACAGAGCCTCCGCAGATGAGATGGGATCGATGCCGGTGACTCTTGTCTGACAGCTTCCCGGGCGAGCGAGCAACCATCAGGCGAAAGAGAGTGTGAGCCCATGCAAGGAAGCACAAGCGAGAGACATTCAGCCCATTCAGAGAAAAGTTGCCACAGACTCTTTGCTCACCGCATCACACAGGTCATACCCGGTCCGCCATGATACCCCTTGAAGCAGGGCCTATCTGAACCAGTCAATCCTCTTGGTGGCCGCACATGAAGGCTTCTGGTTGTTTGAGCTGTCAACTCCACGACTCCATTGTGTGTCAACTCTGCACATTCCCGTTCCGAGGCGGACTAAACGCGGCTCCGGAATCCTACCCCGGTAATTCCGACACCGCCGGCTTGGCCCAGCCATCAGGTTCAGCCCCAAATCCAGGTTCCCGGCTGTGGAGTTGTCGTCCCTGTCGGCACTTGAGTTGCTCTTCACGTGTCTCCCCGATTGGAAGGTATCCGAGCAGACCGGAAATCTCAGTGCTTTCCTACCACCAATGATGACAACTCTACAGTACGGGTCTGACTAAACTTGGCTGAGGGGAATACAATGAACTCGTCAGGCCTAATCAACCCTTTCTTTCCCGGATTTCCATCGTCAAAAAGTGCAGCTTGAGGGTTTTGGGGGTGTTGCGGACAACGCCACTTTCAACGTGATCTTGTTTCGTGCCTTCTATGGCCTCTCTCGTCAACTATTTACATAGGAGACTTCAGTATCTGATACCGTCCAAAAATCAGAAGTATCTGGATCAGAATAATGGCTTGACGAATATCTTGAACGTGCTAGAGAACGTGCTGGAGAAGGAGATCGTTTCTGTGACCGTTTCGAGGATCCTATGTTTCGCAACCAGTCTCTTATATTTAGTTTGGCATTTCTCTCTTTCTTCGGCTCACTGTCAAGCCCGTGGGAGTTGCCCGCCTCTCGTTGTCTTTTCCCAGCCACGTGAGCAGCCTGCTCAGTGGCGCCTTGAACTCGGCGTTGACCCTGAGGAGGGTACACGGCTCGGAGCCGAGTTCGAGGAGGGGATACGACTCGGCGCTGAAGCTGAGGAGGGTACACGGCTCGGAGCCGAGTTCGAGGAGGGGATACGGCTCGGCGCTGAAGCTGAGGAGGGGATACGGCTCGGGGCCGAGTTCGAGGAGGGGATACGACTCGGCGCTGAGTCTGAGGAGGGTTTACGCCGAGGTATTGATGCTCGAGGCGAGCCGTTCCGTTAGGCAACTGGGGCTCCAATGTCCTCCTCGAATCTTCTTCACGCATGCTTTGAGTTTGAGTATCTGCTTCGAGCGAATTTGACATTTGTTTATGGCGGTGCGATTGCCAGCTTTCAGCAGTTGAAATGTCGATCCTTCCAGCATCCCTAGGTTTCTGGTTAGGTGCTATTATTGTGCTCCTCGAGCCTGAAGGAAGCTGGACGCTTTGCTGAAGCGAATCCAAGGTAGTCCATCGACCAGATGCTTGTTCATCCACAGCAGACGACGATGAGTCCCCTTTGATATTGGAGGTTTCTCCTATCTCCTGGTCCACCTTCTGGAGAGGCTCTGTCTTCATCAACTCATGTTGAGCAGCCATCTCAGCGGTAAGCCTCTTTGTCGGAGCGCTAGCCATGAGCTGCTGAACAAAGCTGATGGCGGCGGCGCTGGCTGAAACATGCAACAGAGGCGCCTTGGGGAATGGCCCGCCTTTCCAGTACTTGAGGAGTATGAGATCGCCACCAAACGCCCGTTTGTGAGTGAGCAGGTAGAAGATGGTCTCGCCAAAACACCACATGTCAGCCGGGAAATGATCAACGCGCTCGGGATCATCTCCAATTCCATGTATTAACTCGGGAGGCATGAAACCAGGTGTCCCCTTGACCGTTGTGGTAGCAATGTCGATACCGATCCGTTTGCTGAGCCCGAAGTCACAGATTTTGACGTACCAGTCACCATGCGGGGGTTTGTCCTTGATTAGTATGTTCTAGACAAAAAGAATATCTATCAGAAAGGTCATAGTAATCTTAAAGGAGGTTCTTACCGCCGGCTTCAAGTCTCGGTGTGCAAAGTTGTTCTGATGCATAAACCGTAGCCCTTGAAGAACTTGGCATCCAATGTCCTGCACTTGATCCTCCGGGAGTTTGCCATACATTTCGACATGGTCCTTCAAATCTCCCAGTTCACAGTATTCCATGGTCAGGAACAGTGCAGAGGGACTCTGAAACCATCCGTAGGACTTGATAAAGAACTCGGAATACTATGGAGGTCAGTGACACTGTACATGGCGACACTAGGCGAGGAATATCTGACCTTTGCCTGGGAGAACTTGGCCAAGGCCTCCAGCTCTTTCACATAATCACTCTTTTTCGATCGAAGCTTTTCAAGGTCCAACTGCTTCACCGCCCGGGAGTTGTAGGATGTGTGACTCTTTGGCTCTCGCTCCTCCAGCCAAACGATGCCGAAGCCCCCACGGCCGAGCATCTTCTGACGAACCCATCTCTCCTGTTGAGGTCCCCGTCTTCTCCAGTATGTCATGTGCGTCGTCTCAGTGGGGATGGCGGCGGATGGGTGGAAGGTTGCCTCGAGGTGCGAGTCTTGGACCAGTACTGGGAGGTCTTGGAGGGAAATTCCTTGGAGAGTAGCCATGTCGATTATATTTCAGCTCGTCTCTATCACCACTCAGGGCGGCAAGGACGAGGGTTGGGCCGTGGTGAGACAATTGCTATGATCTAACCAAGCTCAGGATTAGGCAAGGAACTATGGTGGGACAATGGCCGGAGTTGACTCGGACTGAGAATTGGACAAGAAATGGCAATCCCGAAGGCCGCATGAAGAATCTCAGCAGTCTCTAGATTGAGGGGAAACGCCCACGTCAACGGTATTGAGCATTCAGCCTGGTGTTCAGCCATGCACTGCCACCAAGGCGAGATACCTAAACGCCAATATGCAACTTCTGGGGGGTAGTAAATATCTTGGTCCAATGAGAAGGTCGGGCTGTTCAGCTGAATTGGGTTGTTGGCACAGCCTGATTTGGGAGGGTCTTGGCAGAGGATGTGGGTTGAAAAGACTCCCAGTTAAGTCACCACTCTTGGTCAGATCGATGCATTGTCTTTTGCGAAAAACCATCTCACATGGAGGCAGCCGGGTTAGCATTTGCGGTCGTCGGTGCGGTAGACTTGTGTATCAAGTAAGAGCATTCCCAATCCTTCGAAGCAACCTATGGCTAGGTCGGTAGGTCTGACTGTGAAATAGGTATGGAAGAGAGGTACGAAAGATACGCACGGCCTTCAAAGGAGCTGAGCCCGAGCTTGAAGAGAGAGCCCTCAAGATAGAGATTGGCTGGCACAGATGCTTCACCCAGCTCGACTTTCTCAAGTCCATCAGCCACCTGATGGACGAGGTCCACCAAAGCCTACAAGGAAGGACTTTACGAATGTTGTCTATCAAGCTCGACGGCGCAACTCACACTCTGCGGGGAATGCTTCAGCAACAGACTGTCAATGATCGCAATGGGAAGAGAATCGTCTTTGTTCCTCGACCCTTCAAGTATGCGCTGAAAAAGGAGAAACTCGATGAAGCTATTGATGCTCTCAACTCTTGGCAGCAAATGTCAGATCCGTCGTGGTTTCTGCTTATGAGGATGCATAGTCGTGAGATGAGCAAAGCTCTTACAACAACGTCAAAGGTCACAGAGGCTATCCCCTCAGTCTCTGCTATCCAAAAGGATCTGAGAGAAGTCTCACTTGAAACTCTTAGTCAGACATCATCTGGATTGTCGCTTCCTGCCAAGAACCTCTATAAGATGGACATATCCTGCATTCCCTTCTCCGACTTAAAGATTGCCAAGAGCGAAAGACCTGGGAGGATCACCACCTACATCCTGGACGAGCTCGGTACTCTCGACTTGGCTTCTTACCAGGAAATGGAAAAGAACATCCGAAACCTAGCTCGTCGGCTTCAGCACAATGAGCCGCAGACATTCGGTCTCCTTTGTTGCAAAGGATTCGTCGCAGAGAAACTAGGCCCAAACCTCGGGAAGTTCACGATAGTATCCCGCATGCCGCCTGGCCTACCGAGCGCTCAGAGTCTTCGACAGCGCTTATTGCAGGGCAGCAAGCCCAGCACATTATCTCGAAGGTTCTCGATCGCCCAGGAGTTAGCCAAGTCTGTCAGTTATATCCACGTCTTCAGCTTTGTCCACAAAAACATTCGTCCCGAGACTATCCTTGACTTTGACACTGAAGGAAAGGATGGTGCGTCGGTTTTCCTCCTCGGTTTTGAAGATTTTCGACAAGAGGATGGAAGGACACGACGTCGCGGCGATGATGCCTTGGAAAGAAATCTGTATCGGCACCCTTCGCGGCAAGGTATAGTCCTCAAGGAGGGGTTCCTCATGCAGCACGACATATACAGCCTCGGCGTTTGTCTACTAGAGATTGGCTTGTGGCAAAGCTTTGTCAACTACGAAGCTGGAGAGAACAAAACTCTGTCACCCATAATCGGTGTATCTTCCGATGCCTCCCATGATGAAGCAGCGGCTTTCCTCTTGACTTCGGTAAAAGACCGTTTTGTCAAGTTGGCTCAAACCGAACTCCGAGAATGCATGGGTACCCGATATTCCGAGATAGTAGAGACCTGCCTCACTTGCTTAGATCCAGGCAACAACTTTGGAGATCAGCAAGAGTTTCAAGACAAAGACGGGATTCGTGTAGGTGTGAGGTATATTGAAAAGGTGAGAGTATCTAAGACGCCTAAGAGCTTCCTACTAACTCGGTCAGATCCTCCACCGACTCAACAGCCTCTGTGTCTAAAGGCTCAGAAGAACATGCCCGAGAACCCTCTAATACCAAGTACGCAAACCCTGGAGCAGGATCATGATGCTGGATTAAACGACTTTTTGATTCCTTTTACTCTTCATTGCCCTTTGTCATAGGCTCCCATGCCTCTACGAGGATGTACCATATCTCTGCCACACATATAGCCAACTCGAGAAATTCTCAAGCTTTTGCACGAGCATCACCAACTCCGAGACGCCGTTGCCATGCCATGCAGCCTACCTAACAAGTCGGCCTGCATAAACCCCAAGTGTTGTCCTGGTCATGACCTTTGGGGGCTTTCAGCCGAAGAGTGCTAAGCACCGTCGGGCTTGAATCGAAGGCCCCAGGATATTGAAAAATGAGGCTTTCCAGATTCCTCTGAAGCACCTCAGTTGTAGGTGCGGGACAGGTTTCGGAGGTACCAGTCCACGAGCTTGCGTCCAACCTTGGCCTCCGAGATGTGAATCAGGTCCTGTAAACTTGTCAGTGCTTGTTCAGTAAACTTGAATTTTCGGAGTACTCACGCCCTGGAGAGCATAGTCAAGGTCGCTGACGTTGACGAGCTCACCCTCGAGCAGACCCTGGTCCTGCCATCGCAGCTGCTTGGTGCGCTGCTTGGTAACCAGGAGCCATGATCGCAGCTCCTCGGGCTTCACCTCGAGGAAACCAGCGAGCTTGTTAAGGTCCATGGTGGTGTAGAGTCGGAGGTAAGACTTGATGGTGGGGCTCCACATGTTGGTCTTGACCTCGTCCATAAAGACAGCGAGGTGGTGCTCAACGGGGTCGATGTTGGCCTCGGGGTTCTCAAAGTCCGGAGGAACGGGGGAGATGAACTTGGGGCAGGCGGTGCGGAAGAGCTCCTCGAAGATGGGGAGGGACTCGGGGCCACCACGCTGGAGCTTCAGAAGCTGGTCACCGTACTTCTCACGGAGAGCGCTGTGGATGGTGTCGTCCAGGCGGGTGGGCTGGAAAGCGACGCAGATGGCAATGAGGGCGTACATCTGCTCGTTCTTCTTGGTGATAGAGTCGTACTGGGCGCTCTTCTGGAAGTTCTTGGTTCGCGACACATAGACCAGGATGTGGCTGAACATGCGGATGGCATCGGCGTAGCGGTGCTGCATCATGTAGGAGAAACCCACATAGTAGTAGGTGGTGAAGTGGGCGGCCATAACACGGGCGAACATGGCCTTCTTGTTGAGCTCGATGTCATCGAGGGTCTTGAGAGCCAGGCTAAAGTCTCCCAGAAGAGTGTGGACCCGGAGGAGACCGATGATGGAGAAGTAGCCGAGCATTCGGTACAGGTTCTTGGAACCGTAGTCGCCGGCAACAGCCATGGGGTCCTCGTTGCGCTTCATGGCAGCCAACTGGTCGGTGATCTGAGATCGCTGGATCAGGGAGTAGAGAACGTTGAGGACGCTGTAGCAGCCCCAGGTGTTGGGGTTCTCGCGGAGAGCCTGGCGCTCCTCCTCGTTGGATGTTTGCCGGGCAATTCGCATGCGGTACGACGAGAAAGAGTTGAACTGGTAGATGAACTCATCGATAACATCCCAAGCCCAGTAGTACTATGAGCTCTGTTAGTCCCAGTCAATCCGGGATAAATTTTTTTGGGCCACCAACCGAAGGAGGCTCGAGGTCAACGGGACCATCCGAGTTCAGGATGTAGTGGAACAGACTGCAGTACGCATCGTAGCTCTGGAATTTTGTCTCGAGAGGGGCCTGGAAGTCGAGAGGTTGAGCGGCCTGGACGAGGCGGGCCTGGATATCGTCGGTCTGCTGGGCCAGGTTCAGAGAGGTGGTGCGGCTGAGGTCATCACCATCCTCGTACTGGACGTGCTCCTTGTACTCGGCCACCAGGGCTTCCTCCTCGACATCGCTATCGTCATCGATGGCGCGGGCCGGAGCCACGCCGTTCTGGTAGGTAGCCATCGTGTGCGATCGGACGTGGGTTCCGCGTCGTGTCGGGTCGCTCGTCGTGGTGAGGGGTAGAAATTTTACGCCCCTCCAAAGGCCTCGCGAGTTTTCGTGATTTTAGGGCTTTTGCTTGAGTTGTAGGGCGTTGTGGCTTGAGCTGTGCGATGTGGCGCAGCTGCACGTGACTTGACACTGTGCTCTGTACCGGTTAACTGCGTCACAGGCACCTCTATCGGGGAGGCGGGGCAGTAACTCAGCGACTTGGTGATGTCTCTATTTGCAGATATGAGTCATTCTCAGTCACTTTGCAGATATTTCCTAGAAAGAGCATGACAGGGCCTTGTTTTGCTGACTCTCGCGTGAGTAGGAAAGGCTAGATTCGTGGATTAGTCACACTACCAATGAGCAAGAAGCAGGCAACATACCTCCATATCTGCGCCTCCACATCAAGGTTGATTTACAGTTTCTGAACCGTTGGGTATAAAATCTGAAGGCCCGGTTCCATTGCCTCAGGCAACTCAGTCTCTGAAACTTGCACCTTTGGCTAAACAGATTTCCATTCTACGAGTCGTTTCTCAGAGGAATCGCCACAATCATGCCTGTCGTTACTCCAGAAAAGCTGGCTAGCCTGCAAAGGCAGTCCAGTGATATCCGAAATGTGAGCTAAATTTGCCAAACTGTGGCCGTTCTCAAGTTAATGAGATTGCAGATTTGTATCCTGGCCCATGTTGATCATGGCAAGACTTCACTTACCGATGCTCTGCTCGCCACAAATGGTATCATCTCACCAAAATTGGCGGGCAAAATCCGCTACTTAGACTCCAGACCCGATGAGCAAACAAGAGGAATCACCATGGAGTCCTCTGCTATTTCTCTTTATTTCGCCATGCGTCGGAAAACAGCCCCTGACGCTGAGCCCGAAGACAAGGAGTATCTGGTCAACTTGATCGACTCTCCAGGTCATATCGACTTCAGTTCTGAAGTCTCAACAGCTTCAAGATTGTGTGACGGCGCCGTTGTACTTGTGGATGCCGTCGAGGGAGTCTGCAGTCAAACAGTCACTGTACTTCGTCAGACATGGATCGAGAAGCTCAAGCCCCTGCTCGTCATCAACAAGATTGATCGACTAGTGACAGAACTCAAGATGACTCCCGGAGAAGCATACATTCACCTAAGCAAGCTTCTTGAGCAAGTAAATGCTGTTCTTGGAAGCTTCTTCCAGGGCGAACGAATGGAAGAAGATCTCAACTGGAGAGAGAAGGTGGAGGAGCGAGTGAACGCAGCGACAGCCGCCAAGGAATCGGCTCTTGCGGACCAAGTCAGCGACACCGGAGATATCCAATTCGAGGAGAGAGACGACGAAGACATTTACTTTGCCCCAGAGAAGAATAACGTTATCTTCAGCAGCGCCATCGACGGTTGGGCGTTTACCTGCAGACAATTCGCCAGCATGTACGAAAAGAAGCTCGGTATCAAGCGAGGCGTCATGGAAAAGGTTCTATGGGGCAACTTTTACTTGGATCCCAAGACGAAGAAGATTTTGGGCCCCAAGCATCTCAAGGGAAGAAATCTGAAGCCCCTTTTCGTTCAGTTGGTACTTGAGCCAGTATGGACTGTCTATCAAGCAACTGTGGGCGGTGACAACGGCACTGGCGATCGAGAACTGCTGGAGAAGGTCACAAGGTCCCTTAACATCAAGCTCACACCTCATATGCTCAAGTCTCGGGACCAGAGACTTCTGATGACAACTGTGTTTGCGTCTTGGCTACCACTATCAACGGCGCTGTTGGTATCCGTCATCGAATCCTTACCGTCTCCTGCCGCCGCACAAGCTGAGCGACTACCCGAACTACTCGAGGAATCCCCTGGCTCGGAGCACATTGATAAATCCATCAAGGACGCCATGGTTTCATTCAAGCACGAAAAGTCTGATCCCGTCGTCGCCTATGTCAGCAAGATGGTGTCCGTTCCCGAGAGCGAGCTACCCGAGAACAAGCGACGAACCGGAGTACAAATGAGCGGCGAAGAGGCACGAGATCTCGCCCGCAAGAAGAGAGCTGAAGCTGCGAGGGCTCAGGCCGCAGCTGGCGAGAATGGCGTTGACAGCATGGCAACCGCTCTTGATACGATCAACCTCGATGATTACGCCCCTGAGTTGGAGGAGAAGAAGGTCGATCCCGAGCATCTCATTGGATTTGCCCGTATCTACTCTGGAACCCTCTCGGTTGGCGACAAGCTCTATGTCATCCCTCCCAAGTGGTCGCCTGCTGAGCCACATGCTGCCCCCGAGCCTCAAGAAGTTACTGTCACCGCCCTTTACATGCTCATGGGCAGGAACTTGGAGGCTCTTGAGTCGGTCCCTGCTGGCTGTGTGTTTGGCATCGGCGGTCTTGAGGGCAAGATTCTGAAGTCAGGAACTCTGTGCAGTCGCCTAGAAGGCGCTGTCAACCTTGCGGGTGTAAGCATGGTGGGCAAGCCTATTGTCCGTGTTGCTTTGGAGCCTGTGAACCCCGCCGATCTCGACAAGATGATCCACGGTCTCGAGCTTCTGGTGCAGAGTGACCCGTGTGCCGAGTATGAGCTCCTTGCAAGTGGTGAGCATGTCTTGCTGACTGCTGGCGAACTTCATCTCGAGCGATGCTTGACGGATCTCAAGGAGAGATTCGCTCTTTGCGATATCCAACCAGGAGCCCCCCTTGTTCCCTATCGCGAGACCATCGTCAGGGCCGAGGAGATGCGACCCCCTGCGAACAAGGAGCTCGGTCGCGGTGCTGTTGTTGCTACTACCAGCTCAAAACAAGTCACTATCTCACTCCGGGTACAGCCAGTTCCAGCAGATGTGACAGAATTTCTGCTCAAGAACGCGGACGCCATCAAGCGGCTGCATGACCACAAGGCCAGGGTGGATGAGGAGTCTGAGGGCGAAGAGATCGCCGCAGATACCGTCGTCGCTGCCGGAAACACCCTGTCCGTGGAGGATTTCAAGAAGCAGCTTAAGGAGAAGCTTGAGAGCGGCAAGGGCAGGGAGAACTGGAAGGACCTCATTGATAAGATCGTGGCCTTTGGACCTCGACGAACCGGACCAAACTTCCTCATCGATGCCACTGCAGATGGTATCTTCTCCAAGGCTTTCGCGACTGAGAACACCACAGATACCGCTCCTCGTGCTGGAGAATCCCTTCACCCTAGTCATCTGGCCGACAAGATCTCCTACGCCTTCCAGCTTGCTGCCGCTCAAGGTCCTCTTTGTAATGAGCCGCTTCAAGGCGTGGCTGTCTTTGTCGAGGAGGTCACACTCAACCTTGCTGAAGACGATATTTCACCTCGAGACAAGCTGGGTCGTCTTACAGGCGAGATCATCAAAACTTTCCAGTCCGCCTTGCGTTCTGGCTTCCTTGACTGGTCCTCCCGTCTCATGCTCGCTATGTACAGTGTCGAGATTCAAGCCTCGACTGAAGTCCTCGGTCGTGTCTACGACGTGCTGACTCGTCGTCGCGGCCGCGTCAACGCTGAGATCATGAAGGAGGGCACACCTTTCTTTACCATCCAAGCCCTACTCCCTGTCGCCGAGAGTTTCGGTTTCGCAGATGAGATGCGCAAGCGTACCAGTGGCGCCGCACAGCCTCAGCTCATCTTTGCGGGCTTCGAGATCCTAGACGAGGACCCCTTCTGGGTGCCCTTCACTGAGGATGATCTTGAGGATCTTGGTGAGTTGGCTGATAAGGAGAACGTGGCCAAGCGATATATGGACGGTGTGAGGAGGAAGAAGGGATTGCTTGTGGAGGGAAGGAATGTTGCTACAGATGCTGAGAAGCAAAAGACACTGAAGAGGTAGAACCATGATAAATGAAGCATCAGGAGGCAATGAATAAAAGCGTTTGTTTGTTGATTGTATGAGTACCTAGATTTGACGTGCTATACAGGGTAACACACGAGCATAGGACTACGCACACAATAGTCCGATTAAATCACTCTGGGTGGGAAAGAGAAACACTTGATGTAACTTGATGAAAATTGCATATTACTACTGGACCTTAATATTGCTGAGTTTTCCGGTTGAAAGATGGACCGCTGCCTCCACCACATCAGGAGTAAATCATTGCCCATCTCCATCATCACAGGGGAAATTCATCAGACCACTTCTTGACGATCAACAGTCCGTGAGAATCACAGTCCCCAGTTCCATCTCCCGGGAAAGTTCGATATCTGACAGGTCTGAACCAGAGTCTTGGAGCCGCTGGCCAATCATAGGGTAGCACACCTTGACGTCAGGTGAGACAGTCTTGGAGTTAGGAACGGTACCCGGTCTGCCGCGTGTGTCTATCAGTTTAGTGGTGTTTTAACCCTTCTTCCAGGGACTTGGGATTCATTACTACTGCAGCTCTAGTTACCGAGGGTTTCAGTGTCTTATGAAGTCTTTGTTCTCTTATTGGCCTGGACCCTTTGTAAAAGCTGGACGATGCTCCTAGCTCATCAAAAGTCATTCCCATTCAAAACTAACAAGATAACGAGTTTTCAACTTGACATATCATTTATTACAGCAAAGTTAGATATCCCTTCAAACACAAGGATGTCATTCTTGCCTTTTGAACGGCCGCGCTATGGAGTTGGACTACCACAAGCGCCCGTCCGTCCCAAGTCTCGGCCGGCAAAGTCCACCAGAACTAACGTTTCTTTTTCAACCTGCCGCGAAACAGGATCCGTTACTTCGGGGCCCTTCTCGTTCGGGTTAATAATCCGGGGCGATCGTCGGACGGATCTCCCTTGACTCGGCCACGGCAGTTGCCCCCGTCGCTAGATGAGGCTATCTCTTGTCAAGGGAGGAATAAGGGTCTTGTAACATGGAGAAAGACGACTAGTTACTGGGCCGGGAAGAGGACCATTGTAAAGTGAAACAAGATCAGAGGGGGATCTTCACATGGTTTACGATCTGACTTGCTCATATATAGTCGAGCATCCTTGAGAGGCCAGTTCTCTGGGATCGTTCTTCTGTCAATATTTTTTTCTGGTGCTCAAGCTGGCCCCAGATGGACTCCTCTGCGTCCCAAGATGAGAAGGCGGCCGCCGCAATGGCCGCGCTTAGGGCCTTTAACATTGAAGCTTTCACTCTCCTCGCTCTTGCATTGTTGATCACTGGTTTGAGGTCGTATGTGCGAATCAGTACCGTCGGCTTCAAGAATCTTTGGGCAGATGATTACCTAGTTCTTCTTGCGGCAGTGAGTTTTGAGCAACTTAAAATATTGTGTGATTCACTAACACAGACAGGTCGTCTACTCAGTAGAAACTGGCTTGGCATACTCTGTTGGCAACATTGCCAAGGGAATGGCGAACAACTCCATGACAGATGCCCAGCGGGCGGCCTTGCAGCCAGATGATACTGAGTACCAACTTCGGTGAGTTCAAGAAACTCGAATGCAATGTTGATACTAATTTGGACAGAGTTCTGGGCTCTAAAATCCAGCTCGCCGGGTGGTCGACGTACTCGTTCCTCCTGTGGATTCTCAAGGGGGCAATGTGCACCTTTTACTACCGCCTAACAAAGGATCTCGAAGGCTACCGAACCCGAATTCTGGTTGGCTTTGCTCTCATCATCGTTACCTTCGTCGTGGTTCAGCTCAACCTCCTACTAAGCTGCCACCCATTCTATCGCTGGTGGCAGATCTACCCTGATCCAGGAATTTACTGTCACCCAGCCATCTCGCCGAATCTTGTCTGGACGTACCTCTCATTCAATGTCGCCACGGATCTTTACTTGATCATGATCCCCATGCCTATGCTATGGAAGGCGGCTATGCCGTGGTTTCAGAAGGTCTGGCTTATATCACTGTTTAGCTGTGGTTTGTTCGTCACCATGGCTGCCATTCTTCGTGTGGTTCTACTCGTTTCGGTAAGTCTAAAAAGCCTTTCTACAAGATTTTCGATTATCTAATATCTTTCAGGATCCCGTGAACGGAGCCCAGCTGGCTGGTTCCTGGGCAGTCCGCGAGACCTTTGTCGCAGTTCTGGTGACAAACTTGCCCATGCTCTTCCCACAGCTCAAGAAATGGATCGTTCCGTTGGTGGCTCGAGTCAGCTCTTCTCTAAGCATATCTCGAAATCCATCCAGCTCAAGAGGAGAGTCGAGATTCTCCAACATCACATCCCTCGATTCATGGAGGCGAAAGAGCCGACGGTCATCTCGCCCAATATCCATCAATCCGACACGCAACAACGAGAGTGAGGTCACAATCATTGACGACATCAACCTTCCTGAAGTCGACCTACAACCTACCACCAGCAAGGAACAAGCTCATACGACAACAAAGGAAGACCCGGCACCTCACATCCAGCTTCATATCGAGGTCTCAGTTCTAGAAGAGACCGAACCCCATGATCGAAGGGCGAGCACAAGGAGCGGCAACTACGCAGTCAGCTGGTCAGATTCGCTGCCGAGAGCGGAGAAGCCATGATTCATTCTCGAGCACGCACATCAAGGCGGCTCTAGCAGCACTGCTATTTCTTGTCTTCTTTGTTCACTTCAGACATTTTTCTTTCTTTTCTAGCCCATACTTTCAAAGACTACATTTTTCCTACTAAACACGTACAATTATGATTATGACGGAAATATATACGGGATACAAATGGTAGACATACGGAGGGGTCTGTATATTTTGGAAACATGCTCACTGCATAGCTGCCGGTGGTAGCTCAGGGATGCGCTGTGTTGCTGTCGATAGGGTGGCTTCTTGGTACACACATTCAGGGTATAGAAGTGTAGTTATTCACTTGAAAACGCAACACCAAATAGAATTAAGTACAGACAGTCATTTCCTGTCTATGCCGAAAAAGAAGTCACTCACCAATTCCATTCACTTCAGACCTGATTCAATGTTGCAAGCCGTGAGAACAGGTTCAAAAACAGTTGAGAAAAAAGCCCCCCAGTTCAAGTCAGCACCCCTTCCCATCGAGGCCTTGTTAACCTTTGTTCAAGTGTACAAGGCTATTTCAGTATCTCGTCTTTCGATGGGACCACCTCATTCTAGTAACTCGAAACAAAGCCTACTTGAGTTCGACAAACAAAGGTTCATCTCTCAGACGTGGGGACGTATACCAGATACAAAAGGAACAGAACATGCCCAAAAGACTCTGTTAAACTGGAACCTTTAATCAATCATCAACAATCATCAAACATTCGCAAGATGGCCCGTACACAATCCAGAAAACAGGAGGCTGAGGAATCTCCCACTACTCTCACGTCACCCATTTCTGAGTCCAGCTCGCCGTGTTCGGAGCCCAACTCGCCCGGTCTGGAGTCAAACACCACAACATCTACTCTAAAGTCCAGGAAGAGATCCAGCTCAGAGGCTCAAGATCAGAAGCCCACAAAGAAGATCAAGTCAAAGCGAAAGCCACTAGTCGCATCTCCCCCAGAAACCTCCCAGTGGTCCAATAGTGATGACACCCTGGACTTCAAGGAGGATGAACAGTCCACTATCAAATCATTCGGCCAGGATACCTTTATGAGTCAATGGGAAGCCGATGAGTCGGAGGACATGCTGGAGTTTTACCTAGCGTATCCTCACAACCGCAACGCAACCCTCTGTGAGTACCACTTCCTCCAGCTTTCGGAGAAATGGTACGAGCGACGCAAGCCAGGGGTTGAAAGTGCCCTCGAAAAGATGTTTGAGACGTCATTTGGCTGCAGGGATTCACCGGACTTTTCACCATTCGGCCTTCCAATCGATGAAGACACTTGGGATCTCAAGACGTTGAACGAATTTATGGGGGATCTTTCGCGGCAGATTGAGCAGGCCAAGCTTCGACTAGATCAGGAGCATAATCGAATCTCGTTTACGACGGCTCATACACCCATATGTGAGGTTGGACCCAGGGATGAGCATTTGAGGTGCACCCTATGTCCCGAAGATGACGAGAAACTCATGCCGGTTGAACATATGAGTCTTGTCCCTGAAGAGTGCGATGCCGCGGTCACCAAGTGGGTACAAGAGAGAAGAGAGCAATGGGAACAAGACGTCCTCACATGCGGTCATACCTCACCCATCATGATCTTGGGCGGCAAGAATCCAGACATTCTTGAATGCGAAGAGTGTGGGCACACTCAACAGGCCGACAGCGATGCCTGCCCAGCAAAGTACGAGCTGCGAATAGCTAGCATTCGTATTCCCGTCGAGGTCTCCCCCTCTCACATGGCAATGAACAGCCGGCTCGGCCACGGTGACGTTGGGGGCATACATTTTGTCGTTGACATTTGCACCGGCAATACCCTGATCAAGTTCCGGTGAGTTTCTCAAAGAGATCTCTTGGAAAGCGGAACCTAATCTGGTGTTAGCTCAACCCGGTTTTCTCGTGCTCATGAGGCAGAGGGCCGCGGCGTCGGACGTGATCATTGCATCGCAGCTGAATTGTGCGATGGTCTAGGGGCCTATGAGCCAACAGGATGTTCAGATTATTTTCCAAATTGTTCTTGCAATTGAAGGTTCGGGGAGGTGGACTTTTACTATTAGACTAATAGAAGTTGGTGGCTGAAAACATCAACAAAGATTTCGATACACCTGCCGTGTTTGAGCAGTGCTTGCTTGCTATTGCTTCCGCTTACTATATTTTGTGAAAACGCGCTATATTTTAAACAAGCATAAACACAAGTAAACCTTATAATCCAAAGGCCCTGATAAGTAACGCTGACAAGAAATTGCAGCTTCAAGCAATGCACGTAGGGTAGACGAGTTATGTTGCATCCGGAAGTTATCCAAGCAGGCACCCGACCTGCGGCTGAAGGGGAAAGCCCCCACGTGCCCAACGTGCTAATGTGCCGTGCACCCCACTTTCAACGCCTGGACCAGTCGCCTTGCTCGTACTGGCAGACACGGCTTACAGGGCATTTTACCTGCCGGGCTTTAGTGGCAGGCGCGACCTACCAGAAGCGACCTGCCACTCCTGCCTGGTGCTGAGCTGCTGGGGCCGGCCTCCACTCCACTGGGTCGCACCTGCCCGGCCGACCCCCAGAGGCCCTCCATGCCTGCCCCCCCGGCTGATGTAAGGCTTCATGCGCCAAAAGGCAACCATGGCATGGATGCCGACTCCGACTCCGTACTTCGCCTCCAACTTGAACTCTGCATACTAACTAACCAACCTGCCACGATGCGATACTGAAGGGGAACCTGTCACGACACGAACCAACCAACGCGCCCGCTATAACTCTTGTATCTTCCTTGTATTAAAAACTTGACCTATTTTTCTCTACATTCCTTTTTTTCTTTTCGCGTCTCCTTCGATCCATTCATTTGTACTTATCCTCCCTCTCCCGTCTACTTTTAATCTGGTCCCGCCCGCTGCGCGACATTGCCGAGCGACACGCACGCCACCGCGAACCCCTCCATCCCTGACCCAACCCGGCCAGCCTGACTCCGTCATTGTCGCTCACGATACTCTCTTTCTTACAAACACTGGCCTCCTGAACCTTCACGATGCGTCTTTTTGGTGGAAAAAATAACAAGTTCAAGGCCGATCCTCCCAAGATCCGGATCGAAAAGGTCGTCGTCGACCGGCCGGCCACCAAGCCAAAGCCAAAGCCGAAGCCCGCCCTCAGCGGCTCAGCCTCCCGGTCCTCGTCCTCGCATCGACCTTCTCCGAAGCCTCTTGCACGCCAGGCTAGTCACTCGCCGTATCCCTCATCATCCGACGAGAAGCGGTTGGAGCGTAAGCGCAAGGCTTCCTCGGTGTCGCGTCGATCGCCGGCCAGTGACCGGATCGAGTTCGACAAGGATAGCGATGGCGAGGACGACGGATGGATGACCCTTGACAGCAATAAGAGACAGCGCAAGGGCACCGAAGACGGCTTCGTCGACACTAACCGTAAGCTGCGGAGCGTACGGGCCTTTAAAGATCGGCTAGACAGGAGGAGCTTCATTCATGCCGTGGATGTGGCCTCGCTCCAACACAAATGTGTGCCCGTAATGGGCGCTCAAAAGGAGGACGTTGCCATCGAGCTGCAGTATCCCAGCCTACAACCACGCGAGAAGTGAGTGCCCATGTTGAGTTGGACTTGGAAAGTTGCTAACACTATCTACAGATATGAGCTCGTCTGGGGCAAGGACAAGATTGATGCAGTCGAGGCTAGCATTAAGGTAGTTCGACATGTAGCCGAGACATATCTGACCGACGACGAGGCCGAGCCCTTCACAAACCCCAACGGAGGCATTATCCGTCGATTGGAGAAGGCATCCAATCGCAACATACAGGACCTCATGGGTTTCAAGACGGCTCTGCGCGAGTACAACGAGAAGCTCCTAGCTCTGGTCGAGGACGGTGTGATTTCCAAGAATCTCGACAACATGCACGAGCTCCCCCAGCACCTCGTGGCATTCATCCTCGACCAAATCTATGACCGGACCGTGGCGCCCAAAGTCGAACTTCTCTCCAAATACGAGAACGGAACCGACTATGTCTATGGCGAGCTCCTTCATCCCTTCATCTCCAAGATCCTCGTGGAACAGACCCAGATGACATCGGGACAAGTCTTTGTGGACTTGGGTTCGGGCGTAGGAAACGTGGTTTTGCAGGCAGCCCTGGAGATTGGTTGTGAAAGCTGGGGCTGTGAGATGATGGAGAACGCATGCAATCTTGGCGAGGCTCAGAAGAAGGAGTTTGACGCTCGATGCACTCTCTGGGGTATCAAGCCAGGCAAAGCGCACCTGGAACGTGGTGATTTCCGCCACAACCAGCACATCCTCGAGGCCTTGAGGCGTGCTGATGTGATCCTGGTGAACAACAAGGCTTTCACCTCGAGTCTCAACGACGACCTTACTAGGATGTTCCTTGATCTGAAGCCGGGCGCTAAGATTGTGTCGCTCAAATCGTTTGTCGCGGAAAAGAACAACAACCACAACATCAACGACGTCGGTAGCAGGATTCTTGATGTGGAGGAATGCACATACCCCGAGGGTTATGTGAGCTGGACTAATGCGGGAGGATCGTACTTTATTTCGACGCGAAAGCAGTAGACTATAGAGCTTCATCAGCATGGGAGCAGGAGCAAATGGGACAAGATTGGGTTGAGGGTTAAGCGATGGGTAAACAGCTGGGTTAAGAGCCGGGAATTACATCAGCGTTGTAAGAGGATTGTTCGGGCTTACAGGATACTCCATATAGTACTTGTTTTTGTTCCTTGAGCGTTTGCTTCTTGATTTCGTGTGTTGGGATATCATGATTTGGCGGACGGTCGTCTATCGTTCTTTTTCGAAGATGGGCTCGTTGGCGAGGTTCATAGCATCGGCTTCCTGGGCTATCCTCTTCATCCACCGGTCGACGAGCTCCTTATTTTCCTTCTTGACCTTGTCACGCTCCTTCTCGGCCATGGACATCTGAAGGTTGAGCGCTATCATCTCGTCTTGGACTTGCTGGTGGGGTGTCAGCATGGTGTTTGGCTGTGGCGGTCAGGCCGCACGCACCTCGATCAACTTGCGCTTCTCCCGCAGCTCGTACTCCCTATCCTTAAGTCTGGTCGTGAGATGGGTCTTATCGGCCGTCAAGTCTCGAATCGATCTCGAATCGGATTTTGTTTTTGACCGCAACTTCGTGAGCTCTTCTTCGGCGGTTCGTAGTCGAGATTCGGTGACGCCTTTGGACCGCAGGGCTTCGGCGAGGTCTTGCTTTAACTGGGCGACACCGGGATCGTTGGTCGAGGGCTCGATGGGTTGTTGCTTGGTGGGTTTGCCGCTGCTGGAGATGAGCGACTCTAGTCCCGTCTTTTCAGCCTCCAGCGCGGATATTCGGTCCGCCATCTGCGAGCCTTGGGAGCATCGTCAGTTTCTTGCACCCGGCTCGTTTGATGTCGTGTCGCAGATGGAGTAGGTACAAGAGGGGTAGCAAGAGTGGGTGGGGGTTTACGGACAGGTCTGGACGAGCTCCATGTTGACGGGGTTGCTGAGTTCTGCATCTTTTAAAGATGAGAGATACTGGTCTCGCCAACTAGGCATGATGGAAGAGGGAGGGTGATGGATGTGTGACGGGCGGTTGGTTGGATGTGTAAGTAAAGAAAGATAATAAAATGACTTGACTGATTGTCTGGGGGAGACCGAGTGATGGGACGGACCCTCGATTGACGTACCCGCTCATTCCTGTGGAACCTGAATGATGCAACTGGCGGGAACCTAAGTAACAGCAGGGGTGCCTATTTAGTTGGGCCGAGGAATAGCCATCACTGGTACCTCCCTATGATGATGGGGGAAGCTCCAGCCTAGAATCCAAGCTCATTCATCATATCTGCTGGGGAATAGCTGACGCATAATTCCATCTTTACTGTGCGTGACCTTTCAAGAGGGATTCAAAACGTTAACTCTGCCGTCAATCATGAGATAACGCGAGATGGACACGCTTCACGCGAGAGCCGATTGGGAGAGTGTCGGGGACAGGTGGTTCCGCAAGACACAGCAGTATACAGCTGTGTTTGACCAAGATTTGGACTTGGACAATTATATCGTCACTGGAGCTCCGTATGCGGGTGCACTAGGTAAGTCTTTTGAGATCGAGAGCTTCATCATACTCGAGTTTGCATGAATCTGGCTGGTTTCGCGCTTTTCTTTGACACTCATGATAACTCACCGTGAGGTCAACACGCTAACCTTGTTCTCAGCACTCTGGCGCGACGACACCAAACTCCTGGCCTACCAACCAGGAAGAACATCAAAGCCAGCAATAGACATTTACAGCCTTGCCGGAAAGAAGATTCGGAGCATCCCTTGGGATAAAGGCGCCATCAAAGGACTTGGCTGGTCGGAGGATGAGACGCTCCTTGTTGTCACAGCCGATGGCACCGTGCGCTGCTATGATCTGCAGGGAGACTTTACACAATTCTCTCTCGGCCATGGTTCTGACAACTATGGCGTTGAATCATGCCGGTATGCTACTTTGTCTGCGTGCTGACTGGTTACGCTGGCTAACCATGCACAGATTCTACGATCACGGCCTAGTGGCGCTTCTGGGAAACAACTCCCTAATCACAGTCTCTTCATACTCTGAACCTCGACCCAAAGCGCTCGCGCAGACACCTGAGGGCGAGATTCACTCCTGGTCCCTCATCTCGCCGAACCATACCTTGTCTAGATCAGTCGAGGTCCTGCTGAGTGTTGAAAAGACGGTCTATGTCGTCGACGCTACCGATTGCGAAGATCGATTCCTCGATATTGGCCCATTTAGCCATATCAGCGTCTCCCCAGATGGTCGTTACGTGAACCTGTATGGCGTGAACGGAAAGGCGCATGTCATCTCGAGCGACTTTCAGGAGAGGCTGTTTGAGCACGACTCTGACTCGCAGACGCCGCCTTTGTATGTGGAGTGGTGCGGCAGTGATGCGCTTATTGCCTGGGAGGATGAGGTGCATATCATTGGACCTGGTGACGTATCATCCTCATATATCTATGATAGCACTCGGGTGCATGTCGTTTCTGGTAAGTCCTCTACTTCAATAGGAGGTATCATACTCACCTGGTTCAGAACATGACGGCGCCCGACTCATCACAAACGATTTTTGCGAGTTCTTGGAGAGGGTGCCACGAGATACCCTTGAAGTCTTTGGCCAGTCTTCGGATTCATCACCAGCCTCGATTCTTCTGGACGCCGTAGGTCAGCTTGAGCTTCAATCTCCCAAGGCGGATGATTATATCCAGTTGATAAGGCCCAACCTGACGGGGGCCGTGGATACCTGCGTTAATGCCGCCGGCCGTGAGTTTGATACTCACTGGCAAAAGCGCCTGCTCAAGGCTGCCTCCTTTGGCAAGTCAGTGCTCGACATTTACAATAGCGACGATTTTGTCGACATGTGTGAGACTCTTCGTGTGCTCAATGCTGTACGGTTCTACGAGGTCGGCATACCGCTCTCTTTTGAACAGTACCATCGCTTGACGCCAGAGAGTCTTATCCGACGACTTCTCAGCCGCCATGAGTATCTCCTGGCCATAAAGATCGCGGGTTACCTTAAACTTCCCACGGACCGCATCTACGTGCATTGGGCATCAAACAAGGTCCGCGTTGGAGGTGAAGATGACGATACCATCTGCCGATTGATCGTCGAGCGGTTGTCTGGCAAGCCTGGCATTTCGTTCGAAGAGATTGCGCGAGCAGCGTACCAAGAAGGACGTGGACGACTCGCCACAGAGCTTCTCAACCATGAACCTCGTGGCGGCAGACAGGTTCCCCTTCTTTTGAGCATGGAGGAGGACGAATTGGCTCTCGACAAGGCCATTGAGAGCGGAGACACGGACCTCATGCTCTCAGTTCTGCTACAACTGAAGAGGAAGTTGCCTCTTGCTGCATTCTTCCGTGTCATCAACGCACGGCCGACTGCAACAGCCCTTGTGGAGTCATCTGCCATGGAAGAGGGTGATAATACGTTGCTCAAGGACCTATACTATCAGGATGACCGACGAGGAGACGGTGCGAACGTGTTTATTCGCGAATCACTTAAGCAGCCTGACGCTCGAACTGCGTCTGACAAGCTGGCTCTGGCAGCGAAACTACTTGCTGACTCAAAAGAGTCTACGTTTGAGGTTCATGCCCTCAAGGAGGCTACGACCCTGCTGCGGATGCAAGAGTCATTTGACCGGGATCTCACAGACACGTTTACGGGACTCAGTGTCAACGAGACCATGTTTAAGCTCATCCGGCTTGGCTACTCGGGACGGGCCAAGAAGATCCAGAGCGAGTTCAAGGTACCAGAGAAGGTGGCGTGGTGGATTCGGTAGGTGGACCTCTTCCCCAACAGCCCAGCCCTGGCACTGGCACCGGGAGGCTGAGGGACCGGCTTCCTTCAACGGCTAACGTGTATGGTCCCTGCAGATTGCGAGCACTAGTAGCTAAGCGGGACTGGAACGGGATCGAAGAGATCTCAAAGACGAGGAGGAGCCCCATTGGATGGGAGGTGAGTTTATCGGCACTGCCGTCTACCCCGGAAGAGTTGCAACGGCTAACGGAACGGGGGCCAGCCCTTCTTTAACCTTACGCTTCAGGCAGGTAACCCGAGATTGGCAGCCACGTTTGTGCCCAAGTGCACAGGGCTGGAGCCCGGGGAGACGATTACCATGTACGAGAAGTGCGGGATGCGGGTCAAGGCGGCGCAGGAGGCAGTGAGGCTCAAGGATGCCGAGGCGTGGGAGAGACTTTTGGAGGCGGCGGGTCAGGGGACGGCTGATGGCAGAGAGATTGAGCGTCTTGGCCAGTCAGTGTTTAAGAAGTAGATTGCCGAGTTTAACAGGTTGACTGGATGTTGGTGTTTTGGCAGAAGTGTACATCATTAATCATCTACCCCTTGAAGTTTGCTCAATAAGTTTAACTCATGATCTACACGAGCAACTAGAGGTTTGAAAGAACCGCGTTTGGCGCCATGGCCCTAGGAATACAAGCCAATGGTCAAGTGGCTGCATTGGCTAGATGCAGTGTGGGAAGTGATAGACGCCTCAGGGCCTGAGGGCATGAGGCGCGAGGCTTCATTTCTGAGACGGGGCTGAAGTTTGATGACTGGAATGTGAAAGTCTGGATGGCTAGGACCTGACTCTTAACTCGTGATATGGTCTCGTGACAAGTCGGCGGACGCTTCTGAAGAGTCATGGCTCTTGGCAGGTGAAGTTCTACCATGTTTTGGGGAAGCGGCATGTTGGCGCCAGGCTGGAATAGGAAAGGATGAGGAGCAGACGACGGGTTCCTGACCCTGTTGACAGGCTGTTGAGTGACACGGGTAGAACAACGAAGAACGGTGGCAACAGACAAATTGAGGGGGAGACACCATCTGGAGGTTTCACGTGTAGCTCGAGGGTCTGGATGAATGAATCGGGGTCTCCCGAAGAGCCGTCCCACGGATCGGCCAATGCGTGCAGCAGCGAACAACGAGGGCAGATGATGTTCGCATGAGAGCCGGCGGGTGGCATGACAGCTGAGGGAGGGTAGGGTGATGATATCATGGGTTGTGCTTGTCGCTGTGCAGTTGCAGTTGCAGTGGGGCGATCGAGACCTCGGCTGTTGCTTGACCGGGCACCACAGGGAAACTCTCGAGAAGAAGGAGGGTAAAGTATTTGAAATTATGCTGTGAAATCTACGGAATCTACGGAAACACAGATTGAGTTTCCATCATGGGCTGTTTTCTTTTTTGCTTCTTGACTCGAAATTGTTTTGGTTCTGGCTGGACCGGTTGGTTGCCTCTTTAGGACATGGCCCATACCGGGGTCTGGATTCAGGTCTGGAAGCGTCTACGGTGGCGGTCTCGATTTGGGCTGAAGAGGAGAAGGGATGAGAAAAAAAGGAGAGGGGTGTGTTCCTCTCTCAAACCCATTTGCAAAACAAAATCCACATTGAAAGAAACGGTCACGAATTGAAGAAAAATGGCGCAGGTAGGGCCGTCGTTACGTTGAGTGGAGGTAGGTATAGATCCATGGAGAGGTAGGTTGGGTAGTTATGGAGTAAACAAACTAACATGGGCAGATTCTTGAAAGAGGAGAAATATGACGAGAGGGAATTTCCAAGAAAGCGAATTGTGGGAATGGGCATTATCAGAGCTGGGGACTATGCTTGCTGTTCAATATGAGAAAAAGATGGAGAAGAATATGTCATGATGGGGAGTACTCCAGCGGAGATGGCCGTGATGTTTCCACAAGCCCGACTTCAAGTATACAAGATTCATACTGTACATAACTTTACTACGACTCGAACAGCTTTCATGAGCATCTGCTTATGGAATTGGGATTGAAATATGCCGAGTTGGTTACGCACTCGGATGTCAGTGACGAATTCATCAAATTGCCCCGGATCCGTCAATGCCCTGTCCTGTCGGCCGCCCCTTTCCCATGGGATGGGGGGATGGAAAAGAAACCAAGGCAAGACAAGAGAAAAACCCTTGCGCATTCTGCCCCCAGCTCACAACAACAACTCCACCATGTCTCACGCTGGAGAAAGACGGTCAGACCGAATCACGCACTGTCTGTTTGTCTGTCGTGCGTCCTGATCACTTGAGCTCGTGCGTGCGGTGCAGCGCAGTGCGGGCGTGGAGTGTGTGGCTCGACCCGTGTGCCGTCTTGGTTGATACACCTTATGGATCTATTTCATGATGTGATGGGGCCCGCCATCCTGGTACAGCTAAAAAGCTAGCTAGCAGCATCCACGCGCGCGCCGCGACGACGACGACGACGCCGTCTTTCTGAGATACCCATTTGGAGCTAGAGAATCAAGTTTCCCATTGAGGGAGGGGGGACAAGGCGAGATCTGGACAGGGGTAGATTACCTCGTGGATTGATATCAACAAGCAGGGTCTTTTTTTATTTATTTCTTATTTCTTTAACCAGCTGCTCAGACAACCTGATCGCGTATGTACTTGCAACAAGACTTTCCCATCCCATCTGTTCTCGTCAGTTACATCCATACAGTACAGGACTGGGGTAAGGTTCCCTCCCTCTCGACCACCTCCACTTCAAGACCTGTCCATCTCCCAATCACCCTCCATCGTTGCCCCCCTTGTCAACTGTACACCCCCGGTCGCCGTCCCCGGTCTCCATCCTCGAAATACCGCCGCCACTGCTGTTTGTTCGCGACCATCGAATCGCCGTCGCCAAGCCGCATGGTAAATGAACTCGACTCGCCAACCTCCAATTCTTCCCAAGGACCTCTTTTTTTCCCTCTCTCCCCTGTCCTGCCATCCTGTCAGTTTCTTTTCCTCCCCTTCTTTACTTCTGTCGCACAAAATAAAACACCAAATATCCAACTGTGCTCGCCTTGGCCTTCCCCAGCTGACGTCGGTTCCCGAGACGAAAAGAAAGACCCTACCCTTCCTTCGCCCTCCCTTACAGAGCCTCCGGGGCCCCCTCTTCTACCACTCAAGGACGAGCACCACCTTCTGGAGCAAATAGCTGGGAGCGCCCATAGCTGCAAGGCAAAACAAGCAAGCAAAGATATTGGCGCAGGAGGAAAACAAGGGGATATTCAACAATCAACCATCGCCAATATCCTCTCCCCCCCTTTCGTAGGCGATCGAATACTCTAGGCACAAACAAGACCAGTGGCAACTACCGCCATACGCGCGCGACCGTAAAAGGGCCTTAAGTCGCTCTTGTTTCCCTCGGACTCGCCTTTCCCCCTCCCCACACACAAAGCAAGCGATTGACCTCGAGCTGCCCGTCTGTCTTAGTCCAGGTCTCAGCCTTCTTTTTCTTCGTCACATCCATCGCCCGCGTGCAGCTGAACAGGGCAAGTAAACAAGGTGCAGAGCAGCAGGCGAGACCAGCAAGGAGAGACAATCCCCGGGTGTTTTCTTTGGTCGAGTTTAAGCTTCGACTTGTGTGTTCGGCTATCGCCGCGTCCTTGGCTTTGCTTTGATTCCATCCCTCTCTCCCTTTCCTTCTTGGACTCGAACCGAACCGTTCTTCTTTTGCTTTTGCCTCCAATTCCTCTCTGACGGTCCAGTCCTCGAAGAGATATCTTGGCTTCATCCCACGCATATTTCCCCCTCTGTTCATCATTTTGTCACCCCCTCCCTTTCCCATCCAATGTTCACCCAACCGGTCGTCTCGCCGCCGGCTGTAGCGCCGCCACAGTCATCGTCGACGTCAACTTCGCGGCCAAGCCGACTGCGAGGCCTCAGCTATCTGCGCAACTATACACAGAACCATTTACTCTCGCGCGACAGTAGCCATCACGGCGCAAACGGAAGCGGAACAGGAACAGGCTCTGGAACCGGCAGCCCAGGTGCAAGTGGGAGCACGTCCCCTAATCGACACGGCTCTAGCCTCACGCGATCCCTCAGCCATTCGCCTACCACTACGAGTGGACCGCCCGCCGGAGCCCAGAACGCCAATAATACCAACCACTTGACCCTCGTCAGTTCGACCCCCGATCCCGTGAGGATTTTGACCACCACAACCTCGCTGCCTATTACTGCTACTTCAACTTCAGGAGCGCCCACTTCTGCTCCCGCTCCCGCTTCCGCTTCCATGCAGCAACCCGAGGCCCACGACCCCACCAACAACACCACCACTTCTGCAGAATCCTCCTCACACGCAGACATCGCGACATCTTCTGCCCCCGAATCCGCTCAAGACCAAGCCGCCATGACGAGATCCCGAGCTCCCACCGGCGCCGACACGGGCTCCGCGACCCCTGAGAATGCTCCGTCAATCCGATTCTGTGCCTACTTCGATCCTCGTTCCACCCGCCCGTCGCTCACCTTCCCCCCGATTTCTAGGACTCTGCCTACGGGCTCAGAGAGAATCCGTGTCGGCCGTTACTCAGAGCGTGACAGCCACTCCATGTCCAACATGCCCGGAAACCAGCCGTCGGCCGCCCCAGTTGGCTTTAAGAGCAAGGTCGTCAGCCGCCGCCACTGCGAGTTTTGGTACGAGGATGGCAAATGGTACATCAAAGACGTCAAGAGTTCATCAGGAACCTTTTTGAACCATATCCGCCTAAGCCCACCTTCCCAGGAGAGCAAGGCTTTCCCAGTTAATGACGGCGATATTGTGCAGCTGGGAATTGACTTTAAGGGTGGTGAGGAAATGATCTTCCGATGCGTTAAGATGCGGTTGGAGCTCAACCGAGGATGGCAAAACAAGCTCAACTCTTTCAAGTACGTTTTTTGTCCAACTTTTTTACTGGGTTCGTATGCTGACATTTTTAATAGTATGGCGGCCCATAAGCGGTTGCAAACAATGGCTACGAGCGGCGGAGCGGCTGGTTCTAACTCTCAAGATTGCTCCATCTGCTTGAGTTCCATTGCAGTGAGTTTTCAAATTGTATTTTTCTTCTGAGAGTGCTGACTGATAATCTCTTAGCCATGTCAATCTTTGTTTGTGGCGCCTTGCTCTCACACCTGGCATTTCAAGTGTGTGAGATCACTTCTTACATCACCACAATATCCGATCTTCCTCTGTCCCAACTGTCGTGCCGGTGCCGATCTGGAAGCGGACGTGGACGAACTGGCTGAAGAGTGGGAGCAGATGAAGGAGGAGGCGGAAGCGGAAGCGGCTACACCAGCCAAGGCGGACACAGAGTCCGAGACAGAACAGGCACCCCCTGTTGCTACTCCCGGAAGGTCGACACCAGAACGGTCCAACACGTGTGACAGCGACCCGATGGACGTTACTGTTAGCATAACCCCTGAGACACCTCAGCGACACGAAGTTTCTCATACCGTTTCCGAACCCCTACCCATCAGGAATGCAGCGTCGGGTGCGGGTCGCTCTGGACAGATACGGGATAGCCGAACACCATCACCGCCTGGCATGACCAACGGCGCCGAGGGCCCGATTACGCCAAGAAACAATGTTGGACCCTGGGTATTTGACGGTAGTGCCGGCCGGGCTGCACCAACATCAGCCGAAATGACAAGTATAGACGCGGCTGCAGAAGTGGACTTGAGCGCAGATGACAAAGACTCAAGTTCACGATGAGAAGGCCTACATCAACGCCCGGAGTTAAAAATGCCGTATAGACAGACGACCTCAGATGGCACCCTCCTATTCATACCTGGCGCCCACGATCTTGATCTTCAAATACAAGGCGGCGCCCTTTCGTTTTCCCCTGGCTATCGTTACAGCACAGGCGTTGGAGGAGTTTTACAGTCACTACTACCTGCTGTCGGAGACGCAGCAGCTCACATTGGCGGCACAGCGATGCTATTTCTTCTGTTGAGCGAACAAGCAACTTGCGAGAGAACTAGATGCGAGAGAGCATATATACTGCATGGAAGGTTGGATTCAAGGACAGCCAAGACTAGGGCTCATGAGTAGGAGTTAATGGAATAGAACAAATTACAACATGTCTGGGATATGTGAGATAATTCACATAGCCGTTTGTCGTGATGCCCTCAAATGCATATTTTACAGGAAGCCTCCTATTACCAAATGCTGTCTACTTCCACTGCCTCACCACAAGCAGACCTGTATTTCCAATCATGGCCCACCTCATGCTCGCAGCATGATGGACGCGTTATGTCATCATATGTCGGCCGCTTTTTCCGGCATCGGCACCGAGATGATCCGGCCTATCGCCGCGTGCGGGCGGACTTGCCGGGGTGTGGCTAAATTTCCACAGGCCTTGGTCGCAAACTCGTCCGTCCAGAGCATTTGCATTTGCGTTGCTGGACAGGGCAAAAACTCTTTGGCATTTTCTTCCAGCAAGCGCAACGATACAATGCTCAGACAGTTTAGCTCGCGCCTGCCGGCAAGGGCCCGGGCTTCGTGCTCTAGAGCCTTGGGTCAGGCTTCGAGGTTCTCGTTGGTTCCGAGACGGTCCATGGCTACCGTCAAGGTGGAGGGTATTCCCAAGGTATGATATATATATATATCTTGTTTTTCTTTGACTTGTGCTCATGTATACAGGAACCTACAGAACTTGACCAAATCACAACACTCCCCAATGGCCTCCGAGTCGCTTCGGAAGCCCTCCCCGGATCCTTCGCTGGTGTCGGCGTCTACATCGAAGGAGGCTCCCGGTTCGAGAATGACTCCCTCCGCGGCGTGTCCCACATCATGGACCGACTCGCCTTCAAGTCGACGTCGAGACGGTCCGCAGACGAGATGCTTGAGCAGGTTGAGGCACTGGGCGGCAACATCCAGTGCGCCTCGTCGAGAGAGAGCATGATGTACCAGGCCGCCACCTTCAACAATGCCGTGCCCCCGACCGTTGAGCTGCTTGCCGAGACGATCCGCGACCCCAAGATTACCGACTCGGAGGTTGCAGAGCAGATTGAGACGGCGCGGTATGAGATCCGTGAGATCTGGAGCAAGCCGGAGCTTATTCTTCCTGAGCTTGTGCACACGGCTGCGTTCAAGGATAATACGCTTGGAAACCCGCTGTTGTGCCCGGAGGAGCGACTTGGTGCCATTGACAGAAACACTGTCATGACATACCGGAAATTGTTTTACCAGCCTGAGCGCATTGTTGTGGCTTTTGCTGGAGTTGAGCATAGCGAGGCTGTCCGGTTGACGGAGAAGTTCTTTGGAGATATGAAGAAGAACGAGCAGCCAGTGTTGGAATCTACAGGTTCCGAGACGAGTGAGAGTGAGCTATCAGATAGCGAAGCCAGCTCAGCGTCACCTGCGTCCTCTGCTTCCTCATCACCACAGTCATCACCCCACCTCCTCTCTCGAATCCCCTTCTTCAAGAACATCTCTACTTCGGCACCTCAGCAAGCCACCGTCAACAACACTCCCCCCTCTCAACTCGATATCCAACGACCTGCACACTACACAGGCGGCTTCCTCTCTCTTCCTCCCCAGCCTCCCTCTCTCAGCGGCCTACCGACCTTTACACACATCCACCTCGCATTTGAGGGTCTGCCTGTAGCTTCGGATGATATCTACGCTCTTGCTACGCTTCAGACACTTCTTGGTGGAGGTGGTTCTTTCTCTGCTGGTGGACCTGGCAAGGGCATGTACTCGCGACTTTACACCAATGTGCTCAACCAGCATGGTTGGGTTGAGTCGTGCGTTGCTTTTAACCACTCTTACACCGACTCTGGCCTCTTTGGCATCTCAGCTAGCTGCCTTCCCGGCCGTACCGCCGCTATGCTCGACGTTATGTGTCAGGAACTCCGTGCGCTGACTCTCACTACGGGCTTCTCGCGCCTCCAGGAGACTGAGGTGGCCCGAGCAAAGAACCAGCTTCGTTCCAGCTTGCTCATGAACCTCGAGAGCCGTATGGTGGAGCTCGAGGACCTCGGCCGCTCTATCCAGGTCCACGGTCGCAAGATTCCCGTTAGGGACATGTGCCGCCGTATCGAGAACCTGACAGTCGATGACCTTCGCCGCGTTGCGAGCATGATTGTCGGCGGAAAGGTCAAGAACCCTGGCGGTGGCAGCGGTGCTCCCACCGTTGTGCTACAGGAGGCCCAGGCATATGGTGTGAGCAACCACACCATGACATGGGATCAGATTCAGGACCGGATCGACAGCTGGAAACTGGGTAGTTCCTCTTAGGAGGTTCAAGGCTTTGATTCAAGTGTGAATCCACGAGTACGATGGCACGTCTGAGTCTGTATGCTATCTCACGATGATGAAATGGGGTGTATAATAGAGGGTTTTGTACAGCATATACCGGATTGTGGACTGCAGCGGACAATATAGGAGGGAGCATCATTCGCGAGTAAAGGAGCCATATGTACAACAACTGCTGGGCAGAGATGATCCAAACCAGCATTATTTCTCTACTAGACTCAAATCAATATATATCAGTAAAAAGAGAACTTCCAAGAAATGTTAAAAGAATCGATAATAGATGTATATTGTGTTGTGCTTGACGTCGTAATCGCTTAACTCCGAAATACCAACCGCGTTCCCAATCTATCTTGGTCTTTGCCTTTCCGTTCCGTGTTCCGTGTTGACTACCCAAGGTAGGCAGATATGAATTCAGTATTCCCCAAGTTTCTTTGTCGTGTTGAACATAGCAAATTCGCCATTCTTGATTTTTCCCAATAGTTGCGTCATTATAGTTTAGATCTTACTGCCTCGAGTCGATACTTGACATCCTTGAGGGCTTTGTTTGTGGGTTTCCAATCGTCAAATTGCTTGAGCAGCTCATCTGCTTCGTTGCTGAGCTCTGTCCGGACAAAATCCTCCTCGAGCAAGCCCCGCATGATCCATGGTAGGACATATGGGTTTGCAGACGTTAGAGGGCCTTGACGTGCGCTCACGGTGCATGGTGGAGGCAATGCACCGGTTGACGCCGTCTCGAGAGCGTGAGAGACGGCAAGATCGTAGACGGCATCGTCATAGTATAGACGGGAGTGCCCAGCGCCAGAGTATAGGGAGCCGGCAAGGGGGATGGACAGTTCACGGATCAAACCGTGGTCTGAGACGCCTAGATTACGGAGCTTGAGAGCAAACCCGACGAGGTGGGCGATAAAGTCAGGGGCATGAACACGTCCATCGATGAAGACTGCGCGGTAGATGTAAGGGTGATTGGCAGGAGAGTAGACGGCGGACTGTCAAGGGTTAACTTCTAAGCTGGGAATGCGAAAGGAATCATAACTCACCTCCATCGGAACGAGCTGGTCATCGATGCTGCCGATGAATGTGATGCGAGCGCCATAGTCTACAACATGCTTGAGTGCATTCTCAAACCTCTTCGAGTTGTCACTCTCTGGATTACCAAACTCCCACAACTCGGCAGCTGAGCCCATGAGAAGACCAGATTTATAGTCTGGGAAAGGACCCAAAGCAACACCAGCCATGGCACACACGCCGACCTTGGCATTGGTGATTACACCGAGGTCAATTAGTTTCTCAAGCAGCATGATGCTCACCGGAACTCCTTGCGAGTGACAGGCGATCAAGACAAGATCGGCACTGCGGATGTGGTCGATCCAATTAAGCATGAGCTTCCACAAGTTGTCGACCCGATCCCTGATCTTGCCTTCACCTTCGAGGGCAACCTTTTCAATCTCACAATCCCCACATCCATGAGCTTCAGCCCACCGCCGGATCGCTTCAGCGCCAAGACCTGCAAAACGAAGTGACGTGCCGGTGGGTTGTCCAATCATCGGACGGAGATACGTGGCAGGGAAGAGGCCATGCACACCGATCGCGATAGCCTTGTGGATCTTGGGAGGGTCTCTGATGCGGAAGACGTGGTTGGCGGGAGCTTGCTGGGTACGAAGGAGGAACTGGGTGAGTTGCTTCAAGATGGATGGGTTCTCCTTCATTTGGTAAGTGTTGGAGAACGACGGGAGGAGAAGGTTGTTCGTCGTCTTGACTGAGGCTTCTGACTCGGCTATGGATTGGCCAGAGGAGGCAACTTTGGTAGGGACTGCGCTGGGTTTGTCCATATCGTGTATCTGAGGTGTTGCGCTCCTTGGAGTCGAAGCACCAGACAGCGAGGGTGAAGGAGGATCGAGATCCATCGACTGTGGCCGATTTCTCTTGTTCTTCCGCCAACCTGATTTAACCTCTTTCACCTTTGGAGCGTTTTTCGCGGGTTCCTTTGTAGGTGATACATCGCATTCGGCCATTGGTCTGGGGTGAGCCTCCGATCCTTCACCCATCACGGCCATTTCTCCAGATCCTGGTGATGCTGGTTTCTGTGGCGACTTTGGTGATTCCTTGGACCAGAAGGCCCACGTCGAGCCCGCTTTGGGAGGAGGTTCATGTTGATGTGGAGGAGCAGGAGGCGCATCTGTCATGGTTACATCTTCCGAAATGGCCTCGGGCACGGGCTCCGGTTGAGTATCAAGTTTATCATCGGCAATTTTAGGAGGCTCGGCGGTAGAGTACCAGAAGCCAAACCATGAGGCAGATGGAACTTTTTGGGCGGTTGGTGGTGATGCGACCTCTGCGACCTCTGCGACCTCTGGAGGCGCCGTCTGTGCTGGTGGAGTGACTGGTCGAGCTTCCTCAGCTTCCTTTGTAGGCTCAGGGTCGGTCGCAGGAACTATAGCCTCTTCGGGCCTCGAGATGGTCTGGGTCTCCGTAAATGGTGTCCTTGACCACCAACCAAGCCAACCGGATGAAGTCGTCGGTCGTTGGGGCGACAACTGTGATGCAGGATCGTCCGGTTCTGGCTGAGGTTGAGGTTCGGCTTCCCTTTCAACCGTCTCGGAGCTGGGTTCAGGTGCTTTCGGCGTTTCTGGCCTCTCTGGGGCCTTTGGTGGTTCTTTAAGGGGAGTTTCGGCTTCCGTGATTTGTTTAGGGGGCTCGGTCGGCGCGTTCTCTTCCGTCATGGTCACGTCGGACTTGTTCTCGGGGATCTTTGGCATCGCCTTGATGGTGCCAGCCGTGCTTCGCACGCTTGCTGTATCGTCGTTCTTCTTTGGATCAAATCGGCTGAGATCAGGGGTCTTGTTCGATTTGACTGTTCCTCCAAAGATGTTCTCCTTCGCTACCGAGGTAGATGCTGAAGCCTTAGGAGCCCGGGGCCAGGATCCGTACCAGCTCTTTGATTTCCGGACCTATGCATGTTATTAGGCTACGAACATGGATAAATCAGCCAATAAGCTCAAGACACACCTCTTTACTCTTCTTCTGGCCGGATGCGACACTGTCGCCCGCAGTCTGCTGTCGTGTTGGTGGCATTGGGCCGTTGCTGGGTGCTTCCGATGCCGATGACGCCTCTGAGGCCTGTGATTGTGACGTAGCGCTCACTATCGACGCGCTGACCGGGGTTATAGAGTCGACTTTCTGTGCTGCTTCCGCCGGGTTAGGACGAGCCCTCTTTCGGGGAAGCATTTTGAACTGTGGTGATGTGTGAGGAAGCACATCAACTTGAAAAAGTTTCAAGATGCAGGTTCATATTACGTGTGTGTTTTGAAAGTTGTTGAGAAGTAGGTTCTTGTGTTAATAGACGTGCCTGGAGTTGTAGGTACCTTATCGGTCGCCCCTCGCCCCGCAATTCCAGAAGCGTCACCAGGTACATGGTACATGACCGCCGCGTGCAGGTGGAGTTGGCAGTCCAACATACGACTGAGACATCAACACCCACAACTTTCGGGCTGGGGTAATAGATATAATGAAATATTGGCAAAATTGAATGGGAAGGACTAGAAGTATAGTTTATTTCTTGAAAGCAATTTTCTAAATATTTTCTTCAACTGCAATCGCGGTGTAAGTGAGTTCCAGCCTTAGAAGCGCGTGAGCATGCTGGCATGTCTGCTGCCTCCGGAAAATCGTCTCCCCGAGCCCCCACCGTTATCAGCTTATCGGACTGGCAAAGGAAAAAAAATCCAGACTCGAATTTCAGGTACTAAACCACTGCGAAGAGTGAGCAGTCGGTGTTGCGCCAGCGCCTTTCACAATGAGCACCCTCAAGCGAAAGGATGCCCCTGGTGGCAATCCTCCCTCCAAGTCAGCAAAGAACACAAAGGAAGCGAGACCTTCAAAGAAAGAAGGCGGAAAGGATGCGAAATCCAAGTCCAAGAAGATCGATGAGGCGCCTGCTAAGGGCCCCGTTGTGTCGCTCTTGAAGGAGGAGGAGCCGATGTTCCCTCGAGGTGGTGGCAATGTCCTCACGCCTTTGGAACAAAAGCAAATCCAGCTTGAGGCCAAGGCTGACGCTTTGCGCGACGAAGAGTTCAACACTGGCGGCAAGGCGCAGAAGAAGAAGAAGCGGAAGACGGCGCTGAAGACCGACAAGAAGACGGAGAAGAAGAAGGAAGAGGAGGAAGATACTGTCAAGGTGGAGAGCTTAAGCTTCAAGGTAGGCTATGAGTTTGAGGACAATGTCGTTCTTTAGCTAACATTGGATACAGCGGCTGGTCAAGGGCTCTCTCGTCCTTGGACAAGTCACCAAAATCAACAACCTCGATATCGAAGTCGCATTGCCGAACAACCTTACTGGTCACGTCTCTATTGTCGCTATTTCCGAACAACTGACGGAGCGTCTTGAGAAGGATGCTGCTGAGAAGGACGACGAGGAGGACGACAAGGATGAGGATGGGATTGACCTCGAGACCATCTTCTCTATTGGACAATACGTGAGGGCCTATGTGGTGTCTACTGTGGACGAATCCGGAACCGGCAAGGGCAAGCGACGCATCGAACTCTCGCTACGACCCAGCGAGGCCAATACAGGATTGGAGGGGGACGATGTTGTTATCAACACCACCGTTGCTGCATCCATTGTCAGCGTCCAGGACCGCGGTTTCGTTATGGATACAGGCATTTCCAACCTGGGCGCTTTCCTGTCTCGAAGCGAGATCGATTCGAGCTTCGATGAGCAGAGACTGCAGCCAGGTGCCGTCTTTTTGTGCCAGGTCGTCAGCAAGGGCGCCAATGGCAAGATTGCACAGCTGTCTCTTCAGCAGAAGAAGCTGGGCAACCCCAAGAACGTCCCCGCCGACGCCACTACTATTAACACTTTCCTCCCCGGTACCATTGCTGACGTTCTCGTGTCCAACACTGACCGACGAGGTTTCGCTGGCAAGATCATGGGTCATCTCGATGTTACCGCCGACCTTATTCACTCTGGTGTCGGTCCTGCTGGTGTGAGCTTGGACTCGACCTACAAGATTGGCTCTAGAGTTAAGGCAAGGATTATCTGCAACTTCCCAGCTGCTAAGGAGCCCAAGTTGGGTATTTCTCTGCTCCCTCACATTACATCTCTCGAACAGAAGCGACCGACCAAGACGACCGACGCCAAGAAGCTTCCTACTACGGTCCTCCCCATCTCCTCTTTGGTCGAGAAGTGCACAGTTCGCCATGTCGAAGGCGAGATCGGTCTATTCGTCGACATTGGTATCCCAGGCCTGAGCGGCTTTGTCCATATTTCGAGAGTCAAGGACGGCAAGGTGGAGGCGCTGTACGAATCGAGTGGCCCTTACAAGGTCGGCTCTGAGCACAAGGGCCGAGTTGTGGGATACAACCAAGTCGATGGCCTCTTTCAAATATCTTTCGAGAAGTCGGTGCTTGAGCAACAGTACCTGAGGCTCGAGGATGTCCCGATTGGCGCTGTCATTACTGGCGAAGTCGAGAGGGTTCTCGTTGACGAGAAGGGAGTTAGCGGGCTGATTCTCAAGATTGCGGAGGGCATTACTGGCCTCGTCCCTGAGCAGCACCTTTCTGACATCAAGTTGCAAAACCCTGAGAAGAAGTTCCGTCCAGGCATGAAGATCAAGGCTCGGGTTCTGTCAACCAACTTGGTTAAGAACCAAATGCGACTCACCTTGAAGAAGACACTAGTCAACTCGGAAGCTCCCATCATCAAGTCGTATGAGGACGCTAGTGTTGGAATGCAGGTTCCTGGCACCATTGTCAAGATCCAGTCTTCCGGTGCACAGATTCAGTTCTTCGGCCCTGTCAGGGGCTTCCTGCCCATCTCTGAGATGAGCGAGGCCTACATCAAGGATCCCCATGAGCACTTCCGCGTTGGCCAGGTTGTCAGCGTTCACGTCCTGGACGTTGAGCCTGAGTCGCAGAAGCTTATTGTGTCTTGCAAGGATCCTTCTGCCTTTGGCCTGGACAAGCAAAATGCCCTCAAAAAGCTCCAGGTGGGCGTTCTTGTGTCAGGCAAGGTTTCTCAAAAGACCGAGGACCAGATCTTTGTCGAGCTTGATGATGCCCAGCTGAAGGCCATTCTTCCTGTTGGACAGCTTACTGACAAGTCGGCCTCAAAGAACCAATATGCTTGGAAGCGCATCTCTGCCGGTCAGACCATCTCCAACTTGATGGTGCTTGAGAAGAACGAGAAGCGACGCGTGCTTATCTTGACCCAGAAGCCAAGTCTCATCAAGGCATCTGAGGACCGAACCCTTCTCAAGACTTTTGAGGATGCCAAGGAGGGCAAGGTGGTCGCCGGTTTTGTGCAAAACATTACTCTTACTGCAGTCTTTGTGCAATTCGCTGGCGGCGTCAGGGCACTGCTGCCCAAGTCCCGACTCCCTGCTGACGTCCAAGAGCAGCCCGACTTTGGTATGCACAAGCTCCAGTCTATCGAGGTCAGGATTGTCTCTGTGATTCCCGACCATCGCCGCATTGTGGTTGCCCCAGCCGACTCTGACGAGGACGACGTGGTAAAGAAGGAGAAGACCGACGTGGCTTCTGCCCCTTCGGATAACCTCGAATTCGGAACCGTGATCAAGGCTAAGATCACCTCTGTCAAGGACACTCAGCTCAATGTGCAACTGGCCGGTAACGATGTCCAAGGTCGAATCGATGTTTCCCAAGTCTTTGACACGTTTGAGGACATCCCCGACCCCAAGGATCCTCTTGACAAGTTCCACAAGAGACAGACACTCACTGTCCGTGTGACGGGAGTGCACAACGCCAAGGACCATCGATTCCTGCCTTTCTCACACCGATCCGCGCACTCTGTGGTTGAACTGACTGCCAAGCCTAACGACATCAAGGCGGATTCTCTGGAGCCCCTTCAGCTTAGCAAGCTCAAGATTGGTGACACCCACGTTGCCTATGTCAACAACTCTAGCCCTCAATACCTTTGGGTCAACCTTTCGCCTTCGGTCCGTGGCCGCATCTCGGCCATGGAGGCGTCGGATGACCTGTCTCAACTTAATGACCTGGAGGCCAACTTCCCTGTTGGATCCGCCCTCAAGGTTAGGGTGATTGCTGTTGATCCCAAGAACAACAAACTCGACCTTTCAGCTCGTTCGTCTAGCTCGTCTGAGGCTGTCAGCTGGAGTGTTCTGAAGCAGAACATGGTTCTCCCTGGACGAATTACCAAGGTGAACGAGCGTCAAATCCTGGTCAAGCTTAGCGAGCTCGTATCTGGTGCTGTGCATCTTCCTGACATGGCCGATAACTTTGACGATGTCAACACTCTCAAGCACAACAAGGGCGATCTTGTCCGTGTTTCTATCGTGGAGCTGGACACAAGCAACAAGAAGATCCGATTGTCGATCCGTCCTTCACGCATCATGAGCTCTACGTTGACGGTCAAGGACAAGGAAATCAGCAACATTTCTCACGTAAACCCTGGCGATCTTGTTCGGGGCTTTGTCAAGAATGTCTCTGATAAGGGACTGTTCGTTCTGCTTGGTGGACAAGTTACTGGTCTTGTCAAGATCTCAAACCTGTCTGACCGATATCTTAAGGACTGGAAGGATAATTTCCAGGTTGACCAACTTGTCAAGGCCCGAGTTATCGCTGTTGACAGGGAAGCCAAGCGTGTTGAGCTGAGCTTGAAGTCTTCGATTGTCGACCAAGACTACACTCCTCCTCTGACTTTTAATGACATCAAGGAGGGCCAGGTCGTGACAGGCAAGGTTCGAAAGGTGGAGGATTTCGGTGCTTTCATCCTGGTTGACAACTCTGATAACATCAGTGGTCTTTGCCACCGCAGTCAGATGGCTGAGAAGCCCGTGGCTGATGCCACCAAGCTCTACAAGGAGGGTGATGCCGTCAAGGCTCGCATTCTGGAGATTGATACCAAGAAGAGGCGAATCTCATTCGGCTTGAAGCCATCACTCTTCGAGGACGAGGACACTGACATGGACGACTCTGACCAGGGCGCTGACCTTGATGGTGACAGTGATGAGGATGTTGAGATGGGCGAGGGTGTTGAGATTGTCGGCATGGACAACGCTGATGACTCGGAAGAGGATGAGGATGATGACGACGATGATGATGAGGAAGAGGAGGACGAAGATGAGGAAATGAAGGATAAGCCAGCCAAGAAGGGCAAGGGTCTTGGAGCAGGCAAGAAGTCGGAATGGTCGGCTGATCCCTTTGACGAGGCAGAGTCTGACTCTGAAGAGCAATCAAAAGACGAAGAGAAGTCAAAGAAGAAGAAGAAGCGAAGCCGGGATGAGATCCAGGTGGATCGAACCGCCGAGCTCGACGCCAACGGCCCTCAGACCTCCAGCGACTACGAGCGACTGCTGCTCGGTCAGCCTGACTCTTCGGAGCTCTGGATCGCCTACATGGCCTTCCAGATGCAGGTCTCTGAGCTGTCCAAGGCTCGCGAGGTCGCCGAGCGAGCCATAAAGTCCATCAACATCCGGGAAGAGACTGAGAAGCTCAACGTCTGGGTTGCTTACCTCAACTTGGAGGTTGCGTACGGCAGCAAGTCGACTGTTGAGGAGGTGTTTAAGCGGGCTTGCCAGTACAACAACGAGCAGGAGGTCTACGAGCGACTGGCCAGTATCTACATCCAGTCTGAGAAGCTCAAGGTGAGACACATTGATACGTTTAACAAGGACCAAGCTGACCATAAGCAGGACGCCGATGAGCTCTTCGAGGCCATGGTCAAGAAGTTTGGTGCCAAGGCCCCTAACGTCTGGCTCAATTACGCCCACTTCTTGCACGTCACCCGCAACGACGCTGCTAGGGCACGATCCTTGCTTCCCCGTGCCACGCAACAGCTCGACAGCCGACACAGCCAGAACCTCGTAAGCCGGTTCGCGGCGCTCGAGTTCCGATCTCCCAACGGCGAGCCGGAGCGTGGACGAACCATGTTCGAGGGTCTCCTCGCTGCCTGGCCCAAGAAGGGTGACCTCTGGGGTCAGCTCCTAGACCTCGAGTCAGGCCTCGCCGAGGCTGACCCGACAGCGGTTCGGGACGTGTTTGAGCGAAGGACACGGGTCAAGGGCTTGAAGCCCCAGCAGGCTGAGAAGTGGTTCAGACGATGGGCCACCTGGGAGGAGAAGCTGGACCCCAAGGGCAAGGACCGGGTCATGGCCAAGGCTCAGGAGTGGGCGGCTGCCTTCAAGGCTAAGAAGGAGGCCGAAGCTGCTGCTGCTGAGGAGGACGAGATGGAGGAGTAGGTGCTGTCCTGTGGTTTGTTTTCGGATACCATTATACGGGAGTCAAAAGTTTCAAAGCATAGAATCTGAATAACCAAGTGTATGATTAATCAACGGTCATTCGTGAAAATTCCAATAGTGAATACGTAAAAGTCAGCAATAGATATGTCTTGCTGGTCAGCATGAGTGACGTATCGTAAGATTCGATACGGCAGATGACGACAGATCAAGATCAAATTGGACCCCTTACAACGTTGCCAGAATAAGTCAGCGGTGAATCCTCAGCGCAATATATGCCTAAATGACGAAATAGCGGCCGGCAATTGCAAGGCGGTAAACTAGGAGGTGCCTTGTTAGTGGAGCACGGCAGTGAGCGCATAGTGCAGATCGCTTCGTATCCTGAGGTTTCAGATATGTAGAATAGCAACGTTGCAATGTCCTTGATCAAATCATTTCATTCTCATAAACAAAAAGACATTTCTTATGCTCACGCACCTTGTTCAGCCTCATTGATGACATTTCACCGAGGACGTCTCATCCAACCAAAGCGCCACTCCCGTTTTTTGCCACAAAAGGAGAGTGTGTGAGATGAATCGGACAAGTCGGAAGTTTAACAGACTGATGATCGGCGGGGACCCCGTCATGACGGATGTCACGGCGGAGAAATACGAGCGAGGGGATGATCCTATCGTGTCATATGCAGGTTCTGAAAATATATGTCCAATGGATGGAAACATGGGGTTTAATAAAATGAGTATAAAGGGGAGGGTTCTCACGATGGTATACTCGACTCAGCAGCAAGACACTCATCAGTAACTTGAACATAAACAAGAAATCAACAATCCAACTCTTCACTTACCAGTCTATACTCTTGAATCCATCAATATGCGCTTCTCCATCGCCCTTGCTGCCACCTCCCTCCTCGCCCTCACCGAGGCCCGCATCGTCGGAATCAGTGTCCCCAAGACCATCAAGCCCGGCGAGGACTTTGAGGCCATCATCATCAGCGAAAACTACATCCAGAGCGTCTACGACGTTGCTATCGCCTTTGGCTACTCTCCCGGCAAGGGCTTCCCTGGCTCCCTCGGTCAGGTTGCCGACTCTTTCTATCTCGGTCCTGGTAAGACATATTTTTGGTCCTTGACTTGTATGCGTGACTAACTTTGTAATCAGACGAGTCCAACCAGCTCCACAACTTCAACAAGACCGTCAAGATCCCCGAGAGTGCCGTCAAGGGAGAAGGTCTTGTCACTGCCTCCCTCTTCAGCCTGTACGGCGCCTCTAGTGGTCCCACCCTCAGCAACTACAATGTCTCTGTTACCTTTGGAGACGAGACCAGCAAGGAGTACAAGGCTAGCAACAGCCAGTAAAGGGGTACCTCGCATGGAATAGGACATGGAATCACATAGCATCTCCAGGATACCTAGGGAGCGACAGCGTACATATTTTAGCCTGCATCAATTTGCACATAGTAGCGCTATAGAAATGGTTTATGAATAAGTATTATCTCTATCTAAGTAGGGTATCACTCTATGAAAAAGACACTAGCATGAACATACCAACCCGTCCATGCTCTACTTGACCCTGGGCTTGATCACCTTCATGCCGTTGGCGCTTCCCCATACGCTGTCGCTCACTTTGGCTGGGATCTTGCGACCGCGGAGCCTCTGGTCAATCAGCCACATGCCAACGACAAACTCTGCTCGTCCAAGAATGCCTCGTCCCTTGCGGTCGACGAGATCCCACACCTCAGCCAACTCGTCTGCCGGCAGACGCGAACGCTTCCAAATCTCGCGAGCTATAACATTAACCACGTACTCTGAAGGGTCGTTTTCCATGGCATCCAAGGGAGAGTTTGGATAATCAAGCAAAAGTCCACGGTTGGAAGCCCATACAGCTTCATATCGCTTTCGTTCACGGGGTGTAATCTCTTCTCGCCATTTCTTTCTTGATCCTTCATGATGAGAATGTTTCCCAGAAGAATGGAGCTTGTGTAGAGGCTTCTTCTTGTGACGATCCAAGTCTTCATCTGATGTCTTGGCTGGCTGGCGCAAAGTCTGCATCATGCGAGGTGACTTTTGTCGTCGTGGCAGTTGTGGAGCAAGGCTGCCCCCCGTGTTGTGAGGTGTAAGACGAGCTGATGCCAGTGAACCTGCCACAATGGCACTTGTGAGAGATTCCAATGGAAGATTTGTAACTGATGAGCTTTGAGGGCGATGACGTCGGACCTCCCGAGTTGGCGAAGACGGTGTACTAGCCGCTGTTCGCCTTTTCGGGGGTAAAGTAGGAGGTAAAGCTGGGGGAGTCAGTCGTTCAGGGGACTGAACTGAAGAAGCAGACACAAAGGTGTCATTAGATGAGGCCGAGCCTGGTGTTGACGGCCGTTTCTCTACAGGATCGGGTCTTGGACGAGAAAGCCTCGGGGCCAGCTGAGGAGCTGAATGTCTTGGTGTAACAGTTCGCGACTTCTGGACGAAACTCTGGGACTGTACATTCGGCTTATTCGTTCCTCGAGGCTGCGGCGGCGTAGGCGGTCCTGATTTCTTGGTCTTGACTTTGCGTTTCTGGGGATCGGGCGACGCAGGTGAAAGGACTTGAGTTGCCTGACGGGTGATGATTTGAGGCGGTGTCTTTGGCCTCAACACCGGCTTCGGGGGTCTAGTAGGCTTGGGTGATAGCACCTCTGGAGCTCTTATAGTGGCAACCAAAGGTGGTGGCGTCACAGGGCGAGGCTTCGGTTTTAGTTTCGGCTTGGGTTTTGGTTTGGCCGTTGGAGTATTGTCAAGATATGGTACTGGCTCCTCCGGAATGCTCTCGGCCGAGTCTCTAGGCGCCCTAACCGGAGATCTCTTTGGAGAGAGCCGCTTCACGGGGTCACCCGTCCGAGCCTGCTCGAACATGGAGATGAGGTTTCCCGTAGGCGGAATAGACCCCGAGTCGACAACATCGCCGCTGTGCGATGAGGCGCGCGTCCGTACCTTGGGGCTTGGGCTGGCGCTTCGACTGGCCGCCAACGTGGCTGCAATGAAGCTTGCGCTTCTAGCATCCGTCTTCCCAGCTGAACCCGGATGTAGCTGAACCGGACTCGCCCCCAGCTGCTTCAACCTAGCAGCAATCGTCGCTCCATTATGTTCAACACCTGTAGTGCTTTCTCCTGTACTCTGATCGGCGAGCGGCTTGACCGGGCTCCGCGGGCGTCCGGCTGACGGCGTCAGGGGGCCATTGCCTCTTCGCGTAGGCGGCGGCGCGGGCTTGTTCTTATTGAAGGCGAGCGTTGCGCCCTGGAGGGCAGCGGCGGCGGCATCGGAGGAGCCTGTGGTTTGGCTTGCGACGGGATTCATCGCCGTGAGGGCGACATTGGATGGGGGGTTTGAGTAGAGGATCACGAGGGCATTCGATGGATGTAAGAGAGCGTCGGAAAAGGCGATGACGTAGGATAAGAAGAGAAAGTTGAGATTCGTCGGATGAGGAATGAGATGCAAGATCTAAAGGTTGGAGATCAATCGCGGGGAAGTTGAAGAATGAAAGGTCAAAGTTGGAATGAAGCTGGGATAAACGCGGCAACCACGGGAGCTGACATCAACCTGCCACCTGGAGACTTTCAGGGACCTCGGAGAAGGGACAGTTCCACTTGCGCAATGAAAGACGCTAGAAGTTTTCTAGGTTTAGCGGCCGCTGTAAAAACGATTAAACGCCCCAATTTCCAGGGGTTCTCGCCCCTGACTATTTTTGGACCTTTCTTCCCGTTTTTGGTGGCTGCGTGTCATCCAGAGCTTGAGATTCGTAAAGATTGTCTTTGTTGATGCCAAGGTGCCTTTTGAGTGACATATTTGTGTCTCTCGTGTGGAACGCAATCACCTGGACGACAGGTCTCAGGAAACACTACCGAAATACTGGGTCAAGGTTGTTCGGGCTCTACTCCACTCTGCTCCAGAGGTCATGATGGGAGGGACTCATGTCTCATGACGAGAGCGCCACAGACACGATCAAGACACTGCGGAAGTTTTCACTTTCATCCTCGGATTTCTTTGAGACAAGACATTATCAATAATGGTTTCAACTCGAGCTGTCAGCTAAGATATGCATGTACGACAGTCACGCTAGTCAAGTGGCAAAGCAAAGCAGTAAGCACTCAAACAAAGCTTCTTTCTCATTTATTTATTCATCACCTAGGCTTCCATCCTATCATCTGACTATTCAATTCGCTGTTGTTCGGTTGCCACAGGCTTATTTGTACTCTACCTTATCCGGCAACTCAAATACTGCCACAGCATTTGAATCAGGAGCCTCCACCGCCCCTGGGACAGACGTCTGCGTGGACGGCGATTGCTGAAATCCTTGGGGTGATGGCGTCTGGTGGAATCCTTGAGGAGGTGGTGTTTGCTGCCATCCTTGATAAGGTATTTGTTGCTGCTGGGCCATGACGGGATATTGCATCTGTTGCTGGGGAGGAGGTTGAACTTGTTGCACAGGTTGTGCCTTGTTCTTGTCCCGTCGACGGATCAAGAAAATGGCCAGGACGACAGCCGCAATGACTGCAATACCTCCAACCACACCACCAACGATAGCACCAATGTTGGTCTTGCTACTGCCACTCTTCTCATTGCCATCATCCTCACTGGCGTCTTTCTCGCTCCCAGAGTCACTCGAGGCGGTCGGTCCCACCGTCACAGTCTTGGCCGCCTTTGGCTTTGTGGTTTCCGCATCAGACTCTGTTTCGTCCTTGGACTCTTCAGCTGTGGACTCCTTGGTCGATTCGGAAGGCTTTGTCGTCGCAGCTTCGTAGATGGTAACGTCCATGGTTGAAGTAGCATAGTTGGCTGCTCCTTCAGGAAAGATCATGCTGCTGAAGCCGGCAGCCGTATGGCAGGGATACTTCTTGATACCGTTGGGCATGTAGATGGTGAAGCAAAACGGTCGAGTGTCGAGAGTACTAAGACGCAATCCGTGTTAGCAAGTGCTACAATTCCCCTTCTTTAAAAACTCACCAAAACTGAATGTTGGGATCTCGTCGGCAATTATCGTCACACTTGTCATCATCCGTGGCATCAGCCTGCCCAATGCAAGCCGTCTTAAAGTCCTCGATGCCGCAAAAGGCGAGGTTGTACTTATTATTCTCCCACATACATGATGTGCCGGGCGAGCAGGTGAAACTGTAGGTTGTGCTAGGAGTATAGAGTCCACAGAGAGTGTCAGGGGCGACGGTGATGTCGAGTGTCTCCGTCACGGTTCCATCCTCGCGTCTGAAGAGACCCTGGAGAGGTCGAAGAGCGCGAATTCTCGCTGGGGCCGTGGGCTCTGGTCCTTGAGGGGGTACATCAGAGGCATTGGTCTTGTCGAACAGTGCACATGCTGCTACAGCCGCAACGGCAAGCCATCTCATTGAAGAACCCATGCTGAAGAACGATGAAAAAGAATAATGAAGAATGAAAAAAGGCCAAGTTCAGTCTCTCCAGAGAAATTCGCTCTTCAGCCTTGAGAGCGGGCAAGCAGCCATACCATCATGACCCATGTCGAATAAGTAAGTCTAAAGATTGGCTTAAACTAGCTTCAAACGCGGCCGGTCCCCTTGATGCAGCGATGTGATGTCGAGGTGGCTTAGGAACGAATAAGCGCTTAGATGCTTTGGGACGGAATGGTACATTATTATTTTAAGTGAAAAAGAGGCTTGCTTTCATGTTGCACTTGTCAAACTTGAGTTGTTCCAATACATCGCGCTGCCTCAACTCCCGGTTTGAGCTAAGACGAGTCCTTTCTTTTCCAGATAACTTATTCCTTGAAGCTCCCGAGCAAGCATGTTGGATCCAAGTCGAGACCGTGCTGAAGGATCAGGGTTGCGTTGAGGCTGCATCAAATTTGAAGCCATCGACAGAGGAACAAGGGTATTGGTTGCTAGGACTGTACCCCTGTCTCGCCAGTGTCGATCCTCGCAATTTCCTAATTGAACCGGCCTGATATCCATCCGAACTCAGCCCTGCCAGGCGCGCAGAGGCATGCAACTTTGGTTTCATATAAAAACCTCAAAGAGTAACATTCATCCACCTAAGGATACCATTAATATCTTTTATATAATCACACTACAACTCTTATTTCAGTTGGATACAAGCCGAGTCGCTTCTGGTGATTTCAAATCGTGCGCTACATCCATCGCCTGACTCTTTGCCCACAGACTGCTCATCATGTTTGGTCAAGTAGACAGCTGAACTTTCCAACCATGTTCAATCTTTTCAACTTGCACATGGATAGAAGTGTTTGTTAGACCATGTACCCACGTCCCTTCTCCCAGATTGTTCTGCCCTCGGTTATAGAAATGGCCAGCCAGTTCCCTGCTCGCAATTTGACGCAGGTCAGCCTTTCCAATGCTGGCCATGGCATTTGACCAGCTTGCCCATTTCTTTTCGACAATGTCATGCTGCACCACGTGGTCTGCTCCGGAAAGCTGGAAGAGGACCAGCAGAGTACAAAACTTGCCTTTGCCTAGGTCCACGTTCAGCTCTACCATGCCCTGCGCCGAGTGAATAAAGGCCTCTCTGTATGGGTCCCATTGTCTTCTTGGGCAGACATTGACAATTCTCAAGGGGCCTGAAGCGCACACTTGAACCATGGCTGAGGCCAGACCTGTGTTTTCACTCCCCCAAGAAATGACGTTGATCTGTTCTGGGGGCATCCATCTTCCTTCAGACTCGTCAAGCTCATCAAGCTTGGTCTGGAACAGCTGGTCAGTCTTGACTCTGGAATAGCCGTCTGGAAGCTTTTCGAGGAAAATCCCCCCCTGCCCAGCGGCCGAATCCGGCATCTGCTTGAAAAGGTTCAGGGGCATGAAAAGGCCTTGTCCCTTGATAACCAGGAGCTCCATATCGTCAAAGATGACGCCCCGGTTCGACACGCGCACATCTCCAGAGTAAAGACGGTACATGGAATCTTCAGACGAAGCGTACGCGAACTCGTTGGGGCTGAGTGCGAATATGCCCCGAATCTTGTCACCGTCACCTTCATCGACCTCGGTTTTCCAGGCGAACAGGGTCAAGTCGGCGACCCGTTGGCAGATTTCTTCCTGCAATCTTAAAAAGGCCTTGGACCCTTCTCCGTAGAGCATCGGAAGGTTGACGTCAAAGATGCCAAACAGGCAATATGCAATATCCTCGGCTCTTGTTGTTTCCCTCCCTGCCGCCCACGACATGCGATAGACGACGTCAATTGTGCTGACGTCACATTCGCCCAGTAGAACGTCTGAATTGATCCTTGTAATCTTTGAAATAACCTGGTGAAGCTCAATCTTTGAGCCGAGAGACTCCCAATCCCGGTTGTAAAAGGTAATAAAAGTGGGCGCGATGAGCTCCTGCAGCGTCCATCCGCGAGTGAACCACCTGCAACGACCGAAACTTTCGTCGACGGTGGTCGGGTGATAGTCGGAGAGATATGCGTAGCAGTATTGTGCATCTTTGTACCAGCGAAACATGGAGTTGATGGCCTCGGACAGCTCAGCGCTGCTAGACTTGTCGATGCAGCAGGTATCGACCCAGGCGTAGGGATAACCTTGGCTCTTTGCGAAAAGGCATGTCATCTCTATCTTGGCGAATCCTTTTCTCGTTCTAGCGAACTCAAGGTCCTGAAACTCTTGGAATGAGACCTCTTCCTCCTCCCAGGTATGAGAGAGGATGGCATACTCGACGGTCTCAGGGTTAACCACAGACTCGAGCCTCATAGTCTCGGTATTGATGAGCCACATTTTGGAAGGCTTTGACGGGGTTGATCAGTTACAGATTGCGTTTCGGAGGCAGGGAGCTAGCTGTAACAAGTCTTTCGATGATTTCAAGGTTGGAAAAGGTCGAGAGAACGGAATTAGGCTGTAGGAAGCGAGGCAGATTCCCGTCCTGTTAGGACCATGCAGTCAGCCCAACCCAAACATTCAGCCCCATGGATGTCGACGACCAGGCTGGCGCTTAACTAGGCTCATGTGCCCTTATAGGGGCATTGACGCCATTGGACAGATTACGGGGCATTTGCTCGGCATCATACAAAATTGTACGGAATGTCTACTTTTATATTCCTTGTTAAGTATTTTTGGAAGCCTATCCTCTTCAAAGTCAATTCGTCTTGTTTATATAAACCACAGCATGTCAGTGCATAATTATTTCTCTATTTTACGGCTAAACGTATTATGCACATACTGCTCAGATGATTCAACGCCGTCTTAAAATGGTGGTCCACGCCGTGTAAACTGGCCCGAGTCAACTCAACGCTTCCAATGGCGCATGACATTTCGTATTGAGACAAGGTGCCTCCATAACTATTTTCCAGCTACCTACCCAACTGCATGTCTTCTTCAACCTGAACAAGATGATCGTCGTATAAATCCCATCGAGAACCCATCGTCTCTCCTCAACCTCACCTCATACTCGCCCACACGCTTCTCAATACCATCAGGCTCATCAAGGCCCTTACCAGCCTGCTGCCGTATTATCTCATCAACTTCCATACAGACCGGTAAGAGAGGATCATCCTTCCATGGTCTCACACCAATCTTCGCAGTCCGCACAATCTCGATAACAAGATAGACCATAGAAGCAACCACCATGACCGCCGGATATACAATCCACTCCCATCTCACCACAATAACAACTTGACTTGTGATAGCTGTACCCCAGTATCGTGCGTCTGTTGGTGGGTCAGTGCCGTTGATCCGCACGGCATTTGTCATGCTGCTTGTGATACGATCCATCCAACCGTGAATGTCATCGAATGAGCTGAAGAAGCTATAAGTGAAGTCTCCCTTGCTTATTAAGACGCCTCCAAATTCTCTCATACCATAAAGCAGCTCCCGATCCATTGTATATTGGTCGCCCGTAGCCGTACCCATCGAAGGCGGTATGTTCGTGAACGTGGCATTGCCTGAAAAGTCTGGTTCGTAATGAACTAGGACTTCGCTCCAGGTTTCCTTAATCCTGTCTCTTAACTCGCCCATTTCGACCCGGATCTCCCGTGCCTGAAGGCAATACCATAGCGCACACTCGGCCGCAATAGAGTCGTTAATCGTCATATTCAGCTCCGTGATCAGCCTGCCCATCGGGACACCGATGCCACCAAACTCGGTAATTACATTCGATGCATTCCGCCTTGGTATGTTTGAGGAGGAGGAGGATGAGGAGGAGGAAAAGACGCGCCCAGAACCTGGGCCGACAGTGAAATAGTCGTCAGTATTAAAGTAGTATGGAAGGTCGCATTCATCTCTTTCCAGTTTCATGCCGTTGGGTATCTCCAGCACGCACGCGGATTCGTTCACACGGCTGAAGCGGACATCATCTGTGACATTCAGGCAAGTCCCGCAAATGCCGATTGTCGGGATAATAGGCCATGTACAATTACCAGTCGGGCATTGCACTTGTGGTATGTCGATGCTGGGTGCGATCATACCAATGCAAATGGCAATCTCGCTAGCTTGCACTGTGCATCCGACAACTATCAGTGTATGCAAATGCAGCAAGGAAGCGAGTTCTAAGGGGAGGTCAAGGTGATTTGACTATTGTAACTGACTCACAGTATTCCGCTACAGGTCCTTCATATTCCAGCCACATCGTTCGAGCAACCTGCCCGGTAGCCGTCGCAGAACGAAGCTCGACCTGATAAGTACGCAAAGTCACCAGCTGTTGCGAAAGTAGACCGAACACCTGGGATAAGATTGACAGTGCTGCGCCAACGCAGGCCACATGGCTAGAGTCATATGTTATCTTCTACAACTTCAATCAAGTAAATAGGTTACTTACCTTCCTTTAAATCGGTACAAAAGTCGAGCACTCCCCCAACTCCCTCTTGACGCCTCATCCAGCAATGCATAGTCTTTGAGAGGGAAGTAGTCCGTCTCGCGACGACTCGAGAACCGGTTCCACTTGGCCTGAGCGAGAAGGCTGCCCACCGTACATGTCAACGATGTGTGACATATGGTTGACAGTGTAGCGACTAGGGCGTTGAGTGTCAATGTCTGACTTGGCCAGCTATCTTGCGGTTTGCCGTCGTAGCGTGCAAGCACTCCGACTTGCGCTGCGAGGCTAGCCAAGGAAAGGAGGCAGCAGAGTATTTCCAGAAACCAGCAGCTAAGCACAGACGGCTGTTTTGGGAGTTTTGCAGTTATCGGTGACGCGTCTTTCATAGTGGGCTGCGTATTCTTTCGTCCCTACTTAGACGCTTCAAGAGAATCGTCTGCGAGGAGCCGAACACGTTGAGTGTCTGCTTGATCAGCAGCTTGGGCATCTGCATCTGGTAAGAATGATGTAGGATATTTAGGACAACTTTGTTTGTAGTAACCCTGTATATTGACTTTATTAGAACGCTGTGAGGGCTCTGGGGCTGACTGCGGTAGTGACACTGGTTGATAGCTGTTTGCACGAGACATTGTTGTCATCAAACAACCCATGTGAAGCTTGAGCAAGCCGATGACCATAAGAGCCGAAACAGTCCCTTAAAAGACTTGACCATTACGACGCACTGAAATGCAAGAAGCGTTGCCCAGTGTGGGTGGTCGATCTATGGTTGCACAACGAGGCGTTCTTCCCGTGGCTTGTTCATAACTGGGTGAAACCTCGAACTGCTCAGCCTGCAAAAAGGCAAGTCAGATTCAGTTGCCCTTGATCCACAATGTGTAAAGGAAGGCGGAGTGAGGCCACTGTTGTTATAAGTGTGTCATAGGGGCGTACAATGTGTAACCAAAACACGTATCAATCTCGGAGATGGACTCAATTTTACACTATAACATTTTTCTAGTTCTTTCCTGAATCCTCCTTCAGTGATACAATACGGTTGAGCACAATCTTGTCGTCTGTGCTGTCCGAGTCCATGGCCTGCAAGTACGTTAGTTGGGTTACCTTCACCAGGGCAACAAGCACTCACAAAGTAAGCAACACGCATAGCCTGGAATCGGACCGTTTCCGGTCCACTATCTTCGCTTGTTTCACCTGCAGTGACGGGCCAGGGAGCCCTCTGGCGAACCTCGTTGAAGCCCTCTTCAATCAGGGCATCAGTGTAGACAACCTCGCTGTTGGGGTTGATGTCGTTCAGGAAACCACCCTCAACGCTGGTAGGGTCATCCGACTTGAAGAGAGGGCTGTGCACTCGGACCTCCACCTTGATGGAGCCATCAGGCACCCACTGGATGTATGTCTTGGGCTTGCTCTCCTTGTCGAACACAGCCTTGATGCTGGTAACCTTGCCCGACTCGTCCTTCTCAAAGGATGTGGCCTTGATCGGGTGAGGGGCGTTAAGGAGACCGACAGTCTTTCCAGGGGCCAACCGGAAGTAGCCCTTGATGTCCTCCTCGCGGAAATCAGATCGGTCAATGTAGACAGTCTTTGTCAGGCGGACCTTATGGTTGCCGAACTTGGGGTCCTTGGGGGAGTAAGGAACATCAAGCTCCTGGGTCTCATCGAGGTCTTCAATGGTGACAGCAACAGGGTCCAGGACGAGCATCAGACGGGGAACCGTGTTTTCAAGGTAACGACGGACACTCTGCTCAAATCGGGTGATCTGGATGAGGGTCTTGGAAGTGGTGACACCAAGCTCGTTGACAAAGGACAAGAGGGCACCAGGGGGGATACCTCTACGTCGAATGGCAATCAGAGTGTAGAGACGAGGGTCATCCCAGCCTCGGACAATGCCACCCTCGACCAACTTCTTCAGTGCTCGTTTGCTCATGATGGTTCCGCTGACATTTAGTCGGCCTATAAGATTTCATGTTAGAGTAACCAACCAACTCGTTCAATATAGTCGGCTTACCAAACTCGCGCTGCATAGGCTCATACACCTCAAGGGTCTTGTTCAACCACTCGTAGCTCTCTCGGGACAGAATGAACTCTGTAGTGCAGAGACTGTGTGTGATACCCTCGAAACTGTCGCAAAGGCAGTGTGTGAAGTCATAGGTAGGGAAGATCTTCCACTCGGGAGCTCGGTGGTGAGGCTTCTGCTTCTTGGGTATCCGGTACGCGGCAAGATCCCACATCTGGGGGTTTCCACTGGTGATGTCCTGCTTCATGCGGAGGAATGCGGCCATGGGCTCGTATTTGCCGTCGTGCATATCCTGGAACTTCTGGAGGTTCGTCTCGACGTCCTGCTCGGCGTGTTTGCATCGGTATCGAGGGCCCTCCTTGCCCTCCTTTCCTCCACGCTGGAGCTTAATCTCAGCCTCGTTGCAGTGGCAGACATAAGCCTTGTCCTTCTTGATGAGCTCTTTGGCAAGGTCGAACAGCTTCTGGAAGTTGTCACTCGAGTAAGTGATGTCGGCGGGAGTGAAGCCTTGCAGAATTCGCATTAGATTCGGGCTTTAACCAAGCTGACACCAAGAACTCACCCAGCCACTTGATAATCTTCAGGATCCATTCAAAGTAGACTTCCTCCTCTTCGTCGGGGTTCGTATCGTCGTATCTTGGCCTTCGTCAATCGTAGCTCTCACCCTTCGACACTTATAACGTACCTCAGAATCTACCAGCAATTAGTTTCATTTTCAGCTCCATACCAGGGGCTCAAGCTTACCGTCTTGCCGCCGTGGAAGCGCGCAAAGCCAAAGTCAATGGCAATAGCCTTGGCATGTCCCAGATGAAGATATCCGTTCGGCTCGGGTGGGAATCGGGTGACGACAGGCTTGACAGGTCGTTCTTTGTAGACGTCGGAGAGGAAGCCCTGCTTGAACATGGCATCAGGGTCCAGCTGGGTGGGCTCCTGGGCCTTGGGCTTGGGAGCGGCGGCGGGCTTGGGATCCTTGGCCTTCTGCTCCCGCGCGGCCGCAGCAGCTGCCTTCTTGGCTCGCTTCTGAGTGCGCTTCTTCAGCTCATTCCTCGTGACCTGCTCTCCCGTCACCTCGTCAAGGACCAGCTTGACAGTGCCCTCGGTCACCTCAGCGACAGGGTCCGACATGGTGGAATGGGTCTCGAGGTCGATCGATCGGTATTTCTATCGTCGTCTGCTCTCGCAGTCTCGGTACTCGTGGAATAGCTCAGGTTTGTTAGGTCTTTGAAGTCGTGGTGGGGTTATTTTCTGGCGGTGGAAACTTATCATCGGAAGGTGCTTGGTGGGGGAGGGGCGATGCACACAGTCATACGCCGCAATTGGATGGGATTGACTCATACAGATAAGCGATAAGCAAGACAGCAGTGCCTAAGGTACAGCAAGCTGAGAATGTCTGGTAATGTAACACCAATATGTGCCTAGAAATTGAGCTGGAATTTGTTCAGGAACCCAATTATACGACTGTTGAATCCTGCTGGCTGTAGATGGGTGGTTCAGTCCACTGCGTGGCCCACGACCCGATCTAAAGCTGGCGGATTGATTTCTTGGCCATTGAGTTCAAGTTCCTAAACCACCTAGGGCTAATTATTCGTTCAAGGGACTCATAGAGTATTGAAGGACTTAACGTATTAGGGACTAAAACCGGATCCGTAGACTCAGGCACTGGGCAATTGGCGACAGGAACAGCGAAGATATTGGAACAACATATCTTCCTGCCTCCGTCAAGAATTAAATATTATTTAATAATAATGTCCATTCTAAAATCCAAGCCCGGGTCCATACTTGGAGGGTTGAATGATTAGATTTCAAGAACACGAAACGGCTTTGTATGGTTGAAAGTCGGGTGAGTATCTGGTTACCCTACGCCGAGGGCCCGAACATATTTGAACCAAGATACAAACGTGGAACATCACAGCATGTTTTTAGACACCATATGAAGCCGGGCTCATTTTTGACTGCCGGAAAAAGACAAAGCGGGACTGTCAACTAGTTCTTCATGTCATTGACGCCTCTTGACATTGTCGACCCACAAGAGAGACCGTCGTCGGAGCGAAGTTCTTGTCATCTTCGTCCGAGAATCCAGTATATAACTGTTCTCTGGGACTGAAAATGGTTCGAAGATTTCATATTGGAATGCTCACGATCCCGAATTAGAGTCTCACAATGTCTACTACTACGACAGCGGTGGAGCTCTGTGAGCCCATAGAACGGACTTCTCGGGGTCCATACATGGCCGACACCAAGCATGAAGCAGATTCATCAACAGACGAAATCCTAAAAGCCTCCCGACTAGCCGATTCTACTGTGCCGGATGGCGGATACGGCTGGGTCATTGTTGGTAGTGGTGCCGTCATGCTCTGGTGGGCTCTCGGGACGACATATGCATGGGGAGTCATGCAGAGGGCCCTCATCGAGGATGGCTTGTCAACGCCCGCAATACTCTCGTTCATCGGGTCGCTGGATGCAGCTCTGATGTCGGCCCTCGCGATTATAAACTCGAGGCTGATGCGGGCGATCGGGATGCGAAATACGGCAGTGCTTGGAGTAGCCGTGATGGGCGGGAGTGAGATCCTAAGCTCATTCGCTGTCAAGAACCTGGGTGCTCTATTCTTTACCTCGGGAGTGTTGATGGGCACTGGTGTCAGGTAAGTCAATATGTCCCCTGTTGCTCATGAAATACGATCTAACAAGAGTCCAGTTTGTGTTCAGTGGTCAGTTTCATACCCAAGGAGGGTGACACCAAGTTAACATGCGTCAACAGGTTGCCTTTGCAGTGATTGCGCAATGGTTCAGCACCAAACGTGGTCTTGCTAATGGCCTCATGTTTGCCGGAGCAGGATTTGGCGGTGCCACGCTGAGTTTCGCTGTCGATGCTCTCATCCAGAAGCTCAAAATTTCGTGGGCGTATCGGATTCTCGGTCTCCTTACTCTTTAGCTACCGGCCTCCCGGCGGCCTGGGCTATCAGAGAGCGAGCCCCGACTCACACTCCAAGGTTCATCGAATGGTGAGCGACACAACGGACTTGCAATGTCTGCCAGATATGATGTGCTGACACTTCCAGGCAATTGTTCAAATCATTCACCTTCGATCTGGTCTTCTTAGCCAGTGCGGTGGGAACGTTTCCGTTGTTTGTGCCACCCTTCTTTCTTCCGTTGTACACAAAGTCACTCGGGTTTTCGTCAACCACGGGAGCAGGGTTGGTGGCGGGTTTTAATCTTGCGTCGGCCTTTGGGCGGATAGCCTGCGGACTGGCTTGCGATAAGCTGGGATCCCTTAATACGCTGTTCCTTTCGCTCATCTTGGCGGCGATTACCATGCTGGCGATATGGCCAGCATCAACGACTCTGGCGCCCATGATTGCCTTCGTCTTGATCAACGGGGTGTCGAACGGCGGATTCTTTTCCACAATGCCGACCGTGGTGGGTAACGTTTTTGGCAGCGCACGGGTCGCAATGGCGATGAGCATGATCCTCACGGGTTGGGCTGGCGGATATTTGATGGTAAGTTGGGTCGGGGCGGACGAAATGAATGACGAGAGATCTGGCTGACGCTCGTCATCGCAGGGTGCGCCCATCGCAGGTTACCTCCTCGAGGCGTATGGAGGTGCCGACGCTGGGCTGCAAGCATACCGACCAGCCATGTTTTACGCGGGATCTCTGGCTCTTGGGTCCGCGGGGATGGTTGCAACGGTTCGATTGCGCAAGAACCGGTCGCCTTGGGCCAGACTCTGAAAAGACTGCTCCTTGCGTGAGAACAAGTGTCTCCATGGTGTATTGCGTGTAACTGATGGATGCGAGTGATGGTGGTTGTCGAAAAAACCGGTAGTTATGACGAAGGAGAGACAGGGTGGGGGTCACCCGCGATGCGTTTGGACGAGACTTGAGATGAGCCAAAGATTTCAATGGCTTTACGTATCCTTTACAAGGAACATGAATGGTCGAGACGCTGCGTGAAATAGACTCCAAGGCAAAGCCCCCATTTGCGACATCCGAACCCCCCGTTGATGCGTGGGATTTCTCAATCGGCAGCAAAATCGTCATCCCCAATGTCAATGTCGTGATATGCCTGGCAGGTGTTGCAAGCGGCTCAGGTGGAGTATCAGCCCACATAGCGCCCGCTGACAGTGGCTGGTGCTCACCTGGAGTGCTCATACTCCCCGAGAGAAGCTTGTGGCACAAACCCACCTTGGCCGGCGACCCGGTCTCGCGGAGGGAGAGCTAGTCGTCAACGGCCCCTCGGCAGCCTTAGGCCACCCTGAGCCCTCGCACGCCATCGGCTGCTCGCCATGGGCAATTGGCAACATCACTAAAGACCTCGCGAGGTCCTCCCGACAAGCGTCTCTTGAGCGTCAATCGTATCGCCATGGGCTGCCGAGTTTGTCGCGCGAGAAAGGTGTGTTTTCCCTGCCCTCCTGGTCGAGTCCGACTGCCGAGATGCTCTGGCTAACTCTTGTACTTGGTGTAGGTCAAATGCGACGGCCGACCCAACGGGTGCCGCAATTGCGAGCGCCTCCAGCTTGAATGCGTCGACGATGACGGATCCAAGTCTGGCCGTCGTTCAGTTCCCGTCTCTCTGCGAAAGATCCGGACATACCGGTCCTGTACCAGCTGTCGCGTCTCCAAGACCAAATGCGACGGCGACCGCCCGAAATGCTCGCGATGTTGCGCGAGGGACCTCGAGTGCCAGTACGACGGCGGCTCGGCTCCTCGCTGGGCCCGCCACCTGAGCAAGGCGCCCACCTCGGCTTCGACCGAGGAGGATTTGAACTCTTCTCAGGATGCTTCATCCATCGCCGGAGAAAGTACCACGTCGCGAAGCTTGATCCAATCCCGAGAGACCGACGACACGCCGTCCAAATCGCAGAGATCCATCACCCGAGAAACGAGCAACGCCGTCCCTCCGATTGATTTTTCCGACGACACCGAATTATCTATTCATTCATGGTAAATATTTCAAACGGTTTACCCATGGAATCAATATATATAAGTCTGACATTTATAGGCTTGTGTCACCGGATCTTCCGTCCGGGAACAACATCCGTACTGTAGTAGACCACTACTTTGCAAACATCCACCCCCTCCGATGCTTTGCTTTTGTACATCGGCCATCTTTTACTCGGCAACTCGATAAAGGTCTTGAAAATGATGATGAAAAGGCGTTACTGTATACTATCTGCGCACAAGGAGCCAAGTATGACCTCTCCCACTTTGCTTTTGAACGCATTACTGACAAGCTAGATTTTATGCCTTGAGCCTCGAAGTAGAAGATCAGGACGCCAAAGCAAGCTTGATCCGTGCCGCAGGGAACCGTTGGGCACAGAAAGCTGAGCTGCTGGTTCTCACCAACTTTGGCAAGATTTCCATTCAAAGGCTCATGGTAAGTCTCCCCGGAACCTCGCTCCAGGGCAATAAACTGATATATGCTTCCTCAGACATGCGTTCTACTCTACGACTTCCATTTCCGCTTGGGAGAATACACACAAGCTCTCATGCTGAGTGGTCTCGCCGTCCGGATGGCCCACGCCTTACAGCTCAACGTTGAATTCTCCCCTGACATCCTCTGTGCCGAAGCAAACGAATCTGCCCCGCCGGCCGTCGAGAAGGAAAGCCGTAGAAGACTTATGTGGGCTTGCTACATCTTGGATGCCTGGACGGGTAGCGGCGTTGACCAGTTGACCCTGCTGCGCGAAGCAGATATCAAGATCCAGCTGCCGTGCAATGAACGTAATTTCAGGCTCCGGATTCCTTGTGTAACCGAAACCCTTGGCGTGGGACACGTTTTGCAGTTTCTGCCTCCTGCCATTGTTCCACGAAGGCCGGCTGCCAACATGGGCATCATGGCTTACTACATCCGAATCGTCACGCTGTGGAAGCGGGTTGTCAGGTTTGTTTGAATCTTTGAAGTTCCCGAAAGAGATTTCAGATTTCTAACCTTAGCCACAGATATGTCAAGCACTTGAATACGAGCCCGCCTCCCTGGCTTCCCGAATCCGACTTTGCTGCTCTTGATGCCGACTTGAGGTCATGGGGTCGGCATCTCCCCGAGTTTATCTCATACTCCACCGATACCATCTACGCCCGCCTGGAGTCGGATCAGCTCGGTTCACTTGTCGTACTTCATTGCACATACCATCACAATCTTCTAGATCTGTACAGAATATCCATGCCGGATCTGTTCAAGTTGATAAAACCCTTCTACTTCCCGCCCAACCAGCAGGAGTTTCTACAGTCCTTGCAAGCCGACTGCTTTTACCACGCTCAGCAGATTGCGAGCATTCTTTCTGAGGCTGTTCGCCATGGAGCACGTTATTTAGCTGACAGTCTGCTTCCCTGCTTTGCTTATGATAGCAGTCGGGTTATGCTCTACTATATCGCTCGGTTACTCGATCTGAGCAGACCAGATGCCGAGACCATTGTTGCAGACGCCATTAACGCTGTTGAAAGCAACAGCAAGATCCTGAGGACCATGGCTGCTTTGTTTCCCCTAGCTGATTCTCTGGTGAGTAAAATCTATTTGGAGCTGTGACTCGGAACTCGCTAACTATGGATCCAGGCCACTACGACGGAGAGATGGCTTGCCAAGATTCGCAAGAGCTTCGCGCAAGATGAGCATATGAGTGACATGCCTCGGCAGGATGATCAGGATAGGTGAGTCTTTAAAGCTATGGTTCTAATAAAATCGCTAACTTGGCGGTTTAGATCACCAGTGCTTAATGAAGGCTCCTCTCAGAGCAGCCCCGACGACACCCTCGGAGCGCTCGGGTTGACTCGCTTAGCCCGTGGCGAGGCTCGGGACACTAAACATGGAGAGCACGACCCCTGGCATAGGGGTAGTGGAAGTGTCAGCCCAACCATGAGTAGGGCTGGACTTGGAAGCAATTCGGGATCAGTCTCGGGTCGGCGCAGTCAGCTTGAGGAAACGCCTGCTCGATCCAAACTCCAACATGAACAACCTGTGGCTTTGCGAACACCACCAGGAACCCTGACCTCACATATGGACAACCAGGCAGTTGACCTGAGCGACCTACAAAACTACTTGTCCTGGGACATGTATGGCATCATGGAAATGAGCGAAGCGGGCCTGAAGGCTGGCATTGAAGGCAACGCTCTGCCATCCTGGACAGGCGCGATGTAACCCGGAAACCACTTTTCGAAGCAAGATATGAGATCGACCAGAAAACCGAGTCATCGGACTACCATTTCGGTGCTTGGCAAGCGATTTTGTCATCTCAGATGAGAGTTACAACCCCACTCATGATGCGCTCCGGGCCGTCGGCTCGGACCATCGGTCGCTGCCAAAGTCACACAACTGTCACGCGATGAACGGCGTCGGGCTGGTCGCTTCAATGATACATGCCTAGGTAGACATTCTCCATGATGCCATGGGCTGTCATATTGAGACTTGGGGGTTGATTGCCTCGGGTTCACGGCATACGCCACAGACTCCTTCGACACTACGCCTACGTTACTGGTGGTCGCCTTGGACGCTGGTTGAGTATTTGTTGGATCACTGCAGAGGTCCAATTATCTTCATGGATTCTGCATGACGGTTGGCCTGGAGAATGGGAACCCTTCTTCGCACCTATGGTGGAAGTCGGACTACCAGCGACAGGGGCCTATGCATTCTATGCACTGGACAGGATGATAGAACGAGCCAAAGGAACTGCGAGGGCCCCCACAAAGCCAAAGCATAGGGTTCCAAACGGGAAACAGGCTGTTGTTTTGCTAAAGCTGTATCCCAAGCCTCACCTCGTCTTGAGGGTTGGACAGGGCTCGGGAATGTGGATGACGCCCGGCTGAAAGATCGTGGCTTTGTCTGAACGAGGACGAGATCACCTAGTTCTTGCAAGGCTTCTCAAAGTGTGTGAGAAGCTTGTGATGCGGATCAAGGCATCGATGTTAGGGTGCGATAGGCGGTGGAGGGCCCTGGGCTGGCTGACGATACACGGTGCTATTCCCAAGTGAGAAGCCCAACCACCTCAAATTGTGTCGTCAACTGGAACGGCCACTTATATGCCAGCACGTGTTTGCCGTGTTTTCTACTGGGATGCTCCGACCCTCAATTGGGTTGGTAGGATCTTTTGGTCTGTGGATGTGGCCTGGAAGAAGATTTGGATAAGATGTACAAGTTGGCAGATGCGCCAAGTACCTCATAGTGAGGCAAATGGAAATGGTGGGTCTCGTTGGAGGCGTAACAGAAAGAGACGGAAGGTTTGTGGCTTGAAGACATGGCGAGTCGGCACAAAGGGTTCGCCGAGAAGACTGAGGGAGATGAAAGAGTCTCGGTTCCAAGTAATTCGGCACGAAAAGAACGTGTCTACATGTAGCGCATGAAAGGGCAAAGATGATACCATTATGACTTGAACCTGTATCGCATTGTCAATGCGATTCGATGCATTCCCATGACCCAACGAGCCAAGGCCAGAAGTTGAGGGGCAGCTGAGATGGATGGATTGGTTGTCGTGTTGCATTGTTTACATGCATGTTCCACGCGAGTGTGCGAGATAGAGGCAACCGACATATGTCGGGTGCAACGCCAACGAGGTCACCTGCAGAAGTGATGGAGCGCAGTCAATTGCCAATTGGATGTCATGTTTTGAAGCAGCCATTGTTTACATGGATGGATGCAAAGCCCAAAGAAGCAACAAGGATGGATACCCGGTAGTTGAGGTGCGCAACATACTGACTCCAGCCGCGGCAGGGAAAAAAACAAGCTCTGGTTGCAGAGGTTAATGCCTCCATCTGTGATCCAGACAAGCACAATCCGGTTTGTTTTTGCCTCTGCTTCCGGACAATTGATTCGCTCGATACCAACGCCGGTCTGGTTCGCTTCTGCACATGCAAGTCAGAGCAGACGCAAGGAGCTAGGCGCTAAGGTACATGTAGTCAAGGCCAAGGTTCCTCTGCGGGTTCATGACCCTTTCTGTAGCCGGTCGAGATATGGTTTCTGCAAGGCGATGCGAGGTCGCAAAACAAGGAAGACAGAGGTCGATCGTGGAGGAGCATGGGGCACGACAGCTTGTTATATGCTACGAGGCTATAGTCGTTCGATCTTAGCCATCAGTTCCCGGTTCACACGAGATGGGCGGGCCATCGGTTGCCCTTGGAAGTGAGGACGGAGAGCTGCGCCAGGCCAATGACGGGCGTTAGCGGGTGAAGCTCTGGAACAGCGGGTGATCAGTAGCGCTTCGGAGCAAGCTTTCAGTGGGCTCACAGTGGGCCTCACCCCTGCACGCGGGCAAAGAGATAAATGAGACGCCAGAGGAGGTATTAAGAGAATTACCATACTCCTTCCTTATGAATATAACTTATAAAAATTAGTATAAAATAATAGAATAATTAGGAGATTCTTATAGATTTTTATTATAATTTATTGATTATATCTAGAGTAAGATTAACTACTATATTCATCCGCGTGTCTCTTTTTTTCCTTGACCCAGGTGCCCTGCCAAAAGCGTGCGACAGCGGGGTAGCGGTGCTGAAACACGGACCCGTGGACCGCCCCGAAATAGCCCACCAATGGCTGGAACCCTCTCGGGACGGTGTTGCCATGGCAACTTTCTGTCCCCATCCCGGTACCACTGCCCGTGAATACTTCGCTACAATTCACTCTGCTCTCCCACTCCGACGCACACTCTTGTCTCAGCCATTTCTCGTCTCTCTTTCAACTCCAACCCTTCCTTCAGAAATCCGCAACGGCGGTGCATGGCTATCGACCGCTCATTGCGCAAAGGATGCTATTCCCGCCTCGACGATTTCGCAACTGCTCGATGACCAACTGGGAGAGAAAGTAAACAACCGTTACTAGGAACACGACTGTACCGCACCGAGACGAAGACATACGTTATACCTCCCCTTCCTTGATATCGCACACCTCTCACGCCTCCATCACCGACCTTCTTCCCCTTACCGGCTTTATAGCATTGTTATCGCACTACACTCCTTTCTCGCACAACGGTCCACACATCTGAACACAATGGTGGACACCAGCTATCTGGCCCAGCAGGTCAACAGCAGCATTGGCCAGCTGCATGGTCTCTTTGATGAGATTGGTGTTCCTGATCATGAGCGTGAAGCTCGCGAGACCGAGGTACGTTTGGTTCACGGTTAGGAGGTGACGGCTTGCTAACTTGAGTGCAGCTCTTCTCGGCTCTATCCGAGGCCCTCAACAGCCAGGTCCGACTCGTCACTTCTGAGAAGAAGGAGATGATCGACGAGGCAAAGAGGATTATTACTATTATCCGGCAGATGGAGTCTTCTCTCGACGACTCGAAGCGTCGCCGTGACTATGAAGAGGACGATGACTTGGTCATCACATACCCCTTGATGCGATGCTTGCAGGTGCTCAAGGAGAAGCATATTCAGATTGGCCGACTCCACAAGGAGCGGTTTGAGCAAGTCAAGAGTGAGTTTCTCTCACAAACTCGCCCCTATGAGCATCCCGCTAATTATTTGCAGAGCTCGTCCAAGCCCTCGAGTCTTACTCGTCTCACCTTGAGCCCACATTCGTCCAGATCGCACTCCCTCCCACAGCACCGAACCAATCCATCCCCCCGAACTTTGATCTTTCCCCTTCCTACGTCGACAAGCTCGATAGCGAGTTTACGCGAGTATATGAGGAGTATTCTCGTCGCATAGCCACCGTTCAAGCCCTCGCCGACCAGATCATTGGACTTTGGGCGGAACTCGGCGTTCCCCAAGCGCAACAAGACGGCGCCATCGTCAAGTACTACCGCGACGCGCCCGAACAGCTCGGTTTGCATGAGGAGGACATTGATCGCCTGCGCACCAAGCGTGACAGACTCTCAGATGAGAAGAAGAACCGAGAGAGGAAGCTGAAGGAGCTTCGATCTGCTGTTGAAGCACTTTGGATCAAGCTTGGTGTTGATGAGAGTGAGACCAAGCCTTTCCTCAACTCGAACCGTGGCTGCGGCGTCAGGCAGATCAACGAGTTTCAGGATGAGCTGGCACGGTTGAACGAGTTGAAGCGCCAGAACCTCCACCTCTTTGTCGAAGACACTCGCATCAAGCTTCAAGAGCTGTGGGATGCACTGTACTTCAGCGAGGATGAGATGCTCGAGTTCACGCCTGCCTTTTCCGATGTCTATAGTGATGCTCTTCTGGAGGCTCATGAGCGTGAGGTTGCCCGACTTGAGGCTCTCAAGGAGCAGCGCGCACCCACACTTTCTCTGGTTGACAGGCACAAGAGTTTGATCAAGGAACGAGACGATCTCGCGACGTCGAGCCAAGATGCTTCGCGGTTGATGGCTCGAGGTCAGAAGGGCGAGAAGAGAGATCCCGGCAAGCTGCTTCGCGAGGAGAAGATGCGCAAGCGCATTGCCAAGGAGCTGCCCAAGGTCACGGCTGATTTGCGCAAGGCGCTCGCCAGGTGGGAAGACGAGTATGGACGACCATTCCTTGTGTTTGGCGAGAGATACTTGGATGAGTTGGAAGCTGCCGACGGGCCGAGGAAGAACGGCATCCCGCCAAACCGCTCCAAGACACCATCTGGACATCCTCCCTCAGCTATCAAGGCTCCCAAGTCGGTTCCCGCACGCGCTCCTCCCAAGACTATTCCTCCTAGGTCCATGACCAAGACACCCACAGCTGGTGGTACTCTCACTAAGCGCCCTCAACCCCCCGCATCCTCCACCACCAAGGGCAGCCCTTCACGGAGCCCTTCCCGAATCCCTGCACGCGTCCCTCTCTCCAACTTGAAGCATGGAAACAACTCTCCTGAGCGACCCCGGCCAGAGTCGAGAGCCGATTCTTTCCGACAAGCCCCTGCATTGATGAGAGCGCCTCCTCCCAAGATGCGAGACCTTGTGCCTCTGCCTGAGTTTGAGGCTCCTGCAAACCCTTACAAATCAGCTGGCCTAGCGTCAAGCATCGTTCGACATGTTGAGCCTGAGGATGTTTACGATGACCGGCCGCGAACAGAGCGTTCCAACTCTGGTCAGTCCCAATACAGCCAGTCTCAGTATAGCCATCCCAGCTACAGCGAGAGCCACCCTAGCTATAGCGAGGATAGTTATGACGAGCGATTTGCCACCATTCGATCACAGCCCAGCTACCGTCAACCTGTTCAACCGCCACGACAAATTTCTGGCAACTCGATGACCTCGACAAACATTTCAGGGTCCGAGAACTGGGAGACGTACGACGATAATAGCGAGCCTGAACCAGACGCGTCGGACGCCTACTATGCCAAGCTACGGGCAGCTCATAGCAAGCGATTCACCCCCGAGCAAGGTCATCGACCAGGAAGCAGTCAATCCAAGCGCATCCGAGGAATCCCTCCATCGGCATCGTATGGTGGGCCGGTGATGATTGACCAGGATGGCAACCGCATCATCTCTGGAAGTGAGTGGACTGATGAAGACGCCTACTGAGCGTCATGCATGATATGAGTCGATTGCAAAACGAATGATGCAGTAGAATGGCGTCGCCGTTCTAGACGATCGATGATGGATTCACGCAAGCTTTTCATGATGATGCGGGCATCTCGCGACGGCCTTGGGTGAGCTTAAAAAGAGCACCACGAGGACAACACAAAACAAAGCCTGTCTTGTTGCGGCGTTGGCGCATAAAAAGGACATCTCGCCTGCGACTATTCAAGTCAAGACAGGCGTCTTATCATCTCTCCTTTGGACATGTTTGCTCAATACCTCTTTCCGTTCTGACTTTTTATTCTCTTCTTACTGTTCATGTTACATTTCGTCGGGCCCGACGCCAGGTTCTGTATTCTTTTTCTTTTTTTGTCGAGAGCCTGTCTTTTTTGCAGCCTCCCCACTACGAGAGCGAGGCTTTGCTGATAGGAATACTCGGTTGTGTGCCCAGGTTAATGAGGGATGTGCATCGAAAGGGGGCGAGGGCTTTGGAGGGAAGGGTAGGGTAGGGATGGATGGATGGAAGGCGTCCCGGATGGTTGGCGTTTAGTGTATATATGGATGGAGTGAGGTCGAGCTCCTCAGCTAGGTTCTTCAGCGATGCCAATTTCCTTGTTGCTACTTTTGAGTTGTTTCTGTGATATCTGGGATAGCTTGCGAGTGTGGCAGGGTGTCTTACGGCCATAAACGAGCTGGTGGGCTTGAGCGTCCTACGTTACAAAGAGGCTCATAAAGGCTTGGGCTAGAAACTGGTCTATGCACAGTAAATGTATCACCCTGTACGGCACAGAAGAGATGTATGCTGAGTACGGAGTAGCGCTACGGTCATAGTGAAGACCAGTTGGCTCTCAGCGAATAAGCAGTGCGCACTCTATGGCCATGGCAGCTATTCTTGGTACAAGCTTGGCTTTCAGCCTGACAAGACGTCAACGTCGCTTGGAGGCAAGTCATGTGTTTGACTCCAATAAGACACTAGAGGATACAGCCAGGTGATATACCGTCGGAGCGTTCCAGAATCCGGTGAGTGAGCCTCGCCCGACTCCCGGCTTGGCGAGATGATCCCCCGGAGGTGGGGCCGCTGAAGATCGGATCTCGCCCACTTCCCTGAAGCGAGAGAAGCACAGAAGCGAGGGAAGTGATTATAATAGACCTGCAGTAGCTTTGCATTTCGGGATATTCTTGCGACCATGCCAGCTGAGTTCAATTTGTTTCAGGATCCGCTGACATTGCCAGTCAGTCTTTCCTCCTCTTCAGCTCATTTCATTTCCCCTTCACCGTTAATAGAACAACAAGCCAGCCTTACCAGAGTGGGAAACGCTTGTTTTGGTCGACGTCCATTTTTTTCTGTGCCGTTTCTAAAGGACGACGCCACAACTGGGTCTGGCGCAGGGGAGGGGGAGTCTTTTTGTTGCTTGTTTACGTGCGACGGCTCAGGAGGGAGGTTACTCTGGGTTATTACTTTTGGAGAGTTTGTGATTGGGTGTCAATGTCTGTAGGGATGCAGAGGTTGGATGGAAAGGAGGGAGTATGGAGCTGATTTGACATATCTTGACGTTAAAGAGTTCCATTAGATGTTGTCAGCGACATGTCTGCTGTCCTACTTTACATCGTGGCTGAGTGTCTCATCAACGTTGAAGCGCGTAAGTCGTTTGCTCTTCTCACCTGGCGTAGTGCAACGCCAACACTCTCAACATCAGCTAGGCAATCCAGACCACCTCCCGCCTTTCAATATTGACCAGGGCCTTGAACCACCGCCTGGGGGCCCATCACCGTGGAGCACACTTGCAGGCCGATCCTCCGGAATTTGAGACTTGGCGTCACGGGCGCTTGACTTTGAATAGACTTGCGGTTCGTGTTCTGTCCAATGGGATTTGTACAATTCCAAATCGGTTACCCCGTTGGGCTTGTGATGGCTTCGTTGGAGGATGATGGTTGCTGATACGATATTACATGCAGACGCGGCACGACATGACCAAGTTTTCTCCTTGAGAGAGGAATATTCTGTTCCTATGTGTCAATTGTCCATGGATACGGAGTATGCTGCTGGCTACACCGACTTGTTCTTTAGTGGTGATACTCAACTGGAACACAGTCTGCAATGAACTCGCCAGTTCTCAACACCATCATCACCTGAAGTTTCTCTTAGGATAATCAGGCCAGAATGGTCGTGATGGGCTCACCAGACACCAAGCTAAGGGCGTTGGTAAAGATGGACGGAGGCGTCAACGCCTGGCGCTATTCGGCTCCACAACCGAGCTTTTCCTTGATCTACAGCTCAGCTTGAGCAGGTTATGCTAAACCACTTTGGCAGGTTCAAAGACCTTGTGAAAAAAAAGAGAGTCCCCATATGGTCAGGGGTAGGGAAACACATGGCGTCCGGGCAACCCATGTTCGTTTTGTTTCTTCGCTTCGTCCGCGATCGAAGGGGGGTCCCAGGGGGGCTGGAACTGCCGTGCCGAGAGTTCTCGGCGTCCGGGCTGCGGATCAAGGTCCAGAAGTTGAGTATATATCAGTTGGTCCTCTTCGTCGAGTGTTGAAGAGGTTTGCTTGGAACTCACACCTTCTTTCTCCATCTATTCTTCTCTACACCTTTTTATTAGTCTCATTCTACACTCGCTACACACCTTATACTCAAGGATCTTTTACACACCATCGTTTATATCAACACTCACTCATCTCTCAACTTACATTCTATTCAACACTTACAAAGACTCTTTTACACACCAACAATATGAAGCTCTCTACCATCGCGGTAGCCGCTCTCGCGGCCGCCCCCATCTCCGAGGTTGCTGCTCACCCAGGAATGGGAGACACCATCCGTGAGATCAAGCGCATCGCTGCTCGTACTACATGGGGTAGCAGCAACAGTCAGAACAACAAATGGGGTAGTTCTGGTAGCTCGAGCAATGGCGGCAGCAGCTGGAACAGCGGAGGAAGCAGCAGCAGCAGCTGGCCAAGCTCTGGGGGAAGCCAGAGCAGTGGAGGTAGCAGCTGGCCCAGCAGCGGCACCAGTGGTAGCAGCCAGTCTGGGAACGGCTGGTCCGGCGATAGCTTCAACCCCAACCAGCTCCTCGGCGACCTCCGCACTCTCAGCGACAGCTCCCTCACCCGCGTCGGAAGCGACATCAAGAAGATTCTCCAGGGCAGCGGTAACCCCGAGAGCCGGGACCGCTACTTTGGAGTTCCCCCCATGAACACACCTCGCTGCAAGCGAGACACTTGCTGTGTGTGGAAGTACATCTCTGATGAGCTGCACACACTGTTCCAGGGTGACTCTGGTCGCTGCAGCAAGTGGGCTCGTTATGCCGTTCGCATGGGTTTCCACGATGCTGGTACATGGTCTACCAAGACCGCAGCTCAGGGCGGTGGTGCTGATGGTTCCATCATCCTGGCTGGTGAGCTTAGCCGTGGTGAGAACCTTGGTCTTCAGGATATGGGCAAGAAGTACCAGGAGGTTTACACAAAGTATCACGACAACCTTGGCTTCGACCAGGTCACCTACGCCGACCTCATCCAGATGGGAGCCAACATCGCCGCCGTGACATGCCCCCTCGGCCCTCGCGTGCGCTCCTTTGTCGGTCGCCAGGACACCAAGAAGGCTAACCCCAACAACCTCCTCCCCAACGTCAACGGAAACGCTCTCTACCTGATCAACCTCTTCAAGGACAAGACCATCGGCCCTGATGATCTCGTCGCTCTTATCGGTGCCCACACCACCTCTCAGCAGAACCACGTCAACACCGACCGTGCTGGTGATCCTCAAGACAGCACCCCCGGTGTGTGGGATGTCCTCTTCTACAAGGAGACCATTGGAACCGCCCCCGACCGTGTCTACAAGTTGCCGAGTGACGTTGTCCTCTCCAAGCACCCCCTGACCCAACCCGCTTTTGAAGCCTTTGCTGGTGGAAACGGAGCCCAACGTGCCTGGAACGTGGTAAGTTCAACTCTTCCTTCTCCTAAAGAACATTCACTGACTTTTATAGGACTACGCCCGTGCTTACGTCCGCCTTAGCCTTCTGGGCGTCAACAACATCAACGACCTCACAGAGTGCACCAAGGTCCTGCCACAGCCCATCGACGGCTACAAGCATCGCGACGGCAGCCGGTTCAGCAAGTGGCTCCAGAGCGACGACAACTCATGGGACTCGAAGAAGATTTCTCAAGAGGTTGAGAACGGATACACAATCTCGACGCCCGACAACAAGATCCCTACTAAGCGTGGACCCTGGCGCAAGTGGTGGTGATCTACACGGTCATATCCATATGATGCAAAGCACGGCGTTAGGGGTAGTAAGAGCAGGACAAAGGATACGGGACTTGGGCTTATACACATGCCACTTAGAGGCACAATTAATATACCTTTCTAATTCAAAACTCTTCTATACTTGTTGAGGCAATCGATAGTCATGTATGGCGAGTGAGTGAATCAGGATTGAGCCCATCTTCATGGCTCCTTGATTCGTGGCCGCACCTCAAGCCATCGTCCAAAGTATAATAGGTCTCCGCACCTTTCCCTGGCCCTCGTGGTTATACTGACCGCGTCCCAGGTCTTCTCGCTTGCATCTTCGAGAATCAGCTCATTGACCTTCCTCGTCACCATGTTACGAGGCACATCGACGATGATCCTACCTCCGAGAGGTTGTAAGACTGCCTCTATGTTGATTACGTAGAAACTATGATTGTTGAATCTGATCCTCCATTCTTTAATCGGAGCATATTCGTTCGTCATGTTGCACAAGTGCACCTTGTGAGGTTGAGCCACACCGTCCACCTTCTTGCCGAACTCCAGGGCCACGATGGCAATTCGAGGTAAGAGTTCCAGATCCGGGTTAAGAGGGAGGACCTCGGCCGGATACTCATCAGGAATCGCACCATAGCTTTCCATGTGACTCCCGAGACTGCCTCCACGTTCATAGCCTCCCTCTGTTGACGATAGCGACTGGCCTAGAAAAGCCATCAACAGCGCGTCCCAGGTGCCGTCGGAGTACTCGATATAGATACCGCCATCCGCTGCCTTGCCATTCTCAATTGTCCACTGTCCTGTGCTTCCTTGGTTTCTGTGTACGTTGCGTATCCGGCCTTCGTCGGCTTGTCCAAAGATGTAGGCCGTGGCATCACACTCCATCGCCCTCTGCACAAGATGGCCGATGTATCTATCCAGGTTATGGCCCACCGGGACAGTTTCGCCGGCCTCGGGATTGAAAATGACTGTACCGAACAAGTTGGGACCACGGCCGGTTTCTGTCTTGATGGGGTTCTAGCCCGATTTGATGCCTCCAAAGGGGTTTTGTACTGTGGATCGACAGTCTTGGTGCAGCCAGAAAATAAGACCCGACTCGGGGCTGGAGCCTGATCTGTTGTTGATAATTGCTTCGTAAATCCCTGTCTTGTCCCCTTGGTCGAGCAATATGTAGGCGTGGGTGTCTATCCTGAACGGGGACGACGTGAGGCTGAAGAACTTTCCTTTCCAAACTCCAAAATTCCTGATGGGCATGGCCGATACTGGAGGTTTTATGCTGTGTGATGGATGTCTGGATGTGTGTTGTTTGTCATTAGATGACTAAGTTTGCCTGAGTGCGCTGATGCTGTACGTGTTGTGTTGATGGTGCGTTGATGTTGATGGGAGGTTCTGGTCGACATCGGTGTAAGTGCCGGTATGTATGTCTGTATGCCGCTCAATATTCCCGCGATTCATGCTGGGGAGTTACTACTGACGCACCTGGCCAAGATCTGACTAGTCATTGACCAACTGAGAATCGCTTTGCAGCACAGAAGTGCCAACAGAAGGAACGCTGTCAACAGTCCGTCGTGTACAATTACCCATATACACTACCTAGTTCGACCCCTCCTTAGCCGAACAGACAGGAGGAGACAGATAATTATGAGATTAAGCTCTAATTAACGCTCAAGTAAGCCCCAAACATCACCCCTCGGCTGCCCCGTTAACCTGCTCTCGTCTCTCTCCTCTAACCAACAAAGCAAGACTCGTGCCTTCTCTCGTCCGGCATACACCCGCTCCAACAGCCGCCTGAATCGCTCTAATTGCGTACGAATGCACTGTCAAAGAAATAAACTGGTTATCCCTGGCTTCTTCAAAGATCTCTTCCAGCGCCCGCTGCTTCCTCTCGATATGCTCTCCCTTCGTCTCTGGTCCGCTTCGCTTTCTAAACCCATCATCCTCAGTGAACCCTTCTTCGATCTTGTAATTGGGATAGTTCTCGGCTATCCAGGTGCGTGATCTTCGAAAGTCGCATGTGTGCATGGTGATGCGCTCTCGGAGAAGTTCTTTCACCATGGGTTGGAACTCTGCGGAGTGAGACGACATGAGCGAGGAAAAGACGAGGGATGTTGTTTGTAAACAGCGAGCAAGGGGACTAGTGTAGATGATCTCGGGGATAGGTGCACCATCGATGTTGATGAGATTGGTCCAGAAGGTGTTGAGTTCAGCTGCTTGTTGAATGCCTACGTCGGTAAGAAAGGCGTCGAACCAAGTCTCTTTATCGTTTCCATCCTGAAATGATACCCTACTCTACTTTATTGTCAGAATCAGAACCTGAAGGCCGCAGATCAACTCACATTCCAGGCCTCGCTTCCCACCTCAGTATGGACCTTGTTGTGTACTCCAGTTCCATGTCGCGTTAGGTAGAGCAGCTTGTAGCAGACATTCTCGGGGCACGTCTCATTTAGCCATCTCACGTACGCTGTCAGCCGAGCCCAGTCCCGCTGATCTGAAGCGTTGGGATCGTCGGAGGGATATTTCTGACCCGGGATGAGACCCAGGCTGGGCTGAGTGGTGACCTTGCCTTGAGGATACTGATGGGCGATATCCGCAATCTCAACAAAGATGCCGGGCTCGGCCTTGAAAGTCCAGGTGGTCATGCCTTGAGCGGGCAGTATCTCGAGTGGTGTGTTGAGTCAAAGTAGGTCACTGCTAGCATATCATGGTGTTTGACTCAGATAATGACGTAGTTGTTCCGGCAAAATTGTCGCCAGATTCGGACCCGGAAATGCGGGGCTTCCGAACTGAGCGGCATCGGAGCTCCGGTTGGTTTCGGGGCCGGAAGTCGGTGTAAATGAATGTTTTATTTGCTACTAATTCAAATGCCTAACAAAGGAAACCCAGTCTATATCGAAGCAGTAGTGTCCATCCAGCACGTTCCATCCTCTATTCGTTCTTAACATTCTACCCGAAATCACCAATTCCCGTTATTACCGTAAGAACTCACGAAATTCGAACAAAATTGAGTTCAACCGGCGGTCTTGGCGCATTGCTTCCCAGATGATCACTTCCTCATACAGTTAATATGTGGAAGTGATCAATTGAGGGGTAATATCAGAAGATCGGATGTCCCCCCGGGCCATGATTTTTGGAGTTTCTCTTTCATCCGATCTGAAGCTATCACCACCGCGTTTTTCACACAATGCCGCCGCTTGATGAGGTTGATCCTAATGCCGGCTGGACTGTGGCCTCAACACCAAGGAAAAGGCCCGGCCCAAAGCCTAAGCCTCTTGAAGAGCGGAAGGTCAAGAGGATCATGCCAATCCAACGCCCGGAGAGAAGCTATTCACCGGAACAGAAGGCAGAAGTCCTCGTGTGGCTGATCCACGGCCATGTTATAAGAAGAGGGTGGAAGAGGAAACCTACGCTTCGTGATGCCGAGAAGCACTTCAAAATACCCCTAACCACGATCCACGGGTGGCACGTTAAGCGTGAGTCTTTCCTTGAAGAACATATCCGCAGACTTTGCCCTAAGTGGCCGGACCTTGAAGATCGAGTATACCTCTCTTTCTTAGAGCGCCGCGCCCAAGGGAAAGTAGCTACGACCTCCTGGTTCCGCCGGCACGCACAGGCTATTTACAAGGAGTTATACCCGGACCAAGCCTCCCGGTTCCCTTTCTCCACCGGTTGGTGGAGGGGCTTTCTTCGGCGTCATAACATTGTAAAACGACGAGTGACGAAGCAGTCAACTAAGCGGCCAGAGGATTATATCGATATTGTGAATAGATTCTTACGATTCGTTAGACGCATCTCTACATTAGGATTCCAATCTCGGGCTATCACGATGATCCTAAACTCGCCAAAACGCCGCTTTTATCGGCGCCTAATACTCAACCTAGACGAGACCCCAATACCATTTGAGTATCTCGATGGCTTCACTTGGGAAATACGCGGCGCAAAATCGGTCTCTGGGAAAAGCGACCGCAGTGGATGGAATAAGCGCCAGGCCACCTTGATTCTCTATATATTCGCAGATGGCGAATTCAGGCTTCGACCGACTATTATATTTCATGGTACCCCTACCGATGAAGGCGGCCAAAATTACGAGAAGGAGCAGCATCTTTATTCCCCTGACGTCGACGTGGAGTTCAATAAAACAGCATATAATAACGAGGAGCTTTTTTCCTCCTGGATTGACAACAAGCTTCTTCCCCTTATTAAGGGCGAAGAAGAGGATATGTTGCTCGTGATGGATGCAGCCACGTTCCATAAGACCGAAGGGATTAAGAAGAAATTAAGGGATAATAGTATTTCCCTTGCCCTTATCCCCCCTGGCTGTACGAGTCTTTTGCAACCCCTTGACACCGCTATCAACGCTCCTTTTAAGCGGTGGTTACAGGAGGCAACTGACGAGTATGTTGAGCGGATGGAAAGAGAGAAAGGAGAGGATTTTAACTGGTCAGTTAGTGATAAGAGAGTTATGGTTACTCATGTGGTTGCTTCTGCTTTAAAGCGTCTTAATGCACAGTCAGAGATGGTCAAAAAAGCGTTCTTGAACTGCGGAATAAGCGTACGCCCTGACGGGACCGAGGACTGGCTGATCCGGATCAAGGATATACCTTCTGATCAGATTGACTTCACTGGGTGGGAAGAAGCCGAGGAAGTCATCGTCAAAGACGAAGACCCCGTGGATCCCCTATGTGACGAGGAGGAATTCCTAGCTGCCGACGATGACGAGCTTCTTCTGCGTACACGATATCACGAAGAAGTCATCAAGCAGCTGCAAGAGCGGCTGCGGAAGAGGGGCCTCAAGGTATCAGGGAAGAAGGCAGATCTGATCCAACGACTGCGAGATGATGATGACTCGCAAAATCCTCGAGAAGGAGATACGATATATATTAGCTAACTAGACTAGAAGAATCAGCGCCTTCAGAAGTCTTATTGACCTTATTATCTTGCCAAAAGAAGGCTATCCCCTCTTGCCATTCACGTTCCTTTCTTAACCTCCAGTCCATCTTCCTCCACCTCTTTCCTTTGCCTTCTACCTTACAGACATAATTTCCCCTGCCTCATGACATCGTCAACAGGCTTCCTACTGCGCACCCTTACCCAGCCGTAATGAGAGCCTGATTTTACTAGGGAAATGGCCTCTTCTTCACCCGGTGAGGAAGGGAGTCGGTACTCAAGGCGGTAGGTCTGTCCGACCTCGAAGCAGGCTGCGGTCTCAAAGTCATATGTGACATCTAATTAGTTAGCCTCGCATAGCCTTATCATGATCTTCAACACCAAAAACACACATATGATGTCTATGAAGCCGGCGGCAGCCATCTTCGTTATCACGATGTCGGGGGGCAGCTTCAATGCAAGGAGGAGGTTGGAAGTGGGAACAAGCCCCCTACCTATTTTTAGTGCGGAATCAGTTCTGCCGCCCATCCCCGCCCTCTGTGTGGCTTGCCAAGAGACACTAGTTGAACTCAATTTTGTTCGAATTTCGTGAGTTCTTACGGTAGTACGCCAACTTCTCAAAGAGCCAAACTGCCTAACAAAGCAACAAACAAAGCAGCTCCCAATACAGGATTCCCTTCAACTTGGCACCTTAACACAGGCCAAATGCCCATTATCGGCTCAGAGACTGGAGCTGGTTCTCGGAATCCGTGTTGTAAAGGCGCTGCATGCTCTGCTTGTTGATAATAGCAGACGGATGGAACACATTAAAGATGACCGAGACGATCAGCATAAGCGTCGCATCAAAAATGTAGATATAGGCCTCCTTGGCCATAAGCTCCCCGTCCTCGCCCATAACGTACTCGATGACCCTGAAGATGGACCGGACCATGATGAGCGCGCTAGACACGTAAAGAGCGATGAGGAGCTTCTGCCACGGCGAGTGAATCTTGAGGCTGGCTGATGTTGGTTCGTTGTTGATTCGACGGTGGAAGACGATGGCGACAATCCCGAAGAAGCCGAAGAAGATGAGTTGGACAAAAAGACCGACGATGATGACTGTCTGTCCCCTATCACGGGCTGATTTAGTATCGGCTCCTGCGAGCATACCACCACCTGCACCAATGTCAGCCTCTTTGCTTTCTCTAGCGGTTCGTTTCGTGCTCACCCATTCCCTGAGCAAGGATGGAGACTATATCGCCAAACAAAAAGATCTTTGTGAGCCACTTGAGTCTGACCATGGAGAATTTATCAGCTTCGAGGAGTCGGATGAGTCGACCGAGGACCATGTAAATCGAAGCGGCGTAGAACGGGGGACCTAGAAGCAAAAGAAGAGCCTGGATGATGTAGGGACCCTTGGACCATTGTTCAGAGTCTTCGCTCGCGTTGATTGCTCTTCCTCCGTATCCGATTGCCTCGACTGTACATTCAGGATTAGTTTGTTTGTCACGTAGATCGAGGTGACGCTTTGGGTTCCTACCAGCGCAACCGATGACAAAGGGAATAAAGTACCACGACCTCAGGCGTGCGACCTGATAAGCGTGGTAGAAGCCGGATATACCAAAGGCGACAATGAAGATGACGGCGGCAGCCACAGACGGGTCATACTTGTAATAGTCGTTGGCCATGTTGAAGATTCGGTGTTTAGTTTCCTGTAGATGGTTTGTTGCTGTTTTTGTGTGTCAAAATCAAAGCTGATTGTTTGGATGTTGTTGTTTATCCATGGGGAAGATAGCCCAGTCTTAAATGCTTTCAAGTCAACATCTTGACACTGACATCTCGCGAATAAAGGAGAGAAGCGAAAACGAGCATCGCCATCGTCACCTCTCCACGTAAGCAACACGAGAAAGAAGGTCACCAAAGAAGCAACCTTAATGGCTTTAATTTCAGAAAAATGCACGTCGTTTATCGGAAATGTCTATAAGAGCCGTGATCTAACTCTGTTTCAGCTAGATAACCATGTATTAAAAAAAGCTTAGGAGGCTCAGCCTTGAAAATGGGGCTGTCTCGTTATCGGAAGTTGATGCGATTGAACAAGAGACAAGGTTAATGTTGGTCAAGACGAGGAGGCCTTGAAGGGCTGGGTCAAGCTGTGCACGGTTGAGGCTTGGCCTCCACAGTAACCGCTCCTCGTTATCGCATCTCGATATGATTGGTTGGTTCTCTCCCTAGAAGCAATCACTAACGTCGCATGCGGCTTAGTAACACTCGCATGGGTCTTGATCTCATCTCGTCGGGTCTGTCGGGAGTTGCCCGTTCTGCAACGGCCGACAACAAGATCCCGCCGCGTCATCAACTGTGGCTTCTGGTTTGTGTGACGATGGCATGGAGAAGGGAGGGGGGTTCAGAGAAGCTTCTTTTTGACTCTGTAGCCAAGATATTAACACTCCCGGGTCTAGGACTTGCATAACGCCCACTCTTTTTGACATCACACATCACATCAATCATGAAGCGCCTCGGGTATAAGAAATCCCGTAAGGGTTGTTTACGGTGTAAACAACGAAGAGTCAAGGTTGGTAAGTACTCCCCTCGGGTCAGAATGTCCCACTAATTGGTCCTCAGTGTGACGAAAAAGTCCCCTGCACTGCGTGTTGCAGACACGGCGTGCCCTGCAGCCTCGAGGGGTCAGGCTCTGTTACCCCTGAAGTCCCATCGGGTCGAGACCGTGTGCCGGCTAGACAGGTGGGTAGATGCTCCTTTTCATGTAGATCTAAAGTGCTGACAAGCTAGCAACCGTCTTCTTCTCGGTCTTCCTCTGAGAGGAGCAAAGAGCAGAACACACCGCCTACATCCGACTTGTTTTCATGTTTTTCACACTTCCAATTCGAGGCTGCAAACAACCCACAAGATCCAGGTTGGGTATCAGATATCGAACTCACACATCACTACACGGCCAACGCCCATCGGACTCTATACTCACCATGCTGTCACGCATACAACGCACTTCAAAACGATGTCCCAAGGGAAGGCTTTTCTCATCCCTTCCTCCTTCACCAACTCCTCGCCTTCTCCGCCCTCCACTTGGCGTTCCTGAAACCAGAGTCTCGCAACAGATATCTCATACAGGCCTCGCAGCACCAAGGTGTAGCCATCAGTACCATGAACTCGCTCTTGGCAAAGCCTCTACCGCCGAGTGAGTTCCACGCCATGTATGCGACTTCGATATTCGTCGCCATAAGCGCTTTTGGTACCTATCCCAGCTGCGACAGGTATCAAGAATCATTCCGTGCCATCGATGGCCTGGTCGACATATTCATCCTCATCCGTGGCATGAACATTCTCCTCCGCTCATCTGGTGAGGAGTTACGAAACGGGCCCTTGAAGGGTTTACTGAGCGGGTGCGATTGTCCACCTTTCGAAAACATTGGCTGTCTCAAGACGGTGGCTTCCAAGCTAGGAGATCTCCTACCAGCTGTACAAGACCAATTACCCTTGCTCGACACCGAAGATGGACAGCTCTGTGTAGACACCATCGCTGGGTTTATTGAAACCATCTCGAGGATCACCAGCACCCCCAGGTCGGCGCCAACACCCGAGCTGAGGGTCGTCTTTGCCTGGCCCATGGGCCTCTCCAACACCTTTCTGTCACTCTTGAGAAACTGCGAGCCACTGGCTCTGGTGGTTCTTTCTTACTATTGTGTGTTGTTGCATTCGCGAGAACCAAAGTACTGGTTTCTCCAAGGCTGGACGAATGCGCTGATGAAGGTTGTGGAGGCAAAAGTGGTTGGTACACGATGGGAGGGACTGATACAATGGCCGTTGCAAGTGATGGGAGAAAATGAGACGGCGACGGGGACATTAGGGGAGGACCCGGAGTCTCGCGCCGCCCAGGAGGTAACATATCCGATGTGTTGACCAGGAGCAGATGCTTTTGCTGTAAAGATAAGAGAGTTAGTTGCTATAGATAATACCTTTATCGAATCCTCACTTTTCACCATTTTCCATTTTCCATCACGGAGAAAGCTTTCCTTACAGATATAGCACTATCAGATCATATTAGAACTTTAATTGTCGGAAAAGAAAGAGACCAAACCACTGTGTTAGCATTGTGATATGATGCTATGACGTGTCGATAATGTGTTCTTTATTATAATTGAAGCCTGACCCTTGATGAGTTAACTGAATCAGAAGATCGCATTATTCTACTCTCGGGGATGATACCCTGGAGCTCTTCCACGGCATGTATCCTATCCTTGACCGCCTAGTATCCCCAAATTCAGGCTTTGGGCGGCCAAAGTTCAAAAGCTATGCTTGGAAAATCGAATGAGACCAAATCTATACTGCGGCGATTCATAGGGCACCGTATATTTGTCTTGAGAATGGTGTATTATTATCATTAATGTCACATAGGCTATCAGTCAAAGTTAGAGTTCCCTATGCACCAGAAGAGACAATAAAGTTTTCTCCCTTGAATAAAAGTATTAGCCTTGCTATCACAGATCCGTTCCACCTGCCGAGTCCCACGTACTACCTGTTCTGACCGCGTTTGTAGTTCTCGGCTCATTGTAAAGGTAAAAGTCCCCGAGCTTACAAGACTTGATTTGAAATCAAGTCACTATTTACTTGGAATCACAGACGTCAAGAGTCATTTGGTTTATTCCAAGGTGGTATCTCGTGCTTATCTTATACTCGATATTGTGGAGGCGCGGATCGGGTCAAGATGCTTCGGCCGACCGGTTCGTCGGACCATCCGATTAACAACCACAACACCGTCTGTGCATGTAGGTGCCTTACCATGTCTTGTATGGCGTGTATTTTAAATAGCATGGTTGATTGATATATAAACCTGGCCTGTCCTTCAAACAATTCAATCATCAATCCACACTTCACCCACTCGCACACTTACACCTCAACACCACCAAACAACAATCACCATGCCTTCCTACGCCATCACAGGAGCCTCCAAGGGCATCGGCTCCGAGTTCGTCCGCCAACTCTCCCAAGATCCCTCAAACACCGTCTTCGCCATCGTCCGCGACCCGGAACTCCCCAAGCTCAAGTCCCTCGCCGAGCCCAGCAACGTCCACCTCATCAAAGGCGACGTCACAGACCCTGCCTCTATTCTCTCTGCTGCATCTCGAGTCTCTGAACTCAGCGGCGGAAAGCTTGATGTGCTCATCCACAACTCCAACGCCAATGACATGGAGACCATTGGATATTCGCCATCCCAGGTCCCCTTTGATGTTGATGCTACAAAAAAGTTTTTCGATCTTTCTTTTCACACTGCCATCTACGGTGGTCTCTGGACGACGAATGCTTTTCTGCCGCTCATTGAGAAGGGAACTGAGAAAAAGATTGTCCACATCTCGAGTGGCATGGCTGATATCGACCTCATCCGAAAGGCAGGCATCAGTCATACCATTGCCTACGCGGTTGCCAAGGCCGGCATGAATGTTCAAATCGCCAAGTACGCCGCTGAGCTTGCCCCCAAGGGAATCAAGACGCTCGCCCTGAGCCCCGGATGGGTCGACACATATGATGGACCCCGTAAGTCTCCCTGCCAGTCTATGAGTAATTACTGATCTGAATCCTTGTTAGTGCCAAAGCCTGCAGAGTGGATCCAGATGGTCGAGGCCTTGAAGGCACAGTTTGTCAAGGTTGCTCCAGAGCTCAACGGGCAGATCAGTCCCGAGGAGAGTGTTACCAAGCAGCTTGAGGTTATCGCCAACTTGAACGAGGAAACGAGCGGCTCGTTCTTGAGCCACCGAGGACTCGTGGGTGAATACTAGGAGCATGTACAGATATCGTGTAAATGGTCACAAGGGGATCACATGTATAGACGGAGGAACTAGAAGGACATTGGTACTAGTATGATGATTCGATAGTGTATTGATCAACATACATACATATACATTCATTGGATACCCCCATTTCTTCCAAATCCATTCACAACCTCGTTCCACCAAAGCTCATCAAAAATCTGACCATGAGTAAGAAGCGGAACATCGGCCATTTCTTGTCTCAAGCCAACAGCCCCCTCCCACATGTCGTCGCTCTGCTCAACAACCACATCCTCGCCCACCTCCCATGGATCAACACCTGTAGAGTCCTTGAGGCGCTTATCGTAGCACTTTGCAAATAACTTGACTCTAGAGTGAAACACGTTGAATAGCTCCAACTCCTTGTCCCCCTCGGGAACGTTTCTCGCCGTCTTTTCCAGCCTATTCCTCACCTCGGATATGAGCTTGAGAAAGTTACCCTCTGCAAGGATACCTCGTACAGCTGTCTGGTTAACCGGCTGATCCTTTTCACCCAGAAGAGACTGGACAAGTGCCCAAGTGGACTTTGCCAAAATCTCAAAAGTCGTCCAGACCCGGTCCAGCGTGACAAACGTGATTTGTCGAACTTCTGCCTCTGGGGTATTGATCAAGTTTTCAATTATTGATCTGCTCAGTTTGAGAGCCCGCCATAGCATGGTGCTTCTTCTGGCAGCTGTGCTTTCGGAAACCCAGAGACTTTCTACGAGGCAAAATCGCAGGGTGGACAACTCGGCGCATTCAATCTCCATTTGTAGGAAGCGCTCTGGATCGCAATTAGCATATAAAACGAAGAAGTAATTGCTAACTCACCAACAGGCTTGGGAGAGCCAACGAGAGCTCTTGCTACTGAGCTCTTCAGCTCCTCGAGCTCACGAGTGTATCTAATGCTGAGGACTTGTGTAAGAACTTCAGCTCCGGCCGATTGATACACAGTCTTGTGCGCGTGGTGATCATCATCCACTTTACTCATGAATGACTGTAAGCGAGCAAGATGCCCAGCCCACGGGTCACTCGTGCATGTGGTTGAAGCAGCCAGCTCCCGAGAACAATCCTCCACCTGCTTACTATGCGGGAGACCCACTGGCTTGTTCAGCATGAACCTCAGACTTTGGCACATGATGAGTTAATACTTTGATCTATCAGCGGAAAGTGTACTTACCTTCCAGACAGCCAAAACGTCCCGAGAACAGCATGTTGTTCCTCCGGCGTTAAACCCGGCTTCTTGTCTAGATCTAGGTCGTACACCATAGCTGTGCACAACTGAACGAACATCACAGCCTCCCTCTTGCCGATATGGAGAGGATGGCGATACCACGCAGCATATACAAGAAGACCCTGCAAGAGATCCAAACTTCTCTCGGCGTTTCGGATGATCTTTGAGGTGATCTGATCCATGATCTCGTTGTATATACGTTTGCGAAGAGGGTGCTGAAAGTCCATGGTGACTCCAAGAATGCAAAGGCAGAGAAAGGGGTTGTGGGCATGAAGATCGACAGCCGACTTTTCAAGCTCAACGACAACAAATGGGAACTTTGCCGTCCAGTTGGATTTGAAGTCGTTTATAAGAGATTCCGCCTCATTCGTGCCAATCAACTCGTGTAACACGGTAACTGGTGGTTCATATGGGGTAGCATCTTGAGCGTCTACCACAAGTTCATCCAAGGGATAGTCTTCAACTGGGCCACCCGAAGACACAGTAGAGGTTGAAGCAGTGCTAGTCTGAGGTTCGTTCTGCTTGGTCAAGTGTGAGATCTGAGCCATGAGGCCATCAATCTTGCTCTCGAGAGCCTCCACTCGACTACATCAAATCAGTAATGCCCATACCAATCATGGAAATGCAGAAAATACCCTGTAACTCTTTGCTTTCGTCTCCTTTCGGGCATATTCTGATACTCGCAGTGCTTACCCAAACGGGAGCACCGCTCACACCGGCCATTGGCATGAGGAGTGCATTTCAGCTTAGCCGATGTGCATGACACGCAAGCGCGACGCTTGGCGATCGAATCAGGAGCCATCGGGTCCTCTCTCTTTTTGGTAAAGCAGCAAAAGATGGAGGTGAAGTTGCACCCGTCGGCCGATCGAAGTAATGAAGGGATCGGGTCGGGTCTTGAAGTATCCGACCCGAGCCGTGCTTGTTATGTCAGCGCTTGCATCCTCGCCATTGGCTAGATTGGCTGCCGACCCAGTGTACGGAGTAAGCAGACAGCATCGGCTGGTCGGAGCGTCCGAAGGCCGATACGGATCCATGTACTTGATGGCACCAGACCGACCCTCTAGGCACTCAATTTGCCATCTATATAATTTTGTTTAATATTGAAAGAGTAATAATGTGTAGTCGCTTGAATAATACCCGAATGCAAACTTGTAACTCCCTCCCGCGGTTTTACGCAGACTCACCCGGCTCCTACACAAAGCTTCTGTCAAGCCATCATCCACGGCAATGAGCCAAACACCAGTCGCGATGTCTCTCACAGAATTGCCGACCCAGCTCTAAGCAAGCTCAACAGGCTCCTTCTTGGGTGCATTATCGGCAAGCTCCTGTGGATTATCCTTGACCTCAACCTCATGGACAGCAAGAGCAGCATTTGGCGGAGTGTCAGAGTACGGTGTGCCAGCCTGCTGACCAGGCTGCAGAGCTTCTTTGTTGCTGTTGTCGTCGCGAGGTGTCGCTTCGTACTCGGGAGGGCTCACATCCTGACCCTTCTTCTTTCTCCTCATTCGGAGGAAGAGAAGAATCGCCACGGCGAAAAGAGCAACAGCGCCAACACCTCCGACCACACCGCCGACAATAGCACCGGTGTTGGTCCCCGAACCGCCAGAATCGTTGGACTCTGTGGCGGCCGGGGAAGAACCCTTGGTAGCTGTGCCACCGCTGCCTTCAGCCGTTGACTCGGCCTCGTCCTGGGAATTGAAGAGAATGCTGACTTGATCGCCACTCATGGTGAAGAAGTCCCTGCCCTCTTCACCCTTGTACGTGAGAGCGGCGCTCATCATAGTCGTGATATCGACGTCGTTGCACGAGTAATCGATCGTGTTTCCTTCCCAAGAAATGGTATTGCAGTATGGGCCGTCCTCCGCTGTGCTGTGCTTTGTTAGTCAAAACATGTCTATGAGCTCGAGTGTGAGAGCCTCACCATTTCAAGATGTAGTTGTCAACCTCGCATCCATCTGTGCACTTTTTCGAAGTAAAGTACTCTCTCGAGTTGTAGCATGTCGAATACCATTGGCATGATGTTTCGCCGCAGCAAATGACTCGTTTGTGCGATGGTGTCTGTTGAGCAGCTGCCGGGAAGAAGTAGCAATAGTCATCGTTTGGACAGCCAAGGCTGGCACCAGGACGCTCAGAGATGAATCCGCAGATGCCGTCCGGTGCCCTAGTGACTGTCATATCTTCATATTGTCGCCGGTCAAGGTCTTCGAGTGAAGGAGCAGGGGTCTGCATTGAGCCATAGTCGTTTATCAAGCCCATGATGCCGGCCGAGGTGATGGTAGGAATTGAGTCGTTGAGATTGAGTCACAAGTTAATTGAGTACAATCAGGCGTCAGGTATACAGACAATCCTAATGTTCGGGGCGAGAGGCGAGAAGCTCAAGAGATGACGGTGATAATATTGAGTGCTGAGGGTGTAATACGGCAGCGGATGAACCACACAAAATCGCAGAAAAAGAAGAATCAAGCCCTCATCAGCACCACAGACAATTCAGCAGCAGGAAGAAAAACGAGGGCAGAAAAAAGAGTATAAAAAGGTTCCAGAAATATGAGCAGTCCCATCCACCTAGCCAGCACAGCCAGCCACTCCCTGAACCAACGGATCCTTCACCTCCCAGAAAACCAGACCACCCCATGCAGCATAGCCCTATAAGGCTCCAGACAGACAGATTTGATACGGCGACATGTCGGAGCTGAGCAGGCATGCCTCCATCGCGACGCCCGAACCCTTGTTGTTGTGATTACCCTTTTAGGTTGAATTCTGCGCTCAGGATCAAACCAGCATCAGCCAACGGACGAATCAGCTTGGCGTATGCAGGGTGCAAGGCAGAACACTGCTTTGAACAATTGGTCCCCGTAAGATATTCTCTGCTCGAGATAAAACTGGTGCTTATGCTTGGCATGCCATCCTCTCGTGTTTAGTTCTTCGGAGCTGAAAATGGTTTGACCATTAATGCTCGCAAAAGTTCCACTCATGGCGTCGTATCTCGCCCTCGGCTGCCTCTTGAATCACACTCCGCTCAGCCATGAGCTCCTCTCGGATCTTCTTGGCATCTGTCAGGGTGATGGGGAAACCCATGTTGTTGATAACCATCTCTGTCACCTCTGGCGGTAGCTTGCCAAGGCGGTCTCCGGGTATTGTCTCCTCGCTCCACCAATGCTTCTGCTGAGGCGGCACATTGGCTGTCGAGATGATGGGCATGACAGGGTCGATGAGGAACAGAGCCAGGATCTTGCGGTGGCCAGGCCGCGTTTTGTCAGCTAGCTCAAAGGGGCTGACGTGGTGTTGGTATACGTTGGGGAAGAAGAGCATCCGGTCCTGGCGTGTGAGCACACTTCCAATGTTCTGCACGGTGTCTCCTTGCGAGTCAATGTCAAAAGTACGCATAATAGAAGTATGATCGTCCTGTTCGTAGCTGAGCTCCATCGAGAGGTCATCCCCATCGGCAATCGTGCGAAAGTCGAGTTGACAGTCAGTGATGTTGTCGCAGTCATAGTAGTAGAGAGCGGTTGCGCAAATGTGCTCATTCAGCTGGCCCTCAATATGCCAAGAGCCGCCATCGTACTTGGGCTTCTCGGGGGTGAGGTGGATGTTGGCAAGCTTGACAATGACCTGGATGCGAGATTTGCCTCCAAAGAACTTAGAGGTTTTCACGTCGCTGGTCTTGAGCTTGAAGAGATCCTCCAAATCCTTCTTGGGCTGCGGCTGATAGACCGGATGTTTAGAGTTGAACCATTCTTTGTCAAGCCTCTGACGCTCTGAACTTTCGTACCATTCCTCGTCTTCTTCATCCTCTTCCCGAGGCTGCTCGCCTTCGTTTACCGGTCGCTTCACAGGGGAGCAATAAGAATACCGCCCGGCACTGCATTCGTCAGCCTGGCAGTCGGTGCCGACGCGAGTCGCCACGACACGTTGAACTTGATATTCGTCATACCATTTGTGGATGACGTCCCAGGCAGGTAGAGATTTTGCAATGATTTGTTCGATGATGGGGTAGAGAGGAGCATGCTGAACTGGGTGGAGGTTGTTGATGTAGCTGTCAATGCGTGGGTGCTCGCCGGTCAAATCAATGTCACAGGGAAGCCATTGAAAGCGAGTTGAGGAGATAGCAGTCGGGTGACTGCTACGGCCGTACCTGGGTTCTGGCCTGGGCGTCTCGGGCAACTCAGGGAGCACATCACCCGTGCCACAATGCTCGAGACAATTCTCGACGTTGATGCGCTTGTTGGGGAGAATGTGCGAGCGTCCATAGACAAGGGGCAACAGTGAAGGATGAACAAGGTCAAGGACCTTTTCATCACTTCCGGGATGCCAGTCCTTGTGCTTTTCGGGAACGTTTTCAAGAGGAGCGACAGCAGCCTTGAGAGCCTCTCGAAGCTCCTCAGGGATGAGCTTGTCAGACTTGATGGCGGCTGAGCTATAGTCCATGACCGGGATGAGACCCGTCTCTTGATAGAGCTTGGCCTTTTCGCGCAGCTCTAGGATACACTGCCATAATTGTCAATCATGTCCACCATCTTTCAATATCAATTCCAGCACTTACAGCGTCGGCCATTGCCTCGGAAAAACTGGCATGCTCATGAAACTCGGCCCAAGGCATCTCGAGAACCTCCTTGGCCCATCTTGCAGAAATCTCTGGGTCCTGGACCTTGACCCACCACTCTGGTTTGTTGGTGATGTCCTCAATGAACTTGAGCATGCATTTCTCACGGATGGTGAGAGTAATAGCACTAAAACCATAGTCACTCAAAAGACCTGGGAAGCGGCCTACAGGTTTGTAGTTCTGAGGCAGTCCAAGGCCAATGACGGCAATCTTTTCGTCGCTAGACATGATAAAATGTGACAATGGGATTTCAGTTGGTGATTTTGATTGAATTGGTTAAAGAACAATCGACCAGCAATGGGCGTCTTTTATGTAAACTCCAGAGATGTCGTTGAGAGGCGTCGAAACGCGGTGAGTGCTGGAGGATTCCGACCAACAAGGCACCAGCGTCCACTCAGGGTTCAGCTCAAGCCCCATGCACACTGGCTTTGGCTGTGAGGCCCACCGGGCTTGCTCGGCGCTTGCCAGAAGCAGGAACGGCGTCACCATGAAGTTGAGGGGGAGAGATTAGGCATGCGGAGCGCGACGGGAGTTCACGGCTGAGCGTGTGGACGCGATGAGGTCGTCACGCGAATCACGCGAAGTCACGTTACCAGCCAAGCCTGCTGCTGCCTCTGGGGCAAGGCAGCAACTCGGCTCTCGTCTCCATATGTACCTAGTAGACCTTGATGACTCGGCCCAGGGACTCACAGATGGGGAAAGCTTGAGCTCTACGGATGGAACATGGCAATGTCGGTGAACAACTCACCATCCATGCATATTTCGCTCAGCGGACAACTAATTCCAGCTTCATCACGGCACATTGTTCCTCCGACCCGCCAAGCCTCGTCAGCAGGTTTCCGTTGGACAAATGGGACGAGATCAAATGCATCATTACCTTGCCTCGGGATCTTTACGTGACCCCGTGTTGGTCATGTCACAATGTGTTGGCTCGCTTCCCCAGGTTTTTTTTTTCTCCTCGCGGCTCTTGACACGGGAGTGAGATGCGCCGATGAGATATAGGAGATGTTGTGGGCCCGGGGCTCAAGGAGTGTTTTCCGGGGGCGTGTCGGACAATCATCATATGTTGAGCTATTGCCCGTTGTGGTGATTTTAATGAGAGACTTCTTTTTGCTCGGGACTGGTAGCCGATAATGAGAGCCCCTGAAGCTCTTAGATCTTGTCTCTGTTGTTCATAAATCTTGTGTGAATGGCTTCCATCAACTTCCCTCTCAACAACTCATCATTTACAGCCGGGAAATCTTCGTCCAAAAGGGGATAAACACCATTCCCTCCCATTCCCTTGAGCAACTGCCTTGACTTGACCCCCCCTTGTACCTCGGTTTCTGCCCTGGCTCATCTCATTTTCTCCTCGTTCCCGACCTTGCACCCCACGCTTGAACGAATCATATCCACAAGCCTACCGAGGCACGGCGCGGCTTTTTCTGCTTTTCTCTCTCGTAAAGTCTGGACGGACCGGTGCGGCCTCGGCCACCTCTGCGATCTTTTTTATCAGCTCAGCAAGCTCTCCCACTAAGTTATCAATCAGCGGATGAGGTCAGGTCCCTCCACCCCCCACGACCTCTACAAGTTAGTGCATGTACAGTACTGTACCAAGCCAGGTTCTTGGGACCACTAGCACTGCTACCGTCGAAACAATTACCGATTTATTTTTTGTATGAGGCCATTGATTCCTCCTTGAACCCTATTGTGTCATTTTTCTTTCTTCCTCTCCTTTCACTTCCCTTCACCTTCGATGCTCACCGTGAGCTTCTCTTTTCCAAACCACCCGCCGCCATGACAGAGACCGCCGTCGAGTCCCCCGCCGAGGCCATCGCCATTCCTTCGGCGGAGCCCGTTGTCGCCGATGCACCTCCGGTAGCCGACCCCGTCGAGAAGAAGGCCAACGGCAAAGCCACAACACCCAAAACCGCCGCCTCGAGCCCTCTCAACCGCCTCGCCGCGACGCCTTCGGCCATCGATGATGTTATACGCCATATCCATCGCGCCATCCGCACGCGCGGCGGCACCGACTGTGTCCTGCTCTTCACCACCTACTCTGCCCGTCTCGTCGGAGCCCTTCTGAACCTCCTGGGCCGGACTACTCTCCGCCACTCGGCCCGTAAGCTGGTCGAGCTGGCTTTCAAGCTGCCGCCCTCGAGCACCGTCGTCCTGTCCACCGCGACCGCGCCGCCGCTGGCCACCCTTGCGCTCAACCTCTCCAAGCGCATCCAGGGTTTCACCGACATGTTGGGCGAATGGCGCACCATGAACCGTCTATGGGGTATCTTTGCCACATACCTTGGACTTAGAGACCTCATCCTGCGCATTCGAGGCAAGAAGGTTGATGAGAATGGCGAAAAGGTGCCTCCTCCTAGCCGATTCAACACCATTATCGAGCTTATACAGTACACCCTCCTCATCGGATACCACTTTGGCGAGGCCACCTGGCTGCTCACCGCCAAGGGCGCGACCAACCTGTCTCAAAAGACGGGTGGCAAGCTCGCCATCTGGGGCGCGCGTTCGTGGAGCGCCTGGGTCTTCCTGGAGCTGTTCCGTTTGCTGGTCGAACGCGCGCGCAGGACGCCCACCGGAGACGTCGCCGCCGAGGAGGAGTGGCAGACCAACTGGAAGGCCGACTTTGTGGGAACCCTGCCCTGGGCTCCCCTGTCGGTTCATTGGAGTAGCGAAGGCGGTCTGCTCCCCGAGCTTGCTATTGCTGCTCTCGCGACTTGGCCCGCGACCGTCAACATCAAGAACCTGTGGCGCCAGACTGCCTAAGCAGGCAGTTGAATTTTGCAAATAACATGGTGGCATCACGGACGTACAGCGAGAATAAAGTACTGGCATGGTGATGTGCCAGGAAAGAGAAGGATCACCGCACTAGACTTGACTTCTGGAGCTGGGGAAATTGTCGGCATCGGCGCTTCAGGGGTAGCAACAGAGAGCACTCGAAGGGATCGGTTAACTTCTCATCTGGAAAAATGGCGAAGACACATGCCGCCATTGAATCATGACGCGATACTGGGGGTCATATGGAGGGTATTATATATATAAATGGGCGCTTAGAGATACCTTCTCGGTAGAATAAACCTATGCTTTCTTGTACTTGTGAGTTGAGCAGCCAAAACATCAAGACATGCCCTCCTCTAGACACATCTCCTGCTCACATGGGCAACCTCATTATCTCCTCCTTTGTCCAATACCTCCTCATATTCTCCGCTCCCAGCGTCTTGACCTCCTCATCCAGATGCTTCCACAACACCTCTCCCCACCCCTCCATCTTTTCCTTAAGCACGTCCATCTCAAAGTCGACCTCGCCGGCCCTGCATTGTCGCAGGTATTCTGCAAAGACATCAAGCCCAGCGTGGATCTGCTTGTGCTGGCGCAGGAGCTCGGCCCGCCCACCGCGGAACTCGGGCATCTTCTTGGCCAGCACGGGAAACACGTACGTCTCCTCGATGCCGTGGTGCACCGTGAGGTGGTCGGCAAACTGGATGCCCTCAAGAAGGAACTGCTTAAGCGACATGCCCTGCGGCCGCTTGTTGGTTGTGCATGCTCCCCAGAGGAGGTTCCATGATCGGCGGAAGTGGTCATGCTAGGAGTTGTTAGTGTTATTTCAATATGTTATCAACTTGTCTCACAAAGTAGTCCATCTTCTCGGCAAGACGGTTATAAATCTTAAAGTCCCGGTCCGACAGAGGCGGCAGCTCCTCTACCACAGTCTCTGTCTTTTCCTCAACAGCCCTTATCGGCTCCTCGGGGGTGGGGTTTGATGTCGACATTGCAGCTTGGTGATATCTTCGTAACGGCAAAGAAGGTACAATAAATCTCGTCTTCGCTGGTGTAACAAAATTTGACAGAGCAAAAGAAGTAGCTAGTCGTCCTGTTTGTTTTTTGAATATGTTCTCGTAGCTTGGTCTTACACGATATCGCTGCAGCATTAGCCTCATTGCCGACCTAACTTGAAGTGAAAAAAATTCGAGAAAAAAAGAGACCCAGGGACTGGATCTCACTAAAAAGGACCCAAGGCAAGACTCCGCAACGCTCTCCCTCTCAAAGAACCGTGATCTCCCCGGACCCTTTGCCCCCTTGAGCCACTCAGGAGCCGCCCATTGCGGTTGGAAATAGCTGACTGAGCCCGACTACCCGCGCGCCAACTGAGTAATCTCCGGGTCGTCGCCGCGCGGGGCGCTCGTCTCGGTGCGCTTGGCAAAGTCCGAGATGCACATGTTCGGGGACTTTTAGATGGACGGTGCATTCCAGTTCCTATCTGGATCTTGAAAGAGTATTTCTCTGACTCGTAAGGCTGCCGGTACTTGATTATACATCTCGCCGTCTGTGCACTACATACTGCAGCGGCGTGGCATTTCCGAGTCCTCGGCAAGAAGACCGACCCTGTCTCGCTCTTCATTCCCAAGTCAGGATCGACTCTAACATGATTAGAACGCGCCTATCTTGCTTTAAGCTTTGTTATAGCCGCTGATAGGCCCTAACTGGAATCATGCTATGTTTGTGGTGGAGTGCTATGGATGGCCACCTTTACACACTTGACATCCAGGTATCCCTCTACCAACCACTTCTACAAAGACATTAGTACCGGAGTCAATATTATCTTATAGAGTGGCTTGTCTATAGTATCCCTTCCATTGTTTATTATTGTTTGTTGTGACAGGATACCAAAACCTAGTCAACTCTTTACATCCAAGAGACTGGCCCAACTCACAACTCCGATATTGCCAACCTCATAACCATGGGCAAGTTCGTATCACATCACTCAGCCTTACACAGCTTGAAACATCATTCATAAGAGTAGCATCTCTCACACCAACCCGATGCATTCAGTTCATGGCATTGTTGCCTACACACTATCTCTCTTCCACCCAATCTCAAATGGTTCGATAGTCCCGCCAACTTTTCACAACATAGCACAAGCATGAGACTGACGAGTTCTATGGATCCTTATTCCGTTTCGACCTAATGACACGTAGCGAGTGCTCCCGCATCCTCGCCCCTTTTCATTAAAAGCAACCATCCCATGCAAAATGCAAACGATCAAGACGCCTCATCTCGTTCATTCTTCCCATCTTAACCTCGGACAGCCGCACCCAGCGCGCCACCCGTGAACTGCGTTCCACCAGCTTGTCGCTGCGTGTTGCCGCCCGTTCGTGCTCCTCCTCTGCCCTGTCCTCCCGTCCTTCGTCCTCCTCGGCCTCGGCCGCCTTGTCGCTCAAAGGCGTTTGAGGTGCCCTGTGTTCGCTGCTCCAGAGTTCGCTCGTTAGTCTCAATGAGTGCGCTAGCCTTGTCTGACAGGGCAAGAGCCAGGGACTGGAGACGGCTGAGCTCGACACCCTTGCGGAAGATGATAGTAGAGGTGACCTGGTCGAGGGAGGCGGAAAGCTCCTCGTGGCTGATCATCTTGCTAACAACGGCCGAAATCTTGGTAAGATCGAGCTCAAACATAGCGCTGAGGGTCTCGATGGAGAGGGTGTCGTAGAAGGGTGCGTAGGTGAAGAGGTAGGTTCGCAGACCCTCCTCCTGGATCTGCTTGGAGAGCATTGTCTTGATCTCCTCGGCACTCGGCATGAGGTCCCAGATCTTGATGCTGTGGATGAAGGTGATTGACTTCTTCCACTCACCAGCAGCCAGAGCCTTGGACGCCTGCATCACATGGTCTCGTGTGTTCTCGGGAGGACCAGTGAAGATTTGCCTCTCGTGGTACTCGAGCATGCGGCGGTAGGTCTTGCTGATGACTCTCTTCTTAACATCCGGTGAAGAACCGGTCTGGGCCAGCAGAGGAATCTCGAGGAGCATGCTGCAGGTCAGGTAGACACACTCAAGGAGCTCAAGGTTGATGTGCATGTGGAAGGGCAGTTGTCGCTGCTTCTCAAGGCGCTCCTGCTCGGGAGACACCTGGTTGTATCGCTGCATCATGACACCCTGGGCGAGCAACTCCTTCTGACGGCCGCTGCCGCAGATCTCTTGCAGAGTGTTCTGGGCATCATAGACAAGACCCTTGCGGAAAGCGCAGAGACCAACTTGGACCAGAGTTCGGTTGTACAGGATCTGGCTCTGGACGTCAAAGTTGGGGATGTTCTCCTGCAGATGCGACATCAACATCATGTCACGGGCCTTGTAGTACTCGCCGTGAAGGGCGAGGAAGTAAACCTGGCACAGCATGGCTCGGGCACGGATAATACCGTCGCTGTTGCTGAACAGGTAGTTGCAGAGAACATTGACGAGGTTGCCAGCGTTCTGGGCCTGGTCGCGGGGAGTGATGACAGACTCCACAGAGTCGCCAACAGTCTTCCAGCAGTTCTCCTCGAAAGTCTTGACAACCTGGGCGGGCTAATGGAGAGTCAGCAACAAATCGAATATTGATAACGAGTTCACATACCTTGAAGTAAACGTGTTCCAATCGGCGCATAACAATTCGGTTCACGCTATCTTGAGGAGTTTCCAGGGAGTCGTCCTTTCGGATGTACTCATAGTAGAGGAGGCCGCGGAAGATGATGTTGTAGAGGGCACCCTCATCTTGCAACCGCTCGATGTACTCGGAGGTGTGGGGGTCGATGCTCTGGAGAGAGCGAACGAGCTCATCGTCAAGTCGCTCAATGTAAGAGACGATGCTGCCGGGAACCTTGATGTGCTTCTCACCAGCCTGCAGAGTAGGGGGCTTCTCGTCATCATCCCACTCCTCGGCGTTCTCAACGACAACGTAGTCACGGTTCTCCTCGAGGACCTGGAGGAGGCTCGAGAGTTCCTTCTCGGCAGCCTTCCAGTGCTCAAGAGGCATGGCAGTAGCACCACTAGAGCTAAGGTCGAATCGGGCAGAGACAAGAGTAAGGAGGAGGCGGATCTTCTGGTAAGGGGTGTTGGCGATCTCGTGCAGCTTCTCCATGACCTTGATCTGCTCAGCACGATCGGTGTTCTTCTTTCCTCGGGACTCCATGATGGTTCGAAGGTGCTTGAAGATGCTCTCGGGAGTGTACTGGAGTGTGCGGCCACCCTTGCCGACGGTAGCAAAACCCTCATCGTCAGCCTCCTCGGTAGGAGCAGCCTCAACCTGGAGAGAGACCTTCTTGGCCTTGACGGGAGCCACAACCTCCTCCTCGGATGACTCCATGAAGCCATCCTTGTCCTCTCGGTAAGAGTCAATCTGACTCTGGTACTCCTTGTTGGTCTTCTTGATCTTTTGCTTGACGGCGTTGAGGGCTCGGGCCTGGGTTGCGTTCATCTTCTTGGGGGTGACCTTGGCCTTGGCCAGTGACTCATTCATAAAGTCCTCGAGCTCAGCGAGAATTCGGATGTAGGGCTTGGGAGGTTTGCTGCCGGGCAGCTTGGTAACCTGGCGGTTGAGCTTGTCATATTCTGCATGTTGCTGTCAGTATTCATGTTTGCGAGATGGGTTCGATGATTTCTCGTCTGGTCGTACCGGCAGAGATGAGGGTCCAGTCGCCGTTCTTTTGGCCGTTCTCGATCTGCTTGATGGATGCCTCCAGCTCGTCCAGGCGCTTGTCCTTGGCACTCTTGACCTTGCCTCGGTGCTCGTCATCGCTCTCGTCACTATCCGAGTCGGATTGTCCGACCAGGAAAGCACTGGCACCCGTCTTCTTCACGCCGCCCTCGTCGGAATCATCGCTGTCGCTGTCTTCTTGGGAGGATTCCTCCTGGGAGTCCTCCTGCTCCTCCTCCTCTTCCTCCTCCTCGGAGTAGAGCTCCTCCTCGTCGCTGGAGCTGTCGGTGGAGCTGTCGTCGCCGCCGCGGAAGAATCGAGACATTTTGGGCGAGTTTCTTTGACGCTGAGCCTTGTCTGGTGAGGGTCAGGTTCGCGAGGTGCGTGCGCGGGGTTGTTTCGACGGAACGAAAATTGTTGATTGTGGGAGGTGGGGGCGTGCACCGGGGCTTAACGATACGGCGACTCGCGAGTCACAAGCCTCTCTGCTATCGATAAGCGGGCGGAAAAATCAGATGGATTATGTCAGCGCAGCCCACAACTCAGAGATCGAGTCATTACAGAGTCATAGGGGGCGACAGTGAGTCTTCAGGGCATTACAGGTCATTACAGCGCCTACGAGTCACTGAAGGTGCCCTGTGACAGACCTTTTGCCCGTGGCCGGAATACGATCGGCTACCGAAGTACGTACTTTTCTTTCCCGAACTGGTGGCCGCACCTTGCCTCGTCGAACCGGCGTGCCCTTCTTCGGTCCCCGGCTCCGTAGCAAAGAAATTCGAGGTCCGGCAAACCAGTGAGTGCTTCGGCTTCTCGCATTTCTCAGCAAGCATCCACTACCATCACCTCGACCGCCACCATCTGCACCCACCTTCGACCTGCAACTCTCTACAAGCCGTCGTCATGGCTTCCCTTCACTGCGCGAATGCGCCATCCGCTGCTAGATCTTTTATCCAGCTTGCACGACGCAGCTATTCCACCGCCGCCGCTTCTCAGTCCTCGACACCTCTCGAGTTCCTCGTCCCGCGATGCGCACCCTCTCCGCTCCGAGTCACCGAGGTTTCGACCACTGCTTCAAGAGTACATGTCCACACACGCAATTCCAATAATTCCAGGTGGCTTTGGCGTTCCAACTTGCATGCTCGGGCTGTACGAGCGTTTTCCACTTCTGCCGCTCGACACCAAACACGAGCAATCTTGAACCCGCAAGAAGACGAGGATGGCAAAGAGATGATGCTGGAAATTACTGAACGGGCTGCCAAGGTATGTTATGTCATGGAAACCCCTCTCGCCGACCCAGACTAACATTGAGAAGCGCCTCAACAAGATTATGGAAAAGGACGGCAACCCGAACCTCGCACTACGAATCCAAGTCGAAAGCGGCGGCTGCCACGGCTTCCAATACCTCATGAGTCTCATAACTCTACCGCCAAAGGACACCCCGGAATGGTCAAACATCGTCAACGAAGACGATACCATCTTCCAATACATCCCAGAGGACGCAGACCCGGCCACAGCTTCGGAGGACGGTCCGAAGGTCGTGCTCGATGAGCCATCTCTCGATCTCCTCAAGGGCAGCAAGGTGGACTTTACAACGGAGCTGATCGGCTCTCAATTCAAGATTGTCGATAACCCATTTGCTACTAGCAGTTGTGGGTGTGGCACAAGCTTCGACATCAAGATGTAAACTCCCAACAGGTTTGGACATGGAGGTTACAGAGCCGGATGACATAGACATAGACAATTGTTCTCCACATGTAGACTAGGATTATTAATACCCCTCTTCAAACAAGATCCTTCCGAGGTCGCCCTTCTCAGGGACTCACGGAAACTCACAGGGACAAGGCAGATCGGTACAGCAGTCACAATTCACATCACTTGGCCATCAGGGTCATCACGAATGTTTGAAATCTCGGGTGTCATTCATCAAGGTATCAATTGCCAAATCCCTGTCGTGATATGAACGCCGAGCAGCCATGCAAATCTTTTTTGAATCCGTTAAGGTCCTAACAACCATTCCCATTTAACCATTTTCCGAGAATAACCATCTTAGTTCATCTGGCGGACGAGGGCGTTGATGGCCTCCTCACGGTTGCCAAGGTCACCACCCTCAATGAAGTGCTTGAACTTGCGGGGGCGGAAGCCACCGTTGGGGTTGGAGAGCTTGAAGGGCCAGAGGAAGTTGGAGGCCTGCTTGAAGTTGGGGCCGACGGTGTAGATCTCGTGGATGAGATCCTCAACGCAGACAATGCCGTACTTGCCGAGGGACTCCTCAACAATGGCGTTGTCGGTAAGGGCAATGCGCTGCTTGTTGACCTTTCCGTAGCCACGCTTGTAGACGAGCTCCTTGACGGTCTTCAGGTTGGGGTAACCGTAGGCGATCCAGGGCTCGACGACCTTGAGCATCTCGGTGGTGGCCTTGGTGACCTTGATGAAGACACCGTTGTTGATCTGGAGGAGACGGAGGAGCTGGAGGATCTTGCGGGGCTTGGGGGGCATCTTGTTGATACCCTTGATGCGGACGACGAAGATGAGGTTGGCCTCAGCGGGGATGTAGGCAGAGTCCTCGCTCTTGGCAACGCGGTGGAGGCGGATCTTCTCACGCTCAGCATCGCGGTACTCCTTGACGTACTTCTCAGCACGCTTGAAGATGACGCCACGCTTCTCCTTGTTGGCCTATTTGACTTGTCAGTCACAGATCTTTGACGAGTGTGCAGAAATCATGTGTTTCAGTCAGGCATTGTCAGACCCGAAAGAAGGTTAACTATCAACAGCATCGACTGTGTCTAGTTGATGTATGTATGTTTTCCATCATATGCCAGGGAAGATAAGAGAGTAGTACTCACAGCCTTCTGCTTCTGGATGGCGTCGGTGCGCTCAGCGCGGGCCTTCTCCTGAGACTTGCGCTTCTTGAGAAGGGTCTCGGGGACCAGGATCTGGTCGTTGGTAGGGACGCTATTGATCAGATTAGTTCGAAGTCCGAATACCACAGGTGTGGTATGGAACAGAGCGCCGGTGCGAGAACTGTTGCAAGCAGCATTCTCCGCCTTGGCTAACTCGAAAGATGATTTTGATCGGTGAGCTGAGAGGTCCTTGACACATTGTGTCTACAGGCGGTGCCATCTCGTAGCCGCTCATCCGACAACACTTCAGACAGGATGTCCGAAAGAAGTAGTCAAGGAATGGGATTGCAGTGCATGTTTCAGCAGACCACAAGCATCCAGTGACAATGATTTTAGGAGCGAAGAGTTTGCATCTTCATCTCCAACACCCCAAGCAACATCTCTCAACACACAAGCCATGTTCCAGACCTGGGCAATTGAGGGAGAAACCCGAGAAAGATCGAGCTGGCAGGCCAGCGAAACTCGAACGAGGATCGCGGCTTTCCAGCGAGAGGACCACGATTAATCCGCAAGCGAAGGAGAACTCGGGAGACCGGGGCATCTGCCCATATCGTCCACGTCTTCAGGGAGGAAGCACATACGTAGCACCCATTTTGTCGGCGACGGCTGTTGAGATGGTCGGTTAGTGGTTGTCGGTTGGGGAGGCTGTAGAAAGAAGAGAAGAAGGGGAAGCTCTTTTTCTGGGGGGGAATTACAATGAGTGGATCCCCTCGCCTGCGAAAAAAAAAATATTATTCCCTGCTAGGGCTTGGACCTTTTTTTTCCCCGCCCACCATAATTTGCGCGAGGTTTTCTGCCGCACCCCACCGCTCGAGCGGGCAAATCCACCACCACCAAACTGGCACCTCGCGAGAAATCAGTTTGGAGAACCTCATTCTCAACCGCCAAGTGACGAGTAACCAGAAGTCGCCCATTTTCAAAATGCCCCCCAAGAAGGTCGCCCGTGCTCCCCAGGAGAACATCTCCCTGGGCCCCTCCGTCCGCGATGGTATGCGCCCACGTCGAACCGAACAAGCAACGAAAAGACTAACTGTTTTTGCGCAGGCGAGCTCGTCTTCGGTGTCGCCCGTATCTTCGCCTCCTTCAACGATACCTTCGTCCACGTCACCGATCTGAGGTTCGTCAACCCATGAATAAGGAAGAGAGCTGGTTGCGGCTATGAAAAATTGTACGGTTCATTGTGGCTAACTTGGGTGATTCCAGTGGCCGTGAGACCATCTGCCGTGTTACTGGTGGTATGAAGGTCAAGGCCGATCGCGACGAGTCCTCCCCCTACGCTGCCATGTTGGCTGCTCAGGACGTCGCTGCCCGCTGCAAGGAGCTTGGCATCAACGCTCTTCACATCAAGATCCGTGCCACTGGTGGTAAGTTCTGACTTGTCCAAGCACATCAGACTCTTGCTAATTCACCCCTCCAGGTAACGGTACCAAGACCCCCGGTCCCGGTGCCCAGTCCGCTCTCCGCGCTCTGGCTCGTGCTGGCATGAAGATCGGCCGCATTGAGGACGTCACTCCCACTCCTTCCGACTCTACCCGCAGAAAGGGTGGTCGCCGTGGTCGCCGTCTCTGAGCTGCTCACAATTGGGTGGCTTGGATCGGACAGGAGATTCGCTATCTGGTTTCTCTGTGGCGTTGAGAATCACGAGGAGAACGGCCAATGCGCCTGGTCTCCAGTCTATCCTGCTATGCCTTGTCCGGTTATGGGTTAGGACGCAGTAGACAGTTATGAATTCGCCCGAAGAAGGCCTATGAATCATCCTCCTTGTCAGACCAACTCTCCTTCGTGAGACTTTGATTTATGATGCAACATGGACATAGTTTCTCGTTGGCCATGATGATGAGCAAGAAGAAAAAAAAGCATATGAATTTGTCAAGCTGCGGTATCTATTATATGTGATCTTGTAGTATCCGAACGCCTCGCCAAGCAATCAGCCAATTCATGATGCCCCTTCAGGATTTCATCCTCAGCTCAACCTCCTCTCCATCACTTCACTCCCGGTTTCAATGTCCAGATTCCTCTGCCCGCGCCGCCAGACTTGTTGAGTACGGCAACTCTGTCCAGGGCAGCCTTGAACTCGTCGCTTTGTTTCTTGCCTGGACAGTACGGGTTGAAATGGTCCACCAGCATCTTGCTGGGAACTCGGCCATTATGACGATTGATGAAGGTTTTGATCATCGCCACGAAATCTTTGGCTTTGAGATTCCGATCTGAGCCTGGGGTACCAGATCGTGAGCTGCTTCCACTGCCACCGTCGAGACCTTGACGATCAGCCAGGTTACTAATAATGCCTGTCGAGCCAGGTCCCCCACGCCGACGGTTACCCCCTGGCCGACCAGCCTGTCCAACCTCTCCGGTCCATGTCACAGTACCGATCGGGACTCTGCGTGCCTCTAAACCAGCCTGACGAAGGTGTGCTGCGGCTTGGCGGGCAACTTGGTTCGCCTCATGTCGAAGGACAGACATGTCCGCCTTGGCTTTCTGGGGCCCATTGACGATTTGTTCATGATCGTAGGCGCTGTTGACAGACTTTGCGAAGATGCCCTCCAGCATGCGCTTCTCATCATGAGCAGTCTTGTCTTCTTTGAACTCCTCCATCGCAGCCACCAGATCCATCTGCTGGAGTTCTCTACCCTCAGCGTCGTTGGTGTCACGTCCAATGCTGCTGATGGGTTGTACGTTCTGGTCTCCGCCCTCTCCTCCATCAGCATTAGCCAAGTCAACTTCAGCCCCTTTGAAGACTTCACTTCGTTGAGCTCCCGCCTCTCCCACTGGGTTGAAACTGAAGAGATCGTAGAGATCCGACAGATCATAGCTGCTTCGCTGCTTTGGATCCTTCAGCACCTTGTTGGTCATGAACTGCTTGAAGATCTGACGATGGTAAATCTTCTCTTCGATCGTTCCCTCAGTCATCAAACGGTAGATCTTGACTGGCTTCTTCTGGCCCAGCCTCCATGCTCTTTCTCTGGCCTGGAGATCAGTCGACGGGTTCCAGTCTGGGTCGAAGATGATGATCCGGTCGGCGCCAGTCAAATTCGTTCCCAGTCCTCCGGTTCTCGTTGTCATGAGGAACACGTGGATGTTTGGATCTTCGTTGAACTTGTCAATCATGGGTTGACGTTGATCAACGGGAGTTTCGCCATCCATTCGAACGTAGCTGATGTCGCATTCCCTGATGCACTTCTCAATAATGTTGAGCATTTGTTTTCCTTGGGAAAACAGAAGAGTCTTGTGGCCGTTGGGAATCATGACCTTTTGTAGCAAGTCTTTGGTCAGTTGGAGTTTGGCGGAAAGCTTAGGGTTGCCAAAGTCGTATCCAGGTTTGCTTCCAAGACTCTTGTCCAGCAGGTCGGGGTGATTGCAGATCTTGCGGAGAATATCGATCCCATAAAGCGATTGTCGTGTTCGGGACAAGATGGACGAGACCTCATCGGATTTGAGAAATGTCTCATAAGCTTTACGTTGCCCGTCTGTCAGCTTGCAAAACAAGACCTGCTCCGTCTTCTCAGGAAGATCAGCAGCAACGTCGACTTTCAAGCGCTGGAGCAGGTACTCGCTGATGGTCTCCTTCAGGGCCTCGGCGCATTTCTCTGCAGTCATGACTTGCAAGTTGGAGGCATTGGCATAACCGCCTTGTCGAATTGGGATCTCGAACTGTGTTCTGAAATTGACAAGCGTTCCCAGGCGCATAGGGTAGATGAAGTCAAACAAAGACCATAGCTCTGTCAGATTGTTTTGAACGGGTGTTCCTGAAAGGATGACACGGTTAGGGGTGTTGAGTTCTTTGCAGGTGACTGTGATCTCAGCATTCGGATTACGAATCTTGTGTCCTTCATCAAGAACGGCATAGTCCCAGTGAACCGGCAGTAGAGTGTCTGCGTATGTCTGAAGGCCGGCATAGGTCGTTACCAGAACATGGCCATTCTTGACAACTCCGTTGACAATCCTTCTTGCAGCCTTCTCTGATTTGGTCGCAAGAGGCTTGAAATGATCTAAATCGGCCTCGTCCTCGACTTTGGGGTCCATCATGCCGCTACCAGAAGCGTGGAGGATTGCCACGCGAAGGGGTGGCCACCAACGATGAAATTCGCTTACCCACTGTCGTAGAAGCGTAGCTGGAGCAACAACAATGACAGGGCGTGTGAGCTTTTTGCTGTAGTGAAGAGCCGCGAGAAATGCGATCAGTTGCACAGTCTTGCCCAGTCCCATCTCGTCACCCACGATGCCTCCAACGTGTTGCTTGTAGAGTTCCGCAAGCCATTGGACGCCAGTCTTCTGGTATCCGAAAAGGGATGGATGAATATCTCCAGGGAGTTTGAGTCCGTCCCCAAAATGGTGATCTGGAAAGTCTGGAGCCGGCTTGAACCATTCTTCTTCTTCCTCGTCGCTCTGTTCGGCGTCGCCACCAGCCTCAGTTCCTTGTCTGCGTGCTCGTCTAGCGCGACTCCTTCGGACGACCCAATGATTCAACCTCTTCTTGTAGTGCGCTGCGTTGCCATCGTCAATCTTGCTAAGATCAATCTCGGTTTCCTCGACGAGTTTAGCTTTGGCCTTGGCCGTGCGGCGTTGTTCCCGAACGAGATCATCCTCTGTTCCTTGCTGCCAAACACCGTCGTCGCCTGATTCGGAATCAGGGGTTCCTTCAGGCTCAAAATCGGCTGATGGGCTTCGATCCCTCTGGACACGTCTCTTCTTCCTCGGTCGGAGGGAAAACTCAGTCTCAACTGCAGTGGTCTCTAGCTTGGTTGCCGGCTTAGTCGCTTCAAGCTCGAACTCGTCAACAAAGCCAGGACGCCTAAGGCGCTGGTGAGACGTAGGTCCTTCGAACTCCTCGTCCAACTGCTCTGCCTCAGCCTGTTCCTCTGCATCCAAGATTGTATCCGCAAGCTGTCCCTCAATGTCGGATGGTCGTGGTCCACCAATTTTGGCGAAAGGTGTAATCTTTCCAGTTCGGATGAGAAATTCACGATTGCTTTCGCCTGGAAGCTTCTTGGATTTGGCGTGCTTCGAATCCTCGGCTGGGTTCTCCTGGTGTCGCTTCTCGATACGTGCTTGGAAATCCGAAATGTCGCTGCTGACTTGTTGAATCTCGTCGTCTAGCTTGGCAATTTCCTTCTGGATATTTCGGGACTGGTAAATGTTTGTGCCTACTTTCTCGAGGCGCTTCTTCTCCTTGTCCAACTGAAGTTGAAGCCGATGTTTGGTTGCTTGCAGCTTGTCGATACGGTTCTGGTCCTTTTTGTCATCGGCTTCCATCAACGCAGCGTTGGCTTGGAGAGTGATGTCTCGTTCAAGTTCATTCTGATCTCGGACAGCACCGGTCAGGTTCCGAAGCGCATCTTCCTCGTTCAGGCCCTCTGTCGTGGGCTGTTCCTCGATGTCATCTTGGGAAGCACCTGCTTGCGCGGCGGCGAGCATTAGATCACGAAGTGCGGCTCGATCAACCGCTTGGTTTTCTGAGTTTGCATCTTCTGGTGCCATGATGAAAGGCGGTTGTCGGCGGGCAGGAGAACAATGCAGGCGCAGATGCACTAGAAAGGAAAGTGATGAGAGGAGCAGATCGGTTCACTCCCGGAAACAGAGGGATGAGCGTGAACAGTGAGTCACGGTCAGATTATTGGCATCTTCTTAGGTGGGAAGATGGCGAGTGTATGTGGCAAAAAAAGAGGAAAGGGCTTGTTGGAGGCAGAGCGTGAACGAGATGGTGAGTGTTGCTCTTGATGTTGACACCGTTAGGCACCATGTGGCTCTTCCCCGCAGGATGATCTCTAGAACCGCAGCCTCAAGAGGCAGATAAAAAGGAAAAGGACAAATTTTCAAGCGTATAGACGCAACACTGAGTTGTGAATATGTCAAGTTGAAGCCATTGTTCACTATCGCAATGACGCACAGGAGTTGAGTGCGACTCGGCCGGAGGAATTTAGATGACACGCGCGCGCTGATTGGTGCACTCGAAATTTCCAGGCACCAGGCGGGTGTGGATTTCTAATCTAACACCTAGCGTTCGGGATTCGGGAAGAGGTACCTCTCTCATGAAGCTTTCCAAATTCCGACAGGCAAAGGAGGCGAAGTGGATGGCCATTCAAGTAAAACTATGCAGTTCTATATACTCAAGTATCAGAGAGTTTCAAGGTTATTCCATATTTCAAATACCAAACACATAAGTAGTTGCCCTTTCAATGTGTCCATGGCTGCCTCATCCGCATTCCGCACCCGCTTAATGCCTGCTTCCGAGCTGATACAGTGTATTTATTGATCCAATCACACTCATTGACACTGTGCTACCAACTCCACAGCCCCAGCATTCATCTCAGATCACCAGCCTCATTTCCAACCTCACCTGAAGTACGATGCCAATATCACACGGCATTCGTTTCGACTTTCACGGCCTACCTTATCATCTCCACTAAATTTTCACTCTGAATCAACTCCTAGTGTTCAATCCTTCACCGTAAGCACTTTTCGGCCCTCCTCACCGCATCAGTCACCCAGGGGGTCATCCGAGCCTCCTTGGTACAACATTATACCGCGAAGACGATACGCTCGCTTTATAGCGTTACCAGACATGAGACCTCTTCCAATTGGATCAAACATATTCCATCGTGTCAAGTCGCCTAGCTATCAACGGCCAATCCAGCTCTCGTCAACCAGGATGTACTCCCAAAGCCCACCATGGCTCGAAGCCTTCCACAATGACTCAGGTCTACCCCCAAAGTTGTTTGCCTGGAAGCCTTCAAATCTCAATCATGATTCCAGCCTTGGTGCTTCTTCAAGCGGTTCGACCTCAGGTGTCTCTGGTGACTCGGAACAGCGCATATATGTCCTAGGAATTGGCAACCTAGGTCGACTTTTCGCAAGCTCTCTGGCACAAGCACCCGAAAGGCCTCCTATAACGCTCGTTGTGCACAGAAAGGAGCTTCTGACACAATGGATGCAAGGTCAAGGCATCGAGTTGTTGCGCTCAGGCACACTAGAGAGAAACAAGGACTTTGACATTGAGTGGTGGACAGAGTCCAAGCCAGAAACTGGTCCAGTCAGCGAGGTTGCTCAAGGCGGAAAGCTGAAGAACCTAATCATCACCACCAAAGCCTCTGCGGCACTGCCACAAGTTGATCGGGTTCGAGGATATCTGGATCGAAACAGCACCGTCGCCTTTGCTCAGAATGGAATGTCCAAACTCTGGCCACCTCATGGGCCGGCTTATGCCAACCATCGATTCCCAGTTGGCGACGCACCCAACTTCTTGGCCTGCGTGACAACACACGGGGTTACCTCTCAGGGACCGTTCAGAAGTCTGCACGCTTCTCAGGCGGACGTCACAGTTGGGTCCGTTCTCCCGAATGAGTCATCGAGTGGGCAAAGTGCATACTTGATAAAGCAGACACTCGAGGCACCTCACCTCAACGCCAGATCAGTGTCTAGAGGAGAGCTCTGGATTCTACAGTTGGAGAAGCTGGTCGTAAATGCCATCATCAACCCTTTGACGGCCATTCTAGGGTGCAAGAATGGTGCTCTATTCACAGAGCCTGATGGAGTTATCGCAACCATCATCGATCAACTACTAAGCGAGGCAAGCCACGTTCTGCAGCTTCTCGTTGCTCACGAAAGCAGTGCAGAAATCATTGGACAGTCGTCCAACCAGGATGAGACAGCAGCAACGCAGGCAGACACGAGACTTGACCTGTCTCCAAGCAGCCTGCATGAGAGATTCTCTCAGCCACACTTGAAGGAGATGGTGTACCGAGTGGGTCACAAGGTGAAGGACAACACCAGCTCCATGCTGCAAGACGTGCGCTCCGGCAGATCAACCGAGATCAGGGACTTCAACGGCTGGCTAGTTGAGACAGCTGCCTTCCTGGACGGGAGCTTGGACGTGGCAGGTCATCGTGCAATGGTGGACCTAGTTGAGGGAGGCCAGACCCTGGATGTGGATCGTCTCGGAGCGCGTCTCAACGGTTCCGGCGCAGGCGCCAGAAAATAGTCAAGAAGGAGAATAAATGAGCGATCTCGGAGGATACCCTATCACAAGTTAAGATCAATCCCAAATCCTCCTCCCCTCCGCGATAGGAAAGCATGGGCCATGGGGTCTGAGAGAGGGAGAACAGGCCTTTCAAGGACAGACCTTGACCTAGAACTAGTTTTGACTAGGGTTAGCCACGATCGACTCCGGACCAACCTCGACGACGACGCTACTCTACTGTTCCCTTCTTGTCATCGTCGAGGGCTCACTCGCGTCCCCTTTGGGAAACCGAACCTCGTACCGCCGAAGGAAACTTGGCTTTGGACAAGGCCCCATCTTGGCAATTCCCGCAAGTGGCGTGTTTTGTTTCGTTTGCCTTTTGTCCCTGTCCGTTTCGACAACCTTCCGGCTTTCGTTGCCAGGGGGTGTGGAGGTGCGAGCAACACTTATAACATCCGTGATATAGGCCATAAGACAGGCGAGTATCGACTCGCGCTAGCCACCACAAATCGAATGCCCTGGCAACCGCCAGCCAAACGAAACATTCGTTTTAGGGGCCCTTTACTTCTTTCTTGTCCCGTGGGGCAAAAAAAAAAACCGGCAAGGGGCTTGTTTCCCATCTTGACCCATACCCAAAGAAACAGCGTCGCACTGCATCACCACCAAAGCCCGGTGTCGCGCGCCTCTCCTCCTCAAAAGAGGGCGGCCGATGCTACCTCGGGACCCGGCCATTATAGCCCCAGGGATCTTGTTGACGAGAGGAGAAGGAAAAAAAAAAGCCTTTGCTGCCTTGCCAGCCGCCGGCCAGTGAGGTGAGGTGTGAGGTGACAAATCCATGACGAAGCTCTCTGCTCTGTCTCCCTCCCTCGTTGCCCCGTCTTGCCTGCCCGAGACACACATCGCTACTCTATGTACCGTACGGTACCCGTTACCCCCGGGGATGGGATGGGGACGGGGACGGAGACGGGGACGCGAGACAGGCCGTACGATCCAGTTTCAACCTTGATTCTGACAGATCGGGCTGGGTTTGGTCTGGAGCAGAGACAAGACCACCAACCACCCACGGCCCTTCGCTTAGAAACTGCGCGTCGGAGATTTCTCACGACATGTTTCAACGGGCTAACCTTCTTGTCGGCTTGCTTGCTCCCCGATGCACACACACAGACACACACGCAGACACACACACATGCTGCCATGCCATGCCAGGCTAGCAGGCCATGTCATGTCCATGTCCCTTTCCCCATGCCATCATCCATCGCCTGCTTCTACCGGACCACCTCTCAAACCCTCCCTTGTCAGGCTCCTCCCGACGTGACACTCCCCGGAATGCTCAACAGATGCTCGATGGGACCCAGACATGATGCCCATCTTGCATCATCACCCAGTCAGTCGCCTTGCTCCTCGCAGCTTTCTCCAGCCTCCCTTCTTTCTTCACCGTAACCACGTCACCATGAAACACGCGTGGCTCACCGCAAGGAGTTGTTTTGAGTCCCCCTTCACACTCACCGTCCTCGAATGTTCTAGGCTCTGACTCTGTCTCTCTCACCAAGTGCCCTTCCTACCCCCCCTTCTTCCCTTTAGCGCCCTGCGAGTCGCATGCCATGCCATGCCATGCGATGTGATAGCCCATCGTCCTGCGGGGCGCTCCAAGTCCAGCCGACCAACCAAGCAGAATAGACTGACAAGGAGACTCGGGAGAGAGACGAGAAGAGTGAGATCGGGCCTTTTGTTTTTCTTGTCTCGCTCGCTCGCCTTCTTAGACCACCGTCAAGGTATCACGAGGCTTCTCGGAGTCAAGGCTCAAAGACGTTCAAAGCCCCGGGGTGACACAGAGGAAAGAGGCCGTCTATACTCGTTTCATCGGTTCGATCCGCTCGGCGACGAAACAAACAGGCGCCAGTGGGAGCTTCCACCAGTCGGTAACTACGGCGATCGGGCCGCCGGCTGCTGTACTGTACCGTACTGTACCTACGTGGCAAGGTCCCGCCCTCCCTATATCACCGTTTACCGTAGCTCTTATATCCCAAGGGCCCAAGCCCAAGTCCAAGGGGGGGGGGGACGAAGCGCGGAGTGGCAGGGGATGGGGATGGGTGCTTCGCTGTCAACTGTTAGAGCATAAACGTTACCTTTTGCCTCCAGGTCAAATGTGGAGAGTGATCCGGTGAAGCAAAGCGGCCGGGGGGTTAGGTTGTTAGTTAGTTTGCTAGCTCAGGCAGCTCTTCAGACCCGAGGAACTTTGGACGCGTCTTGAGGACAGGCGGGCGTATATCGCAATTCTCAACCTCAACTATAGGGCCAAAACGCAGAAGGTATAGGGATCCATTTTTTCGCTATCGTAGTGCCGCTGGCATGAAACTCAACAGGAGCCTCATGGCGTGATTTCAGTGATGATCCAGCAGATCCTCTTCCTGTCTGATCTAGCCCGCTTTTCTCCAAGTCCACCCAAGGTCGGTGCTGTGCTGTGCTGTGCTATACTCCAAGAGACGACGCCTCGTGTCTCTGTCCCTCCCTGTCAGCGCCTGCTTACTGCTCCCTCTGACCTCTCCCAGCTTTTCCTTTCCTTTCCTTTTCCTCTCGTCAAGTAATAGCAGACGTGCCCCTGCCTTCGCCAATCTCCAAAATGTAGTACACCAATCTTAGTACAACCCTCCAAACAAGAAAAGTCCTGTCATGTCCAACCAAAACCCGTAGAGACCTGTGTCATCCCGGTCTCAACGGTAAAAAGAAAGCAAAAAGTAATAATAGTAAAATAGATGAAATGAGAAAATGTGATCAGCCACAAATAATCCCAAGCGATTGGACGGTTCCCCTGGCTGAAGGATGGGGAGCATTAGGTGCATGTAAGTAATTCTCTCTCCTTTTCCGGGGTTCCCAAGTCTATAGTTTTCGTAAAGTGACATAGGAGATCATAGACGTTCAGCTGCAAGCATAGAGTACAAGGCAATTTCTAGAAGGTGGAAATCGGGAAGTGAAATACAGAATTAGTGTGAAAGGGGTAATGGGGAAAAGAGGTCAGGATCCAAACGTGAAAAAATAATGATGCGACCTGCAAACATGGGATTGAGAGAATAGTACAGAGATAAGAAAAAGAAATCAAGTCGTAGAATGTGCTCTTCTGTCCTGGTCCGGTCTGACCCGTGTGTTCAGGCTGTCGTCTCTAAAAAGATGTTCCGTTCAAAGTGATGGTGATGTCAGGTTATCCAACGGGACAACGAGGGTAAAAACAATGGTCGAATGCGGTTCCGGGAGGTAAGTGAGTGTATTCGAGGCTCCGCGGTTCCGTTGCAAATTGATGTGTGTGTGTGTGTGTGTTTGAAAAGAGTGTCGTTTAGGGGGGCGGTGTATGTTGTCGTTCCGTTGATTTCGCCCTTCGTCCTCCTAGATCGAACGGTTTCTGGCATCACTGAAGTTGCTGCGAGTATATTGAGTCTCCAGGTTCGGGAACCGAGGCAACAACAGGTGATAGTGACTGTGAAAGAGTTGCCAGAGTCGTAGTGTCTCCAGATACGAGTTGTTCGGCTCTCTCCCGGCACGCCGCGGGAGTGAATCCGGTGCCAACCTTGTTAGCTACGATTCTCCATTTCTCGTTCTCGTAGTCCTGGAGTGCGGTTCGAAGTTTTTGGTCCTACGGTAAGAGTTAGTACGATATCCCGGCAAATAACGGTATGGATGGCAGTCTACTAGTTTAGTAGCAACAGGGGCTTCACTTACCGTCTCTTCTGTCCAGTTTGTAGTCTTGGCCTTGAGCTTGGTACAATACCGCACCTGTAACGTCCCAGAAGAGCGCCCAGGGAAGAAATCCGCAATTTGCTTCCATGTGAGGTTCTTGTTCTCCTTGAGTTCGATCAACAGCTGGTCATCCTCGGGCGTGAATTTTAGTTTTGGTCCTCGAGGACGAGGTGCCGGGGCAGGCATCCCTGCTTGACCCACGACGCTTGGAGCTCCTCCTCCCCCGTCGTCGCGACGCATCATCTTTGAAGGGGGTCCTGAGTCAGGGAGGTGATGGTGGTGATGTATCGGCGGCGGTTGGGACACGGCGGCAGCGGCAGCTTGGGCGTATGCCGCGCCCAGGGGGGTCTGTTGCATGCCGCTGAGGTCTGAGTGCTCCAAGTCTCCCAGGCCTGCAACAGAGAGGTCGAGTTCACTTGGCCGTGGACGCTTGCTGGAGCCGGGGTGATTTGGCGGCGTCGGAGTCGACATGGCCTGGTACATGGGCGCCATGACTTGACCCGGTGCTCCAAACTGAGGTGGCCCAAGACGATGATGGCCCATCTGGGATGGGTCCATCACCATCTGAGGTGAAGGGTGCTGTTGGTGATGTTGAGCCATGGCTGCGTGCTGGACGTGAGGGTTGGCGTGGTGCGGATCCGAGGCGCCATGAATACCAGCAGCCGGGCCTCCGGGGTGATGAATGGAGGCCCGATGCTGCTGGTGTCGGGGACGTTGGTGAATCGACGGATCATATGCGTGCTGATGCTGGCTGTCTCCTTGTTGTGAGTCCTGGCCAGAGTAGTCCACATTGTAGTCCCCTACTCGATAAGTGCCCGCCAGCGTGCCTCCGATACATGAGGTCCGCCAGAGCGAACCGCTCTGGACGGCCGCCGGGCTCTGGATGGAAAGAATTTGACAGGATGAAGCCCTTGCGGGCTGCGGCGCGGAGAGAGAGGAATCGTTTATCTGAGGGCAATACGTTGCGGGGTCGTGTCCGTCGGCTCAGGCTTCTCCAACTTGCATCCGGTTGTCAAGCTATAAGTCGACAGCGATATTGGCTGCTGGTCAGCTTGCCACATGCGTTGTCGGGGTCTGAGTGATTGGCACGGGTTGGGGGCTTTCCCGCTTCCGTAGTTGAGCGAGACGGTAGTGGTGGGCGCTGGAGGGCTGTGTTGGAGGGGTGAGCTCAGGCTCAAGTTATGATGTCGTAGTGGTGAAGAGTAGTCCAGAGGAGCCAAAAGAGTGTGTTGTAGGCGCATGTAAATCGACGACGCCCTTGTGTTCGGGCCAAGGGCACAAAGGAAGGACGTGTTGTGTTCAGGACAGAGAGGGCAGTGTCGAATCGTCTCAAGGATCGATCGATAAAAGAGAATCCACGAGAAAGAGAGTGAGTAAGTCGAAGTGGTGATGTTAGTCTTTGTATGAGCGCTACCGCCACTTGTAGGGCAGTCGGAAGTGTTCCCCTCTTCAAGATCTCTCTTCTAGCTCCCGGGCCCGGGGTCATAAACGTATTTAACACAAGGGCTAGCAACCTGGCAGCGCTTGCCAGGGCAAGGGCCGCTCTCTATCGTCTGATGACGGAGTTGCTAAGGCAGGGTAGCAGAGGGAGTGGATCTCTGGGTCTGCCTCTCTGTTCATGCTGCAGGTTTAAGCACTTCAAGATTTTGTTCAGTCCCGTAGGAGAGCAACCCCCGTCCGCCCTCTGCTGGGTTGCGGAGACTGCCTGCCAACCCAGGCCAGGGTTGGGAGGGTAGTCAATTTCGACGATCTTATGCCATGGCCTCCAGGGTGCCGGATATAGAAACAAGAGTCACCCCTGACATCCATCATGGCTAGCAAGGGTGACAAGGTAATGCGGTAGCAACGCCCTCGACGAACGCGGGCTATCCTGTCCAGATGGTAATTTGCCATGACGAGATCCCTGCACACAAAAAGATTTGGGCAAAGGTGACCGCGTTGAAGCAGACGACATGGAAGGACTCTGGGCGGTCGCGCTTATTGGGGGACGAGCCAAAGGTGAAACGCGCCTCGCCTTGAGAGCGTGGGACTAGACCAGACTGAGGGTGACTGAGCTGGCCACGAGCAGCAATGACAACAAAACAGCCAATGCCCGTTTTTCCGCCGCCTTTCTAGACCAGAGGAGAGCCACAGTGAGCGGGTGCCGAGCTGATGGCGTGGCAACAAGGGAGCGAAAAGTTCTGGTGGTCGTTGCAGGACAGGAGAGGTCCACCATTGAACGTTGTGGAGCGGGGGGGATATAATACATCCAGGGTCTCCTATATTAGATGGCTCAACCAGGGATCAAGTCCACCACATAGGCTAGATCGCAAAGAGAGCCATCTCCACAAGCCGGGAACTGCCACTTGACAAATCTGGATGCAAAAGCAGGGAAATGCCCATGCGGAACCATGAGAAGTCAGTACGCCGGGTAGCCGGGACTGGTCCAGATTGGTTAAGTGAGCACGCACGCCATGATGTCGCCCTCGACGCAGTAGATCAACAACCCAGTCGCCTGTGGCTGAGGCAAGGAAGTTGCCCCCACCGAGAGAACAATCACATTGCGTAGAAGTGGCTGTCGCCCAGAATCGGGGCTAGACCGCTGAGCTCCTGGACAGGGCACAGCTGGGTGCGTGACCTTGGGGACTAGCCGGGGACGGGGACGGGAAAATCAACCTTGTGAACCAACCCTCTGGAATCCAAGCAAAAGGGGACCAAGGGCTGAAGGTGGCGGCAGCCGCATCCGCATCAGAGAGCAAGCCGAGATGAGTCGATGACAGCTCCCTCGGCGACAGACAGAGTGAGTGTGGAAAGGAGTTGCTGGTAAAGGTGATTGAGTCCGAAAGGAGGCAGCGCCGAGATGCTTGCAATGGAGTACCGAGTGAGGGACAAGCGGATCCAAGATGATGGGAACCGAAGCCAGCCAGGACCAAGCTCAACGGCTCTAGACGCAACGGCTTTGAGCGCTTCTCGTTTCCGTTCTGGAGACGGACGATAACGAGATCACAGCGTCTAGAAGGCACGGGCGCCAATCGCCATCCACGGCCGGCGTGCTCGGAGCAGCCCTACTGAGTGGGCGATGGCGTTCTGTTCGGGGTCTCCAAGATTGCACCCGTCAATGCTTAATGCCACTCGGTCAGGCTCCCCCGCGGAATGTGCTTGCCGGTTTCCTCAGCGCACCACCCAGCTCAAGCGAGCGTTTCGACATGCTCCGAACGCATGTTGGCCAGGGACACGCATAAAGTGAAGGCAGGAAACGGTCCTGTCTCCGGATGAGGTACCTGGAATATGCGGAGCCTCCTGTAAAACGCATTGCTGTCTCGGGCATGCGACAAGCCAAGCGGCACGGGTGCTGCAATCATCGTCATGAGCGTCAACGGGGAATCGGGTTCCAGGGCCCTGGCCCAGGAGTCGGGATGGTCTTCTAGAAGGACCTTCTAGCGCGTCCAGGGCAGACTCGACTAGCGCCATGACCCCGGCTGGCAGTGGAGGGTGACGCCAATTTCGTAATTCAAGACGGGCATGAGCGGGCGTGAGCGGGCGGTCGGTCGGTCCTCTAGAAGGTTTTAGGGAGGATAAGCGATGACGGATGAGCTGAAAGTTGAGTGATTACAGGAAAGGGACAATGCGAAGAAGGGGAGGGAGGTTGAAGATGGGCCAAGTTGGGAAAAGGGGAGATGGAGGTTCATCACATGTTGAGTTGACATAGCAGGGGGAAGGAGCAAGTCGATGAGAATGGACAGAAATTGAGTTGACAGATACTAGATGGGAAGGAGCGAGGACCAAACCCCCAAAAGGGGACGAAAAGAAGAGGGAAAGAGGGAACAGGCAGTAACAGGGCAAGAGCCTGAGATAACCAACAGCAAGTGCCAGCAAGTGCCAGCAAGTGGAGGCAAAACACCAACATTCACCATCAAGACAACCTAATCCCAGCAATAGCATCCATCAACAATATCAACATTGGGGTCATCACTATATTCAGCTATGTCAAGACAATATATCCCGAGATTATCAAGATTAGGTTTCTTCAATACACCGGTACATCAATCTCATCGCCGATTTCTAGAAGCTCGCACCGTTGACCTACCTAACCCCTACCCGAAAGCTCCCCAGATTCAGCCAACGGCAAGCCCAACATTACGATACGACAGAACACAGAGATCGTCTTCCACCGGAGAGCCGAGGTGCCGTCACCGTTTGCGCCAACTCGATGCTCACTCGTCATATCGGCCATCCATGCACCACTAGATTGTCAAAAGCCCCAAGCGCGCGCCGCCAAGAGTAAACCCAACGGCCGGGAGCTAACTAGCAGGCGGCAGGCACCCAGCTGAGCTGAGCTGGGCTCCCAAGCTCCCTCACACGAACACCCTCCATCTCGAGTACCAACTCTGGGGCAGGATCGACCATCTTGCCGAGCTCCCCTTTGACGCCATCGGGGGAGGACACTCGTACCACCGCTTGCGCAGGTACAGACGCCGCGTTGACCACAGCGCGGCAGATTATCCATTCACTGCGGGTCATTACCATGGTTAGGCGTTGCTGACATGGGTGATGAAAATAGCAATCGACGTCAGCACAAATCACCCGCTGCAGATCTCATCCCCCGTTGGACGAACGGCCGAACAATCTCAAGATGGCCTATCCAAAACCTCGGGTTACGTCCCTGATTAGCGTCCATCCCAACGTCAGGCTGCGCCTAGAGCACCAACGTGCAGCCAGAATTCCTTTTGTCATGCCGCCCAAGCGACTCGTGCCGTGCGTCGATGAAGCCGCTCACGCACAGTCCCAGTCCACTTTACGCGTTTTTTACTTTACTCACATCTCAGCTCGCCTGTAAAGTACGCGACGCATGAATGCATAAACAACCAATTTCACTCCCCCACGCACATGATCCAACTCACGGCGCGGTTCCACGCCCTCGGTGAAGCCGCCTCCCAGCAGACCCAGCAGACCCAGCAGGAGGACCCCAGTTGGGAAGACTGCTTGTGCTCCCCAGCCTGTCGAGCCTATTCATCCCAGTCGCCTGCCAGGCCAGGCCAGGCCTGGGACCCGTCTCTTCCCAAGAAGTCGGACAAAGGCCCGGCTACCGACGTGGGTCATTATGCGGCCCCTGTCTTGGAGCCGTTTGTCAACTGTCTTCACGAATCGCAGAATCTGTCAAAGCCAGATCAGGAAATCATGCCGCTCGGAAACAACTGACATCGGATGTGTGCGTCACCCAAGAGCGGAATTGGTTTGATTGGGTCATCTCGGTCTTGATTTCTCCATGAACCATTTTAAATCTTATTTTACAGCAAAAAAAAAAAAAAAAAGATCAAGTATGCCTAACACAATCAATTACAACAAGACAAGAGGCCATCAACAACAAAAAGAACGCCTCCCTCCCTTCCTCATTAGCGCGCATCTGATGTCAAGATGCCGAACAAAATAGATTGCGCTGATCGTCCAGTGTCCCTCCTCCTGTCTGTGCTTTTTCTTCGTATGGTGATCGATCCCTCCCTCTCCCACGTTCATCCCAGTTCCCATCCCATTCTACCGTGCCCTATATCCATGCTCATCCCCACAACCCTTGATCTTTTTTTGTCCTGCCGCTTTACGCAAAGTTGTCCGATCGGTCCACC